TATAGAGGAGAAGTTGATGAGAGTTTAGAGAGAGAATAAAGAAGCCTTTGGGTGGAGCATTCTTGACATCAAGGATCTTAGCCCTTCCATTTGCACCTACCAGATTCACTTGGAGGAGAAATTCAAGCCTAAAGTTCAACCCTAAAGGAGATTTAACCTTGGTCTAAAAGAACTAGTGAAAAAGGAGGTAATTAAGTTATTGGATGCTGGTATTATTTTTTCTATTTCTGATAACCCTTAGGTGATTCCTATGCAGGTTGAATCAAAGAAAAGAGAAAACACAATTACGGAGAATGAGCAACAAAAACTTATTGTTGTAAAGAAGGTAATTAGGTGGCAAATATGCATAGACTACAGGAAGTTTAATAAGGTCACCCAGAAATACCACTTCCCTCTTTCCTTTATTGATCAGATGTTAGAAAATTAGTTAGGCGTGAGTTCTATTGTTGTTTGGATGGTTATTCGGGTTATATACAAATACCTGTAGCACTAGAGGATCAAGAGAAGACTCCTTTACATGCCCTTATGATACTTTTGCGTATAAACGGATGTTGTTTGGTTTGTGTAATGTCCCCACTATATTTCAAAGATGCATGATGACTCTATTTTTTTATTTAGAAAATTGTATTGAGATTTTTATGGATAATTTTTCTGTTTATGACAACAATTTTGATAATTGTTTGCATGGCCTTAATTTGATTTTTCAAAGATGTAGAAAGGCTAATTTGGTTTTAAATTGAGAAATGTGTCAATTTATGGTTGATGAGTGCATTGTTTTAGGGCATAAGGTTTCCAATAAGAGTATAGAGGTAGACTCTACTAAGGTAGAGGTTATTGCTAAACTTCCCCTTCCCACATAGGTTAAATTTGTTAGGAGATTCTTGAGGTATGCAGGGTTTTGTAAGAGGTTTATTAAAGATTTTTTAAAAATAGCAAAATCTCTTTCTGATTTGTTGGCTAAGGGTATAGAATTTAAATTTGATGATGCCTTCTTATTTGCTTTTAATACCCTTAAAAGTAAGTTAATTGATGTCCTTATGGTTATTTCTCCTTATTGGTCGTTACCTTTTGAACATGTGTGTTGTTAGTGATACAGTTATAGGAGCAGTTTTGGGCCAAAGGATGGACAATATTTTTCAAGCCATTTATTATGCTAGTAAAACTTTGGATGGAGCACAACGGAACTACACCACCATTAAGAAGTAGATACTAGCCGTGATATTTGTAACACTTTAAATTTAATTTTAAATAAATAAATTTCGCAAATTCAGAATAATAATAGTTTCAAAATATTTCGAAATAGGGAGAGGGTTACAAGTTTATATCAAATGACTGCTACAGGACCATTTCTAATACAACAATCTCAAAATAACATCCTAAGCCTTATAGCAGTTTCATCCAACCCTTCACTGAATCCGATGCTGATTGTCTTGATTACATGAAAATTGAATGTAAAGGTGAGTACTCTATACTACCAAGCACACAAACAAGTATAGAGTCTCACGTTGCACATAATTCACATTATTTCTAATACACCTCACACAATATAATCACAAGCAGCATTATCACACATTTTATTTTCATTCATAACCGATACACTCATGGCACCAAAACATTCATACACGCGCACGCTCACTGCACGCAGCCACACTCACTGTGGCACTGTGATCACAGATTTTTACTATGGATGGTCGTCTGTTACCCCTGCCTCACGGATACCACGTGAGCAGTTACGGGTCGCTCAGCAAAAGTAGTGGTCAGAGGTCTTGTCAGAAAGAGAGCGTGTGGCCCGTGGTGCACCCGCTTCACTGTCGATGTCACCACCACTCTCTCTTCCTCAAGGTATTTCTACCCTCCTCCTCTTCCAGACTCCCAATATATCGCTGAACTATGCACAACACATTACACTGACGTTAATCATGCCTCATTCACCCATATTCCAATATTTATTCTCAGTATACGGCACAAAGCCCACAGTCATGCATAATACACGGCACTAGGCCCACATTCGTTTTATAGTGCACGACACAAAGCCCATATTCATGCATATTACACGGCCCTTGGGTCCACACTTATTCACAATATTTATTCAAATATACGACATAAGTACCCATACTCATTTACAATACTCGACATACATTACCCTTATCCTACACACGACATTTTATATATATATATATATAATCCACATTCATTAATCTCGGGCAACCACACATTCTCTCATCCACACACATAATATTCACTTCTCATGGCATATGGCTTACATCACATTTTACAACAATTTTCTACCCTCTAACTCAGCCACATCACAATATTCAACAAAATAACGACAAATCACATACAATAGAGTAGGGTAGAGTCCCCCTACCTCGAATTGAAGACCCACATGCAAATCAACCCAAGGAAGTGCTCCCCACACGGATTTCGTTCTAATACACGAAAAAATTTCATGAGAACCCAGAGAAATCACGAAAACAGATACAAGGGATGAAAAAACCAAAACCGTAACCATTATAACTCACCTCCAAGCGTTCCCAACACGAATTCAACCTTCAATCTAGCTTCTGATTGGCTTTGGAGGCAATTTAATTAGTGGAATAGGGTTGTGGTTTGAGAGAATCGAAGAAATTTTGAAGGGAAGGTGAGAAATAACATTTCTCGAACCATAACCCCCTTTAAATCCTCTTTTAGTCGCGACAATCTTGCCGCAGTTGGCTGTAGCGACTCCCTCCCTTGCTACAGCGAAAAATTCAGACAAAACTGTACTCTGGTGTTTGCAAAATCTCATTAGTGAGACTGCACCAAAAAATGCAGCACAAACTGCGACTTTGTCACTACAGTATCTCTCGCTACAGCGACAAGGCGAAAATTTTATCCTTCTCTCCTAGTGCCTTCTCACTACAGCGACAAAGGCACAGTTTCATGCTTCACGCCCAGGGCTCTCTCGTTACAGCGAGAATGCCCTGCAGCAACATCCACACTTAACCTGCACACACACACACACACACACACACACACACACACACACACACACATATATATATATATATATATATATATATATACACACTTTAATAATTAAACGATATTACAAAAATTTGGAGCGTTACAATATTTGCCTTTGATAAATTTCGTCCTTATTTGACTATGTTTAAAGTTATTGTTTTTACTAACCATTTTCCTTTTAGATATTGGATGACTAAATAAAATGTTAAGCCAAGAATTATCCGATGAATTCTCTTGCTACAAGTGTTTGATGTAGAAATTCGAGATAAAAAGGAGAGTGAGAAACTCTATTATTGACCACTTATCTAGATTAAGGAAACATTCCCTATTTAGAGGATTTTTTATGTTTCTGGAGCACCTTAGTATGCGAATATAGTAAATTTCTTGACAGGAAAAGTATTTCTCCATGACCTTTCATCCTCACAAAAAAGGAAGTTTTTATGTTATGTTAAATACTATTTGTGGAAAGAGTTTTATTTATTTAAGGTATTTGAGAGTATTTTGATTGGGACGTGTTCATGAAAGTGAATTTATTTCTTTCTAATATTTTACAGTAATAATTTTTGAAAAATTAAAGCTGAATAAAAATAATAATGAAATACACATTCGTATATATTTTTTTGTTATAAAATAATATTTACCTTTTTATTAACTATTTTTCTCAATTTAATATTAATATTTATACCCGTGTAATCAATGTATAATCAGTGGCATAAATTATAATTTTTAAGTTGATATTTTTAATTATAATCTATGTATTTATAACATAATTTTTTTATTAAAATTGTCATATGAATTTGTTTGGAAGGTTTGATTTGTTAAAATTCTTTCAATTTATTGCTTTCATCAACTTATAATCTTTTATAATATAAAAAAACAAATAAAAATTTGACATTATATGAGAAATACTAAAATATAATAAAATTTACAAACAAGTGACAAATTATACTTATTTTTTTGCTATTACTTATGAAATATAATATAAAAATATATTTTATATTTTCCCTATTTACTATTACTATATTTAATATAAATTTTTCATAATTTATTAAAAATTAACATCCTTTTATATTTTATTTATTTAAAAATTTATAAGAAAATTCTAAAAATTAAAATTTAAAAGGTTTAAAACATGAAAAATCAATAAACATTTGCATGAAGTAAATTAAATGATGTAATTAAAGTAAATTAATTTCAAAATAAGTGAAAATTATCAAAATTAAATTAAATAATAAGAATTTAAAAACTTTAAAGAAAAGCCATGTGATTAATTTAATGAAAAATTATATTTAAACTTGAAATTTTTTCGTGCTTGTGGATTTTGTTTAGTAAAATATTTTTTAAATTTGATATCACTTTTAAATTTATTATTTGGTTTTTTTTTTACATAATTTTTCTATTGCTTTTTATTTCTTGTTTTATTTATCAAAAAACACAATGAGAAAGAAAAATATATTTAAAATAATCATATAAAAATAATAATATTTTAGCAAAATTATAAAAGTAAATAAAAATTTATACTCAAAGGATGAAATTAATAAAAAAATCGTTGCACTTCATAAAAATATAATAAAATCAAATTATAACTTAAAAAATGTATTGAAATTTTAAAAATACAAAAAACATAATCTAACAGAATACGTTTTCACTGACGCTATCAGAATCACTCATGTCATGTGACGACGGAAGGGAACACGTGAGGTGAGAGCGAGGCGGCCGAGACACAGAATAGGAAGGAAACACCTAAGCAAAATCCAACTCAAATTGAAACCCTAATTTTCAAATCCTCAATTATTAATTATTACGTCACTACTGTAATATAATTAAAGAATTTTAAAAATAATTTCAATCCGTAAACCTAATTTTAAGTAATTTTAATTAATATTTTTTTATAAAAGCATTTATTATATGAAAAATATAATAAATAAATAATTCGTCAATAAAAATTATTATTTTTAAGAGCTTCAAAATTAGTTTTTAAAATTGAATTTAACAAAACCTTCTTTTTTTAATTATCAAATTTGCTCCTTTTCACTCTCGTATCGAACCCACCCTCTCCTCTTTCTCTCTGCTCCTTCCTCCAAAACCCCTCTTTCTGGGTCACGGCTAGGGTTAGGGTTTTTCTACCTTCCTTATCGACTAGTCTTCTTCCACTTTCATTCGATCTCTTGCTTCAATTGAACCTTTTATACTAAGCTTTCGTTCTCAACCTTATTTACTTGAAGTTCATTTTTTATCCGGATCCCGACCCATGGATATCCGCAAGAGGGGAAGACCCGAACACAGCTTCAATATTAATGGCGGACTTAAGAAATCTAAGCAAGGTTTGATATTTAGCTTACGCGCTCTTCTGGGTTTCTCTATTTCACTTCGCTTTGGTTTCTGCTCTGAAAGCTGTTTGCTTTTCCTTTCTTGTGTTGTGTGCCTGTGAATGTAAATCGATGTCGTTTTTATTTTTTTTCTTTTTAGTACTTTCAAGTATTTCACTAAAACTTTTAACTTGTCAACACTGTTATGCTATGCTTTGGTGCTCACTGAGGAGGCAATTTTCTCTCTCACGCTTATGAACATACCTACAACTTTCGTTAGTTTGTTTCAGATTGGTCTGTTTTTCGTTATTTGGGGCAGTGGAAAACAAATCAAAGTGATTGTCCCCCATTTTAAAAACTTTGTTATGTTAGATAATGAATTCAGAACATGTGAACTTGTAAAATTTGTAAAATGTTGTCACTCAAAAGTAAGTACTTCTTAAAGTTGTTAACAGCTTTGGCATAAAGTGTACTAGATTAATAAGCAAGAAAATGTTAACTGAGAATAAGTAATAATGTTTTGCAACAGAAATGGAGTCCTTATCAACTGGTGTAGGAAGCAAATCGAAGCCATGTACCAAGTTTTTCAGGTTCTAATCTATTCCCATCTAAATAAATATTTCAAACTGCCATATTATCTATTCTTAATAATGTTATATAATAATTATTTTAAGAATTAATTGTTGAATTGCTGTAAAACATAATTCTGCAAATTAACTGGGTATTCGAAGCTATCATACAGGTACATACTGTTCTTTGCTAAACAAGTTGTAACTGAATTAACAGAGTACAAAAAGATAACTTGGTCGTGGATTTTAGTTGGCACTGAGACCACCATATCAATGATAAATTGATCATTCCACTTCAAGTTTACCTTACAGCGTTAATTAGAGTGTTTCCCTGTTAATTATGTTTAACATCAATTTTTCACCTTTAAGTGGATTCTGTGTATTGCTTATGAACCCACATTTCAATTGGTAAGCTATTAACAAACTAACATGAATCGAACTTCTATTGGTTTGGTCAGGTATGATGTCAAACCAATATACATGTAAATTTTAATGGTCTTGTACATTATGTTTTCTCGATCCAAACAATCAGTTTTTTTTTTTCATCTTTATAATATTTAACAAGAAACATTGTATCCATATATATGTGTGTGTGTATGAAACTTTCAGCTGGAAATAAGAGGAAATTTGATTCAATATATTTGTTTGTTAATTTTTAGTTAATCCTCCTTATTTTGATAGTTATTTTCTTCATAAGTTGTCTTTTTGCGAGCAAAGGATGGTGTCTTATTGAAACATTGGTGCTTTGGTTAAAGCTTGGTTTCATTGTTTATCTAAATCGATTTTGCTTTTCTGTTTGTTATTAATTTTTAGGGTGAAAACCTTGCATAGTTAGTATATGACCTTTGTCTTTCTATTCTGTTTGACTAAGAGCTCCTGCTGCATGTTTCGCCTTCAGTACTTGGTTTTCAATGTTAGTTTTTTCATGCAGTTAAATTTGGACCGACTGTTCTGAAACTTTTTTGTGACCCTTTCAGAGTGTATGAGTGGTAGATGTAGTTAAATTTGGATAGACTGTCCTACTTTAAACCCCCTTTCTTTATTTCCTGCTAAATAATTCACAAATTTCTTTCTGTATTACCTTGTTATACTTAAGGTGGAGATGAATTACTATGTTCACTTGCACCTTGTATAGAAAAGGGGAACTTGGTAATATTACTGCAATCATTAATAATACTCTGGTGTAATCTGACAGTGCCATATTTTTGTTCTGCAGCACTGCTGGTTGCCCATTTGGCGAGGGCTGCCACTTCTTACACTTTGTTCCTGGTGGTTATAATGCGGTTGCCCAGATGATGAATCTAACACCTGCAGCCCCTCCAGCATCAAGAAATGTTGCAGCCCCACCACCTGTACCTAATGGGTCCACACCACCAGCTGTTAAGACCCGCTTATGCAACAAGTTTAATACGGCTGAAGGTTGCAAATTTGGTGACAAATGCCATTTTGCCCATGGTGAATGGGAACTTGGCAAGCATATTGCTCCATCATTTGATGATCATCGCGCCATGGGACCGCCTGCAGCTGGTCGAATTGGGGGTCGAATGGAGCCTCCTCCTGGTCCTGCTTCAAGTTTTGGTGCCAATGCCACTGCCAAGATTAGTGTAGAAGCTTCCTTGGCTGGAGCAATCATTGGGAAAGGTGGTGTGAACTCAAAACAGATCTGCCGGCAAACTGGAGCCAAACTTTCGATCCGAGAGCATGAATCTGACCCAAATCTAAGAAATATTGAACTTGAGGGGAGTTTTGAACAAATTAAGGAAGCAAGTAACATGGTAAAGGATTTACTGTTGACCCTGCAAATGTCTGCACTGCCTAAAACAACTGCCGGGGTTCCTGGGGCACCTGCCCCCCATGGAAGCAACTATAAGACGAAACTGTGTGAAAATTTTGCAAAAGGATCTTGTACTTTTGGAGAACGATGTCACTTTGCACATGGAGCTGCTGAATTGCGTAAATGAGGAATATGAAGTTTCGCTTAGGTGCAGTAGCCAGGGTTATAATTATTATTATTGTTGTGCATTGCTACTTTAGTAGTACTGACAGGACTTCTGATGTTAGTTTTGTTGTTGAGTTTCTTTAAATAACTACTCTTGTTTTTCAATTGCAACTTTCGCTTATATCATGAAACTGGAGTTCTCTTTAGCACTTACTTGGAATTGCATGTTTGGGAAAGCTTTTTTAATGGTAAATTATCACTTATTTTTAAAACCCCTTTCAGGAAATTGTTAAAAATAACTATTTTTTTCACAATAAGTTGAACTAAACATTTACGAAGATGTGTGACAATCCTGTATTAATCGTGGAGTTTAGAAAGAACATATGAAAAATTCATGCATATAACCTCATGCAAGATTCTCTTATTTTATGATAATAAAAAATGTTAGTAATAGAGAATATTGATAGTATTTTTAACCTCCCCTCCCCCATTATTTTTTACGAAATTATTATGAAGAGATGTGCCTATAATTTAATGGATGAATTAGTTAGAGAAAAAAAAGGACATAAACTAGGCGAATATGCACGCTTTATTCATTGCAAGTTGCGCATAGGCTACATTCACAGTGCACAGAAAACTATTGTGCATTAGTATCTTATGATATACAGTCCATAATTGTAATATTTAAAAAAAATAAATAAATAGTAAGATTAATTCAATCTTTCACAAAAACTTTTCAAATTTAATTGTAATCCGTGGTATTGTTTGCAATGAAATTTCAACAATAACTATGTATTGTTGAACGTAAGGATGAATATAGGTTGGGCTGAAGTAGGCTTTCTAAGGCCTAAATATTTCTAAATTTAATGTTCAAGTTTGGTATATTTACTTGATATGGACTAGTTTTAAGGGTTAGTGCAAATTTTAAAAATTGAACTTCTATTTAAAAGTTTACTCTATCTTAAGCTCTTCTTAATAAGTTTTAAAAAAGAAATCTCTAAATACATTATCAAACCTAAACTTACATGTCAATCACTAGACTCAAGTCTTAAAAATATATATATAATCTCAATATTACATGATTATCATGAATACTATTATTGTTAATTATGTTTATGTCAATTAAGGTTTTTTTTTTCGGTCTTGTCAATTAAGGTATTTAAATTGAATAAACTTTTCAGACCTGTCCGATATAAGATAGTCCACAGGATCTTAACATTCCTATTTTTGAGTTGAAAATGTCTGTTGTGGTTCAATTGAGAAATTATCTTTCTAAATAGGTTCTTTATTTAGTTGGCAAGAATTTCAATGGGAGTCCTTATGCTTTGTGACTTGTGCATTTCCTATTGACAGGGGGTTGAGTGGATTGATGATATCTTCTTGAATGACCCTCTTTTTATGGCTATTTTGGAAAAGGTGAGCTTTGCAAATGCTATTTAAAGTGTCTCTACGATTATCTATACATCAACACGAAGGTTTAGAATTACTTATTCAATGCTAGACTAGCTCCTCTCATACTTTTACTAACTCTTGGGAAGAGTTCCCTCCCATGCTTGAGGACATAACACAGTAGCCCCAACCAAAAAGAAGAAACTTAACTTTAGCTATCAGCACAAATCAATGGGCTAATAGAGGGCAATGTACGAGTAATGCAGGACACTCGAGGAAATTCAGCTGAACCGCATAAGCAATGTCACACACTTGAGTTAAGTGACGTATTCCTTTGTTCCACCCAATCCGAACAGCCAAGGAAATTGCATTCTAATGAATCCATTTCCAAACATGTTAACTGCAATGACTTTCCCACCTTCATCCATAATTTGTCACATAATCAAAGCAAATAGAAAGATGAAACAGATTTAATATTAATTAAATTGCTAAAATTATATAAATGTGAACGATTGTTTTCTTTTGTAATTGTTGTGAGTAGTATTGTTCTATTAGTATTTATTTAAATATTATTCTTATTTGATAACATGAATATTTGTGCCATTAGATCAAAACAATTCAAGAATTTATACGTTTCAAATGCGATTTTAAATTTGATCTATTTTTCTAATCATTAATGAAAAGAAGGGGGTGAAAGTCATTTTGATATAATAATTACCATAAAATAAATCAAAGTGAAATGATTGTTTATTTTTACACAACCATAGTTTTATTTATTAATTAATTGAAATTGAAACAAAGTGATACAACTTCAAGACACATAATGCCTTGTCTCCACGTAGAAGCGAAAAGACTACTGTAAAACCACACCAAACTCTCCATAATAAAAATGAAGAGAAAAGGAGACAAACATGAACGCAAACCATACCCCTAATTATATTAGCTAACCCTCTTTTTCTTTTATCTTTTTATGAAACCCTTTTTTCTTTTTCTAACTGTTGCTTATAAAAGACTGATGATATAATCATCGTTATTTAACTGTAAGTACCCCCAGTCCCATATCCATACTCATTTGGGTTTCCCCCCACACGGGTATTATGGGCTGTAGCTGTCCCACCCGGGTCTCTATTGGTCCCAATGGGCTGTGAGCCCACCACTCCTTCGGTGACATGGCCCGTGGGCTGCCCAGTTCCATGACCTGGCACTGCCGATGTTTGGTGGACCCCCATGGGCTGTCCATATTCTCCTGTGGTGGAGTATGTGGCGGTTCCAGTCCCAGTCCCGGTTGTGTAATGGCCCTGACCCATGTGACCCGCCGTGGCCGACTGCTTCGCCGCCGCGTTGTGCTCACGCGCCGCCTGCTTATCCAGCTCCGCCTGGTTCATCCTTTCATCTTTCTTCTGGGTTGCCATCTCCTTTTGGAGAGGATCGCGTGCCCTCATTCTGTCTGTCTGGTTAAGCACAAACACATTCATTAGTCCTATAAATTATGTGTACGTTAACAACTCATAAAAAAGGAAATTACCCGCGTTCTGAAAAAGTTCAAGTCTGACTGTTTAATATTAATTTTATTATCATGGTATATTATTCAGAAATTAATCAAATGTTTATTCAATATTCTTTTAAAATAATAAAATATGCTATGAAGTTAAGTATAAATAAACAGTCCCATAAACTATATCAAAGAATTATTAAAAAGAAAAAAACGTATAAAATCATAAAACACTTTTATAAACGGATAATAAACTTTTCAAAGAAGTCATAATGTATAATTATAACAAATGAGTAGATAAAAGAAAAGAATACCTTTTCTTGGACGGTGGCCTTGGTCTTCTCCATGCCAGACTTGGCAGAAGCACCAACGTTGGCAGCGGTTTCCTTCATGGCTTCTCCTGCTTTCTTTGCACCCTGCATTTTCAAGGATCGATTCTTTCTTTCTTTCTTTCTGTTCTACTTTTAGGTTAACTCTATCTTCAATGCTCATGCACTGCATTCTACCAAATATATAGATTTAGGTCCTACGCTACCTTCTACACACGTGTCAATTTGGAGTACGCGTGGCATGTTTCTGGGGGCTATTGGGCTATTCATCTTACACGTAACTGCCGCGTGTCTGCTCACAACGAATTGAAAACACCGTGGCACTTAGGAAGTTGGAAACACGTGGCAAACAACCACTCGTACAGCGCTTGTACTCGACTCTACTGTCTAGATATTATAGTATACAAAATATTTATATTATTATTATATTTAAATTTAATTATTTTTTAATTTAATTTAATAGATTTTATAAGAAAGTTTGTATATGAAATTTTATTGTATAAATACTAAATCAAATAACCAAACTATTCTCTAATTACAAAATAATGATAATTTATGTTTAAATGATTGTTAAACTAGGGTGATAAATAAATGTATTTTATTGTGAAATTAAAAAAAAAATTAACGCTCTAAAATTATATGTATTACTGTAACATTCAAATCACTAAATAAGTCTATTAAATATCTAAAATATTATCATATTAAATAACTATATACTATTTTAATAAATAATTAGTTCTTAAAATTTTAATCTATCAACAAAATAAATTTTTTTAAAAAAATTATTTATCTTCCTTATATCTTTGGTTAGGTACAATTTGAGTTGTCCAATTTTTTCATTACTTGAATAAAAGAAGAAGTGAACAACCAAGAAGTGTTAATGAGAAATGACAATTCAACCAAAGTGTGTGATCAAAGAATAGTAGAGTTTAAATTTTGCATCAAAAAAGAAGTTAAACTTGATAAATATACTTTATGTTTCAAATATAAGGAAGAAATTAGTCTCTGCTAGTCTCTTGTATAAGAGAAGATTCAAAATTGTGGTGGAATCTGATAAGATTATCTTGCTTAAGAATGACATATATGTAAGAAAAAGATATTATACTTAAGGCATGTTCAAATTTAGTATTGATAATTAAGTGAATGATTCTCAGTATGTTGTTGATTTTTGTGATTTATGACATAATAGATTAACATATTGAAATTATAAATCAATTGAATATATGCAAAAACATAATTATATTGATCTTAGTGATAAAGATTTTGATAAGAAATGTGAAATTTGTATACAATCTAAAATTACTAAGAAATATTTTCATAAAGTTGAAAGGAATACACATTTACTAGAACTAATACATAGTGATATTTGTGAATCAAAAGAAAATATTACTAGAAGAGGAAAAAGGTACTTTATAACCTTTATTGATAATTGTTTTAGATTTACTTATGTGTATTTGATAAGAAATAAAGATGAAGCATTTGAAATGTTTAAGAAATATAAAATGGGAGTAGAAAATATGCATGATAACAAAATAAAGGTTCTTCATAGTGATAGAGGTAGATAATACTTCTCTAATGAATTTGATAATTTTTGTGAATTACATGAGATTGTGCATGAATGTTTTGCTTCATATACTACGCAACAAAATGATTTAGCAGAGAGAAAGAACAGTACCTTAGTCGACATGGTTAATTGAATGCTATTAAATGCTAAGGTACCTCGTAATCTATTGGGTGAGGCACTATTGATGGCATATCATATTCATAATAGGATACTGTCAAGAAATAGAAAGGTTTCTCTATATGAAATATGAAAAGGAAGAAAATCAAACTTAAATTATTTAAAAGTGTGGGGTATTTCTTCATATGTCATATAGAATTTTGGACTTAGTGTCCAACATAGTCGTTGAATCAAGGGAGGTAGAACTTATTTCAATAAATTCATTGGTGATTCAAATCCTAGTTTGGAAGACCCCCAAAAGAATAAAGAAGATTTTCAAGAAGCAATCATAAATCAAGGCAATAAAAGACTAAGTAACAATGAATTAATTGAACCAAGTAGAAGCCAAAGAGTGAGAATAGAGAATGACTTAGGTCCAGACTTTATTTTTTCTCAGGCTATAACTTTTTTGGTTGAAGGATTCACAAAATCCTTATTGTTCTAAGTGTAGAAGGTGATCCTCAAACATTTAAAGAGGCAATGGCCTCTAGAAATTATGCCTTTCGAAAAGAAGCGGCAGATAATAAAAAGAACTCAATATTATCTAATAATACTTAGATTTTAGTTGATTTGCCTCAAGGATCAAAGGCTATAGGATGCAAGTGGGTATTTAGAAGAAAATATGATACAAATGGTTCACTACAAACCTTCAAAGCAAGGTTAGTAGCAAAAGGATTTAGACAAAATGAAGGTCTAAACTATTTTGATACCTATGCACCTATGGCAAGAATGACTTAGGACTCTTATAGCATTAGCATCCATTTATAAGCTTCATGTGCATCAAATGGATGATAAAATTATTTTTTCTAATGGAGATCTTAATGAAGAAATTTATATGAAACAATCAAAAAGCTATGTGCTACACGAAAATGAAAAGAAAGTTTATAAACTTGTTAAGTCTTTATATGGGTTAAAACAGGCGTCTAAGCAATGGTATGAGAAGTTTGATTCTATAATATTATCAAATGGCTTTTCACATAATAGTGTAGATAGATGTATATACTCCAAATTTACAAAGAATTATGGAGTAATAATCTATATGTATATGGATGATATGCTAATATTTTGGACGAATTTAGAAGGGATTCATTAAACAAAAGAGTATCTAACTTCTAAATTCAAGTTGAAGGATTTGAATGAAGTAGATACAATACTATGCATAAAGGTGTTTAAACACAACATCGACTTTATTTTAAGTCAATCTCATTACATCACAAAGATATTAGAAAAGTTTGAGCACCTTAAAATTAAAGAATCCAATACACCATAGGATCTTAATTTTAAAGTAGAAGAAAGCATGAGGAGACCTGTAGCATAATTAGAATATGCAAGTGCTATAGGAAGTTTAATGTATGCAATGCATTGCACAAAATCAGATATAGCTTTTGCTGTATACAAACTATCAAGATTTACAGGAAAACTAAGTAATCAATATTGGAAAGGTATAACAAGAATTCTTGGTTATCTCAAGAAAAACTATAAACTTGGGATTATACTACAATAATTATCTTGCTGTATTGGTAGGTTATTCTAACATTAGTTGGATTAGAAATCTAAGTGATAATAAGTCCACTTCAAGATGAATTTTCACCATAGGTAGTGGAGCAATAAGTTAGATCTCAAAGAAACAAACATGTATTTCACATTCTACTATAGAAGTTGAGTTTATAGCTTTATTAGCCGCTGGTAAAAAAGCAGAATGGTTTAGGAATTTATTATATAATATAAAGTTGTGGCCATAACTAATGAATGTCATTTTGATCTTTTGTGACAGTGAATCAACCATGTCTCAAGCACATAACAAAGTTTATAGTAGAAAGTCTAGACGTATAAGCTTGAGACATGAGTATGTGAGGCAATTAATAGGAGATGGTATAGTTAGCATCACATAAGTAAAATCTTAAGGGAATTTAACAGACTCATTGACTAAAAATTTGTCAAAGGATAAGGTCAAAGAAACTACTAGTAAAATGAGATTAAAACCTATAATTTTTAAATTGTGGGAACCAAACCTTATTCTAGTAAAAACTAGTTTCAAAGTCTAATGGACAACAAGAAGTTATTTAACAATTAGAGCATTAAGATATAAGATTTAGTGTCATATATATATAATTAGGAGGGTGAGTTCAAACTCTTAATGGATTGATAACATTATTTATCAAAGGATTCCACCTATGTGAATATAGAAGTGGTCCCGCTTTAGTCGAGAATTTTAGAGGTTCTGTTCTCATAAGTATTCATGAGACCAGGATAAGTACATGGCCATAAAAGTACTTCAAATTAACAAATTCTTGAACTTGATAAGAAATACAATTTATGTGTGTGAAATTTTTGGTACTAATATAGAGAGCAAATACTTAATCAATTAGACACTTATTACTCTGTTAGAACCTTAAAGTTTACACTAAAAGAATATTTAATCCTTGTGATATATTCGTTATGCATAAATTGATTTTAAACTTGTAAAGTAGTGGGGGATTGAAATATATTTACAAGTTTGAAAGTAGATGATTTAAATAATTAGGAAAGATAAAATGATTATTAACCATGAACAAGTGTGTTAGTTCATATACAACGTCACATGGTATCTCTTAATTTTAAATACATGACTCTCAAGTGAAAAGATGGTCAGGAGGGTCTCTTAACCTTTTTTTTTTTTTTTTTTCTCATCAGAGTTATTTCACAAAGACTTGTCATGGTAAAAAAGAAGAATAAATAAGCACAATTTAGCGTATAATTGGATGCTACTTTTGGGAGGATGAATTGCTCCCAAAAAGGAATCTATTGATTCTCTCTCAATTGGTTGGACTCTTGGTGTGATGCGTTTAAATCATCAACTATAAATAATTTTCATTGTTAAACACGTAAAAAAAACTTTTAATGTGTATAACGTATGAGTTTGAGTGTTCTTAAAGTTCTAGTTTGACGAAGTTCAAGAGAAAATATATCTGAATTTGACATATTTTTTAGGAGATTATGGGTTTAAATAATAACATCAATATGATCAACCAATTTTCATTTTGAGTCCACTACTTAACAACATGGTGTAGAACTGTACGAGAGAATTTTCATGCTTGAAAACTGAATTATGCATAAATTACCTGACAAAAATTATTTATTACAAATTCTGTGTGATCATCTTAAAGAAATAAAGATAGAAGGAAAAAAAAGTTAAACTTGATTACTTTGAACTCGAAATTTATTTGCTTCTTTTCCTAAAAATAAAATAAAATAAATGATTATCTATTTTTTTTCATGTCTTTAAAAAAATATTACCAATTTTTTGTAGTAGCAAAAAATAAAAAGTGCAAACACAACTAAACATAAAAGAAATATTGATTTCACTTAAAACAAATCAATTAATAGTTTTTTTTTCATATAGATTTAATAAATTTTTTTTCATATGGATTTAATTAAAATGAAAAAGATTATTTCTATGGCTATAACGAGAAGCATGAACCACGTTGAGAAGCTGAGTTCCAACTACCAAGGAATGAGAGAGAGAAGTGGGAAGGAGAAATTTTGGTGTAAGTGATGGTTTAAGAGGTAGATTTGGTAAATAAGGGGAACCAGGTAGTGACATTTGTGGCTGGACACACCATCAGCAAGGAGGGAAGAGGTTGTCAGATATGGTAGTTGCTAACGATAATAAAAATTGATTACATTTATTTATAAACTTGAGGAAAAAGGTGTTACTAAATAACATAAGTGAATATTATTATGACATAAATTATTAGTTAAATCTTTACAAAATTAAAGATTAATATCTTTAATTTAAATATAAGAATTTTTTATTTTTAAAAATTCAAGATTATTTTATTTGGTACTTTATTTTAAATTTTTTTAAAATAAGTTTATCAAAAATATATTTATATTAAAACATACACTTGACTCCTACAATTATTAACATTTATAAATTAATTTTAAACTTTAAAAAAATCATGCTTGAATTTTTGTATGAATATTTTATTGCATATTAATCTTTATTGTTATAATATCATTAATAATACAAATTAAAATATAAATTTTTTAAATATATAAATTAATTTATAAATGAATATCAATTATATAGAAAAAATAAATTTTTTTAAAGTTATAATAGAACTTTATTTGAACTAAAGGTTTTTACATGTTTAAAGTACATTTGGGCTATTTTTCTGTAAAAACACAAGATAGAAGTTCACTTTTTGAAAAGTTAGGATTCTTATATAGTCTAAGTACATGCTTCAACTAAAAATTGTTATAACATAATTATAAGGGTTTTTTCTACTTTTCGACAAGTATTTATGAAAAAGTAAAAAATCAAAGAAATAATAAAATTTAGTTAAAAATAAAATGAATTTTTGAAAAGTTTTTAAATAAGATTATAGCTAAAGAAAAACATGATATTTTTAGTCAAAATAAAATAATATTTTTAATAAGTTTTTATATATATATAAAAAAAAAGGATGGCCTAAGAAATTTGATCTAGTTAAAAAGTGTGTAACACTTGAAAGATTTGTTAGTTGGTTTTATAATAGAAAACTATTAAACAAATTGACAGAATTAAAAAATAAAGTTATGAATAGATTTTTCAACATGTTTCTTTTATAGTCAATCCAATGTTGCTTCATAAGAAAGAGTTAAAGTATTTCAAGTTCAAAAGCATTTAAGTTTAAACGACAAAAATGTTTAAGAAAATGGTAAATTTATATTAAAAAAATAACTTAAATATTTTGAGAACGATCACTAGGGCTGAAAATCAATACACGTGATGAAGATATTAAATGACATGCAAAAACGATTATGAAAATAATTGTAATTTTAGATTAATATATTTTTAGATAATTAATAGAAATTATATTTATAAATATATATTTTTCATTATTTAAAGGTTATGAGTTTTAGTTGAAAAGACTCTACATAAGTTAGGTTCGATAACAAAAATAATCAACGATTTTCTGTATTAATTATTATTTAAGTTATACATATATATTTTAAAAGATTAATATCAATTCTAGTAATTTACCTTAACATTTTATTGATTTTGTTTACAATTTTTGTGTAGTTCTTCTTCTACTACTTTTTTTTATTTGCCTCTTTTTATGAAATTAAGTTAAAAATTATATTAACAACACATTATAAAAAAAATCGTAAAGAGAATATAAAATTTACTCATAATTATTATTGAATTTATTTGTTTACTTATAAAATTCATTATAAAGTGGACTAAATATATAATTAAATATTTTTTAATAAATATAAGAAAGTAATATAAAGTATTTAAATTATTTTAACATTAGAATGTTATAAAATAAAAACCTTTTAATACATATTTAAGGTAACATAATAAAATGTGAATAAATAATTTTTTTTTATTAAACCTATAATATTTAATATTATTAATATATTTATTTTTGTAAATTTTTAAATATTTTTTGTACAATCCATTTTATAAATTTAATTTAACAGTATAAATTTTTTTATATTATTATTTAATTATAAATTATCATTTTATTAATAAAATATATATTTTATAATATAATTTAATTAATTGATAATATAAAAGAATTAGACTCTTAACGTAATAAAGTTAAAATTTATATTTTTAACTATATATTAAAATGCTTAAAAAATATATAAAGAGTTATTCTAACATATTTTAAGGAAAACTTTGTTATATATAATAGTCTTTGTCCATTGAACAGAAATTCTTGCTGTCTAAACAAATAAATTATTTTATTAATTAATTTTGTATAGTGATGCTGCATTTAAAGTTCAAGAGAATATTGAAATTGAGGTTAAGTCAGTGGGTAAGAACTGTCAAGAATAGTCACGTGAGAAACACAGATATTTTGGGGGTGGGGGGGGGGGGGGGGTGTGGAAAGTACAATCTATGGCTGAGAGAGTAGGTAGGCATAGGAGTGGTGATTTACCAAAAGAGGGACAACTTTATTGAATGTGTATTAAACAAAAACTTTCTGCATTTTTATTAAAAAATAAATAAATAATTTTTTAAACTAATAAAAAATAATTATATTATAAATTTATATTGTATTTTAAAATATTAATTAGTCAAATTAATAACTTTTGTATTGAATGAATAAATATATGTATGAATAATAACTAAATGGTTTATAAACATAAATCTTATAATAAATATGAATATACAAAAGCAATACAATTTCTATACATGTATGGCCATTGGTTGTGACTTGTGGCAGGCTAAGAAACACGGGATTGAAAAGAAAGTAAAGAGTAACCCCTATTAAATATGAATGTTAAATGAATGAACAAAAGAAAAAAATTATAAAATAAAAAATACAGTATATTTATAATATTAAATACTATTATTAGTTTAATAAGAGTTGATTTACTGTATATATTCTTCACATGTTAAAAAAATTGATAAAATGTATAAAGTTAATGAGTATAATAATCATAAAGTAAAGGTTAGTGGAGTGAAGCACAAGTGGGAAGGTTCAAATAGCGAATAGGGATCGCCATTTGCGAAAGGACATGTTAAAAAAAACTTGATGGGCCCACCTGCATTGGACCGAAGCTGCACTTGCAGGTCTCAAACACATGCTTAAATACTCCCCCTCTACCCTCTCCTCACCCTTGCCCCCTCTCTCACACCCTCTTCTTCACACAATTTCTGAGGTGTCTCAACAAACCTTCTCGTTCACACTTTCAGGTACCCTCTCTTTCTCTCTTAATTTTCATTTCATTTTTGCTTTTTAAATGAATGCCAACGATGGTCTCTCCGTCAAGCGCGGAATCTTATTTTCATTTTCCTATTCTCGCTCGATCTAACCGTTTCCGCTCTCTGCGCCTCTGTTCACTCATACATCTTGGATCTGTTTCATGGATTTTGGGTGCTTTTGGTAATTTTCGCTCGGTCCAATTATTACATAATGTGTTTGTTTTCTTTTCTTTTCACGTTTTTTTTCCATAAATGAACCTGTCTGTATGATAAGTCCATGTCTGCATATGTTCTGTGACTTACCCCTTTCATATGTTATATATCGGATCTGAGGAGAAATTTCCTTTTCTTGCGTCTTGTTTGTCGATTTCTGAGTTTCTACGCATCTATCTAGAAAAGGCAAAATTGTGTTCATCTTTATTGAAGGAGGAATCGGGGGATAATTTTGCGACAGAGGTAACATGAGTTTTCTATTCTCTTGCAGATCTCATTCATTCAGTATTAATTTGTGTGTGCATTGTTAAACCCCAAGGCTTGACTGCATAGAGTTTGAGTGATTGTTTGCTTCTATGTGAATTTTCGTTTTCTCTGCACATTGTATGTTATAAATGAAATTGAATAATTACCTGGAATAGATTTGGACCATTTGGGTGAAAAGATATGATATTCGGATTCAAAAATCTCCACTACTGCAACGCGATCTATTTATTATTATAACGCCACTTTTTTATATATTTTTTATGTTGGCTCATGTATGAATGATTTTTTAAATATACTAATAGTTGTTTTCAATTAAATAAAAAATTTATGTTACTTTGATTCTTGTGGCTTCTCACTTAAAAAATTGTAAATTGATCTTATCATATAAGTTAATATTGGTTTGTTTGAAATAATTTTTTTTATGAAATAATTGTGTTCAAAATATTTTTTTTTTATGTTTACAGAAATTTTATGGTACATACTCAATGTGGAGTTGTTTAACCAAAACGAGTATCGAGTTAATCACAGTCACTATTTTATACTACAGGAAGGAGCTCCTTTCTTTTTAAATTCATTGGAAAATGTAAACTATTTTTTAAATCTGTGAACTTAACTTTAGTCTCACTTTTTAGTCATTATCTTTTCGTTTGGATATAGGAAGAAAACAAGAAATACAATGTTTTAACAACAAAGAAGATACGTGGAAACAATAAAATTTCTTTTATTATTTAAATGGAAAGAAAGTGAAAAGATAAATATTGATTATTTATTTTTTGTTTGAAAAATATAAAATATAAGTATATGGAAAGATATATATGAAAGTGGATATTCTTATTTTATTAATATATCAAAGTTAACTATTTCATACTATAATTATTTTAAAAATAAGCATTTATGTGTAATTGTTTTTTTAATGCATTAAAAGTTTGCCTTTTTATAACTAATATTAGAAATATATATATATATATATATATATATATATTTATTTATTTATTTATTTATTTATTTAAAGAAAGAAAGAAAAACTGGGTTGGATGCCCTTGTGTTTAACAATGTTATAAAAATATATAATTGAGACAAAAACGCATTTGTCATTGGAGTAAATTGCTCTTTTCTTGTGCCGCCTTTTTGGGCATTAAATATGGTATGGATTTTTTTCTTACGGATTTAAAATTTCTGTTCTTCTCAAAGCAATATATAATTGTTTTGAGGCATTGTTATACAGGAATATGGGCAATTGTAAAAAAAAAATACGATAACTTTTTAAATTATATTTAAATATTTTAGTCTTAAATTTAATTATCATTGATTACTAAATGAGAGTTTTAAAATTATTATAAGACAAAAATCCCTCTTTTATGCATTTTTAAGGAATGAGTTAAGAATTTGTTTAAAAAAAATGATTTAAAAATATTATAATTTTTTAACATCTAGTGCAATTTTGTTCTTTTTTTTTTATAAAAATACTAGGCATTGTTGTACTTTCATTATTTTTTTACTCACATTTTGTTATTTTTATGTTCCAATCATACTTTATGCAATTATATATTTTATTATTATTCTTATGTCTGGATATTATTTTTATATACAATAAGAAAAAATATTTTACATTATGTTTAAATAGGTATTTATTTTAATATTATTCGATAAGTTCTTTTTAAAACAAAGTCTTATGCAATAAATTTAACAATAAAATTTATTAAAACTAATTATTTTGATAATTCAAAGAAATTTTTTATGATATGCCACATTAGAATCGGTGAGATGGTAACAGATATTGAAGTGTGGGGTTAAACTGGCACTTGATATAAATTTTAAAAATTACCTTTTTAAATTTTTTTTATTATATTTAAAATAATTACGAATGAAGCATTCTTATTCAAAAGATATTTGGTCATGTGAAGAATATTTTAGGTAAAGTCTAACTAGTGTTGATGACATATGTTGAAGAATTAAAAAGTAGATTTTTTTAATCATATAATATTATTAATATAACTTGTGATTTTTATAGTCTAATGCAAATAATTTTAATAATTTTTAATTCTTTAATAAGGATATTAACTAAATTTTATAAAGACAAAATATCATCTTAAAATTGTGATTGATGTTACCCGCAGGAAACCAGTGAAATAGTTGAATTTGATGCTTCAAGTTAATATTGGTCTTCCTTCTCTTCATTATTTCACTGTAGCCAGGAAAGGACCAAAACAATTGAATTTGATGGTTCGTCCAGAATATATTAATATTGGTCTTCCCTCACACTTCATTATTATTTATTTCTTTTTGTCCCTTACCCATGTGCTTGTGGGTCCATTTCTGAATTGTTTTGGTTATCGATGCCGATGTTTGATAGAGATGTCTTGTTTGATTACTTGATCAGTTTGCAAGCTGTATAAGCTTTAGTCGCGACTAATTATTCAAATAAGTTTGTCGCGGATAGCATTTATTTATGTTAAAATGTTGTGCCACACCCACCCCACACAACGTGACAATGGAAATTCCGATCTACTGCATGGAAGATAAAGCTCACCATAAGTTCATGTGGCTGGTAACCTGGAAAGGTTAGAGCTGCTTTGTTTAACACTTGCACACCTTGCTTGGAAAGAAGAGGAAAGAGGATGGTGGTGGTGGTCCATTTTTTAAAGGAATATGGGTGACAAATAATTTATGACTTTTCATTATTTTTATAAAATTTGTTTCATTAAGTTTTATGGTCAAATTTGTTAGTCTATTTTAATATCAGTATAAATTACAATAATTATCTCTTAATATCTTAAGTACTCAAGATTTAAGTTATTATGTGATTAGTTTATATTGAATAATCACATAATTAAAATGTTTATTTCAACTCAACTAATCATTTATATGTCGATTCTTGATATGTTTTTCTTTTATTTTTTATATAGAATTTAATTTGAAATAATTGATATTACAAATTTGACTTTAAAAGAATTGAGGATAAAGTTTTAATATATGTTTGGAAATGTTGTTTTAAAAGTGACTATAGATAATAGAGTTACTTTTGAACTAAAGGTGTAAGTATATATATATATATAATAGTTGTTTGAGAAGCAACTTTATTCTCTTTTTGTTTTTGTTCTACAATTTCTAAAACATTTACTAATTTCTGAACCCAGTTTATTCTAGGTGTGGAACCACATGAAAATCTAAATCAATGTACAACTTACACTACAAATCAGATTTCTTTGTCAAACCTAGTAAGCTATCTTTAGTCATTCCCGTGTTTCTACTTTCCGCCTTGAAGACCTGGGCACAGTAGATATAATAGATAAATCTTATGTAGTGTTATAACTAGCTAATTGTTTTTCAGTGTAATAGGCTTCCCTTGATTTACGTCTCTGGATAATGTTGCAGCTTGCATATCTGCTGTTCTTAATACTGACTTTTTATGTGTGCTTATGTGGGATCAATTTTTTAAGTATTTGCAACATCTGCTCTATATCCAATTCGCCTTGGTTTCTGCGGTTGTCATTAAAATCTATATAAATTTGCTTAGGTAAGACAAAATGGTATTCAAGGAAGAATATAAAAATATAACGGGGCAAAGCAATCTCTATTCTTCTGTAGCTTATGATAATAAGCTTATGTTGGTTTGTTGTTCTTCTTTGGTTTTGATAATCAGTTAGTTCTTTTGCGCATAATTTATCTGTGTGTTGTAATAAGAGGGTTAGGATTAACTTTTCCCGTACCAATTGAGGAGTGATGAGATGAGAAATAATGAAACCAGAAATCGATAATTAGAAGAACATGTTGACTATTGTGGAAATGTTTACTCCAGCCACTTGGTTATTACGCACTATTTGCAGTTTTTGTTTCTAAGCGAACATACATTGCTCAATCTGATTCTGGATATAGCTGATAACCTTTGATTTAAGATTTTAATCTTATTCACGTTCGTGAAAAGTGTAAAATGGCATATGCTATGTGTTTACTGCTTAGGAGTGCTGTAACAAAATGTGCTACTATGTTATGTGCAGGTTGCGTGAAGATGGGGGCTGGTGGCCGAACCTCTGCTCCTCCTTCCAACAGGAAGTCAGAGGCTGATACTGTCAAGCGAGTGCCATTTGCAAAACCTCCGTTCAGTCTCAGCCAGATCAAGAAGGCCATTCCACCTCATTGTTTTCAGCGCTCTGTTCTCCGTTCATTCTCCTATGTCATTTATGACCTCACCATTGCTTTCTGCCTCTATTACGTTGCCACCCATTACTTCCACCACCTTCCTCGCCCTCTCTCTCTCTTGGCCTGGCCAATCTACTGGGCTGTCCTAGGTTGCATCCTCACCGGCGTTTGGGTTATTGCCCATGAGTGTGGCCACCATGCATTCAGTGACTACCAGTTGCTTGATGATATTGTTGGCCTTGTTCTCCACTCTGCTCTTCTAGTCCCTTACTTTTCATGGAAATACAGCCATCGCCGCCACCACTCCAACACCGGTTCTCTTGAGCGGGATGAAGTGTTTGTTCCGAAGCAGAAGTCCCGTATGAAGTGGTACTCTAAATACCTTAACAATCCACCAGGCAGAGTCCTCACACTTGCTATCACCCTCACTCTGGGTTGGCCCATGTATTTGGCTTTTAATGTTTCAGGTAGACCTTACGAAAGGTTCGCTTGCCACTATGACCCTTATGGTCCCATCTACTCCGATCGTGAACGCCTTCAAATATATATATCAGATGTGGGAGTACTTGCAGTATGCTATGGGCTTTTCCATCTTGTCATGGCAAAAGGGCTTGCCTGGGTTGTGTGTGTTTATGGAGTTCCATTGCTGGTGGTCAATGGATTTTTGGTGTTGATTACATATTTGCAGCATACACACCCTGCTTTACCACATTATGATTCGTCTGAGTGGGACTGGTTGAGAGGAGCATTAGCAACAGTGGATAGAGATTATGGAATCCTGAACAAGGTCTTCCACAATATTACCGACACTCATGTGGCGCATCACTTGTTCTCCACTATGCCACATTATCATGCAATGGAGGCCACAAAGGCAATCAAGCCAATTTTGGGAGAATATTATCGCCTTGACGAGACCCCAATTTACAAGGCAATGTGGAGAGAGGCAGGAGAATGTATTTATGTTGAGCCAGATCAAAGTAATCAGAGCAAAGGTGTATTTTGGTACAACAATAAGTTGTGATCATTAGAGCTGCTGTGGCTTCTCCTCCATCAGGTGGGAAGGTTTGAACTTTCCAAGTGCTTGCTTATTGGGAATATTTTTTTTTTGAACCCTGTTTTTGGTAGTAGTAGTAACAAGACGGTAGCATAGCTGTTTTGTTTGCAGAATAAGATATAGCATCTCTGAACAGTTCGATTACTGCACACAAGATTTGAAGTCGGTGCTTTTGGACCAAGTTTCTCTATGTAGTGCCGATCTGTTTATCTATTGGGAAGCTTGTTCTTATATTTCAAGTCATATGCTAATTCTGTGATTGACTCAGGATTCTGAACCTTGTCTGTTATTTCTCAAGGTCGTTCCAAGTCATTAGTATCTAAATGTTTAGATTTACTACTATCGAGTGATTTAGTTTTCAAATTTGCCAGAGGGCGTACATGATTAAGATTAGCTTTATCAACTAGTTTTCCTAAGGTTGAGGGGACAAATATATGAATTATGTGGTGAAAGTGTACTGGTGTGCTTCGTGCTATTTAAAATATAGCTTCAGCTTTCAACTTTATTAAAATTCTTTTTTCTCTTATGGATGTGATAAATTACAAAATTCATAAAAAAGACAATACAACTTGGGGATTAAAAAAAATTGGGTAGAATTCTAAAATGGAAACATACTTATTTCGGATGAGAGGAAAATGCAAATTTTAAAGAAAATATAAAGAAGTGAGTCCAATTCTATTTGTAATGCATTGAGATGAATTTTGACTATTATCGTCCTTCAGGTGGGGCTGGGGAGGATGGAATTTCAAATCTCGTATTCATTCTCTTTGTGATACCAATGCTAGCCTACCTCATCACAAAACAAACCGATTCATTTTATTGAATACATTTATCTGTGACCTGATCCAAAGTGAAAGTATGAAGGAAAATTTATGTAAACAACATTTTCATATATTCCCCTTTATTATCTGTTGTCCCCTTCTGTCTACTCCATTTCATTTTCGACAGTATTATTGATGATGGTTTAAAATCGCCTGTCCCCGGTGTCTGTCTCCCTTTCTGACGCATCAGTAAAAATTTGACATGACACTTTATCTAAAATTTTCACGAAAAATTGCGATGGCTTTAGTTAACACACATCCCTTCTGTCACTCACCTCTTTCATTTTGATGCATAAGACAAATTACTCTCCCCCTTGCGTATAGCGCTCATCTCTACATTGCAGCACCGGCATTTATCTCTATAGCTCTGCATTCCAGCACTGTCGTAATTGCTGATTTCCTTGTCCTCATATCTATATCTCTCCATTCAAAAGCTTGTTTTATAGAAAAAGAATAAACCACGTCAAGGGTTTCGTCCATAGATAGCATTCATCACAATTGCAGACCTGAGACCAAGAAGGAAGAAAATGAATTTGCAATAACCGGAGATTTGGATGACGTTGGCATACTACGGTAACAGAGCACTGCAGGCCAAGTCAAATGTCCATGCCCATCATCGAGGACGTTCAACACGTGACGCAAACACCTTATACCATGGTGCATTGGCTGTCGCCACCGTCGCCTGTGTCATCCGCTACAGCAAGGCCACCACTACGATGCCACCCAAGTCCAAGTCCACACCGCAAACTTAAGAGTAAGCTAAATCACATCTCTCGCTATGCTCTTTCTCTTTTCATCAACAGTTGCACGCGATCCCCTCAAAACATGGTTTGGCTGCTTTGGCATATGAACGTAGGGAGAGAGAAAAGTTTACACAAGCGTATACATGCAGAGAATCGTGGGTGAATATGAGCGAAAACTTGCGTGAAAATTTTAATTGAGGTGTCAATGTCACAAACGATTTTAATCCATTGTTGATAAGGGGTGCGTGAGTACCGTGCAAAGTGCAAACCAAGATTGAAATCTGAAGTTCCCTTGATCTGAGTGGCAATTAACGAGTAAAAAATTGTTTTAGCTATGGTTTTTTTAACGTCAACACGGTAACAATTTATGTACAATAAATTTTATTAAAATTAACAATGTATCACAAAATTTAATATATTAATAATATTTAACGCTATAATTTTCAGTAAACAAATGTTTTTTTAACATGTGCCATTTTTTAGTTATTGAGATTGTAAATATTAGTCAATTTAATTCACGATTTTACAAAATTTTTACTTCGATTAGAATGCCATTCCGAAATAATTTTTTGTGAGAGTAATTTATGTGTCGATGTGTAAGTAAAATGTTATAGCATTCCCTTATTGGCTTCCATTGCATGATCTCTGGCCAGAAAACAGGCTTCTTTCCTTTCTTTTGTTTGAATCATTTCCATGGATGTTCTAGCTACTCCTACGCTGCTATGAAACTTTCCTATTCAGACCTAACCAATATTTTTACATCACCATATATGCCAATGGTGGATCCATTATAATTTTCCAAAGAATGAAAAGGTTCCACATGTTTTTAACGTACACCCAAAAATTCCCATCGCACAACAATGGTAGATTTCTTTATTCGCAAAGTAGAATTGAGACTTACTGTTAACTAAAATATAATTTAAATTTTGCTTTAAACATATCATCCTTGTTTATTTTTCAAATGACAAATAAGTCTGTACACACTTTGATTCTTGTTTCCAAAAACTAAAGGAACGATTTTCATTCTTTCCTCAGAAAATATTTTAAATTGTTTCCTTTTTTTGTCAAAAGAAATATATATTTTTTCGTTTGAAGAATGCAAATTTACATAAATATATGATATACAAGATAAATGTAACAAAGCATGAATATTGGAGTTTCAGAACATAACCTTAAAAGGCATAATAAGTTCTCTGTATTTGCTCTTCTAATTAAAAGCATAATGAAGATGGGGTGTCTCCACTCCATCTGATCCAATGCTGAAGGACTCATCCCACATGCCACTGTATGACATATAAGGCCACTAACCACTTAACCCTTCAGCTACCATCAGAAAAAGGAGCTAAATGATCTTTTTGCTTAATACTTTGGAAATCGGTACAATTTTGGTAAGGCTCCCATTAGCAAGGATTGAAAGCTGTTTTGAGAGATGCAGGCCTTTGTCCAAGATCTCCATTTTTCATTTATCCTAAATTTACCCAATTCACTGACTTAGAGGCTTTATCAGAATCCACTTTAAAGTTTATGTAACCTTTGTTGTGCTCTTGTTAATTGCGTCTACCACTTTGTTAATAGTCACCACCCTACTAAGGTTAGTCTATTTGGAAGAGATGTCGATTGAGCATCGGATATTACATAATTCAGAACTATTTCCATCATTCCAGCTAACTCCTTTGCTATCAATTTGTACAATACAAGCATTCAATTAAGGAAGTCAAATGATAGTTACATATTCTTTTGAATCTTTACATGTTTAATTTAATTTATAAGCAAAGCCAAGAAATGGGAGCAAAAGCACAAAGGAGTTTCTCTTGCAAAAGTAATTCTTTGAGCATACCCCTAACCACCTTCTTGATCAAGGCCAAAATTTCTGATGAAATTAAAATTGAAGTCTTCTGACCCAGAGCTTTTATCACCATCCCAATCTTTGATAATACATTCAATTCCCTACTCAGTGAATTGATTGGAAGGAAATTATATCGGGGATAGGATCGATGATCAAAAGATACTTTCAAGCACTGACAAATAATTCTTAACCTCGAGCTTGATTTCTTAATCCTCTTCCAACCAGTTATCTCCTAAAAAACTTAACATTGATCTAGTTACTTCTCTTTCTTAAGGTATGCAGGCAAAAAATTGTATTTTCATCTCGTTCTTTCAACCATCTAGCTTTAGATTTTGATAAATAACGTTCTTCTTTGGTTTCAAATTTTGCCAAAACTTTGCAAAATAATGCCTCCTATCAACAACTTTATCTTTTGGTAAGTGTTATTCCACCTCCACCTATTGAATCCACCTTATTAATTTTAATGAGATCTAGGTTTCCAAGAAACCTTTGAATTGCACCTAATAATTTCAACAATTAACTTTTTTTTATATTTTATTTTTCAATACAAAAACCTTCCATCTTCATGGAGGAGTCATTCAGGCTATACCAAAGTGAACTTCCTCCCTAATGAAGACAAGTTAATGAGCTACATATTAATCATCAACTGATTAAATTCAGTTATGTTCATGCTACTATCCTAAGAACAATTTTATTTCTTTTCTCCCAAATGTTGTATAGCATTAAAATCTCCAAGAAGACACCACCTCCATTCCCAATTTTATTTTACATTCTATGGAATTGGCAGAGCCTTCTTTTACCATTCAAACAACATAAAGAGCCTATGTTAACAAGAAAGCATCTTCTTGCCTTTTAACCCCAATCAACAGACACCCAAAAGAAGCATCTACTTGTAAATAAGAAATTAACCCAATAGTAATCTTTACTACCCTTGTAGAGTTTCACAAAAAATTTTATCTAGAGTTTCCATTTTTATGTCCTATAGCCAATAAGCCAAGTTTTTTTTTAAAATGAAGTTGGGGAACTAATTTTTTTTTCTTTTTAAATTATTACACCCCGCGTATCTAATATTGAAAGATTGATTTTATGCTTCCTTACACTTGATCGCATATTTCCTTTCTTAAATTTTAACCAATGTCTGATTGCTTGAATTAAAATATATGTAAATTTCTTGAATTAAGTAAGATATTGATCAATGCATATTGTTATTACAATGTGTTTAAAGTATAAGATCCTTGGATTTGGCTCCTCTTAGACTTAGCTTCCCTAAAAGCTAATAATTTTTTTTATTGTATAACAATCTATGATTAGATGATAGTAAAAAAAATAATATCATTAATATATTTTTATTAAATTCAAAACATAATAGTTTCTTAAAATTGTATATGAAAAAATCTATGACAAGGAAAGAGGTTTTCCACTATTAAATGATCACATGTTATTATTTAAATTGCTGCTTATTAATTACCTGTCTCATGTCTCAGAAAGAAAAGAAAAAAAAATAAAACAGATGTCACGTATATTTATGAATCCAAAGGATTAGAACAATGTTATAAATTTTTATTACGTTTAATATATTTAATAAAAAAAAATATTGTGTTTAAACTTTATGAAATGCAAATTTCTTGAAATTAGAGCCAATCAAGAATTGTTAAGGAAAATTAGTCTTTAAACTTATAAAATATCTCGTGATTGAAGAAAAAAGAAATTCATAATTAAATGCATGGTACATAGGAGAATAATTTAAGGTGGAGATGATCCAAACGATACATAATTGCAAAACGCGGATTAAGTATAATTAAGCTGTCATTAACTTAAGCATGCACTGTTGACGTGTGGTTGATTTCCTACAACGCGGATTTCGAGTCACAATTACCTAACACTAATATCTTCACAATTTCTTCGTGGAAGGGACTCGTGTTTTCATTCGTATACCTTTGCTTTTGATGATTATGCAGAAATCATACGTTTTCCAACTAAGTATCCGATGGTTTGTTTTGAATATAAAAGAACAATAAGTGTTGACTTCCTATTTAAACTATTGACATAGATATTAGATAATGTGACTAAATTGCGTGTGCACTATTAATTAATTTAATGTCTTTAGCAAACAGCAATAAACAGTTAAATAAAGAATTATACGTCAGAATATTTTGTGAATACATGCTTTATGCCGGCAAATGCTTTGTCATTTGAGGGAGAGGGTATTATGGAAGGACTTTGTGTAAGTTATGTTGTGGAAAAGATAATTTTATTTTAAGTTAATTAATAAAATTTTATTTATCAATAATTAAGTATTTACTCTATAAATTTTTTAATATAAACAAACCTATGTATGTAAAAACATTAATTCGTACAACAAGATAAAAAGTTATATATAATAAATTCTTACTATAAATTACAGAATTTAATATTATTTAATAAATAGTAGTATTAAGTTATTTTTTATCCTGCAAAGTTAGAAAAATCCATATTAACAATAGTAAAAAACCATTAATTATCATTCCTTCCATTTTATACTAATCAAAAGTGGGAGAGTGGGTTAAAATCGAGTTCCCATTACTTTTATGTACTCTTTTATTCTTTATTTTTGTTGAGAATTATACTTTTTATACTCCTCTAATTTGCATTTCTGAAACAACCTTGCTAGCTCCCAAAAGACAAAGCTTGCTCTTTCCTTTACAAAGTTTCCCTTTTCATTTGCTCTCTCTTTCTCACTCTCTCCCTCTCTTCTTTGTCCCGTCTACTCTGCATGCATATATATGATTCCCTATCATATTTCCTTTAAAATCAGTACAAGCTAATTAATTAACCTAGCTCTCACAACCCATAATCCCTCCCTTGTAATTATATTTTTCTGTTGTCTCTTATTGTTCTTTAATTTTCCATGGAAAACAAGCCCAGCAAACATGATCATACTCACACATGGAAGGCCAATTCACACCCACCTTCCCTAGCCATGCAAAAAAGCTCACAAACAATATCCAAAACCAAGCCCAAGATACGCATAATTCACATAATTGCACCCCAGATCATCAAGACAGATATTGAAAACTTCCGTGAATTAGTGCAGAAGATAACTGGGAAACCAAGTGGCCAAAATTATTGCAAGAAGAAGCCAACAATAGCATCTGGAACGGCAGGAATGGAATCAATACATCAAGAATCAACAAGTGGGAAGAGTAATAGCTTTAGTGGGCTATCCAACGATAAGCCCAAATCAATGGCCGAAAACATGGATCTGAGGAACGAGGGGTTAGATCATTCATGGGAGAGAGTCAAAGAAGAAATAGAACTTTTCAGTGATGAATTGAGTTGTGGAAGGTACTTGGGAGGGTTCTCAGAGTTGGAAGGGTTCACTTCAGAGGTTGGTGAATTTTCACTGTTTCCGTTGGATGGCACTCAGGTGCAAGGGTTTGAACAATCTCAGATTTTATAAGATATACATATTATTATGCTATGTATGTATTAAGTTTTCATTGTCAACTTCATTTTGTTAGCTGCTAGTTTTTGACTCAGAACTCCGATGTATTTTTGTTTTTGTATTATCAAACTTATAGCATTCCTTTTTCTCAGTTTTCATAATCATTTTTTTTTATAGTACTTGCCTATAAAATAAAATTATTTCGCTTTTGATTTGCTCCTTCGATTTAGTGGGGTTCATTGTTAATATTACTTGTTATTGTTTTGATGATATGGACTATATATTTTGTTTAACATTCTTGTGATATGCACAATGGTTGAATGATCGATAGGTTACATATGGCACTTTTTTTCCTATCTCGTTTGAGATTATTGTGTGTGAATTTTTTTTTAAACTAAAGAGATATGTAAAGTGAAAAAAAATATTATTATTATTTTAAAATCAGATGTGGTTATATACTTAAATTCAAATTAATAATTAGTGAAATTTGATTTTTTTCACATTATATATCTCTTTGTTTTTAAAGAAGTGTATTTAAGCTATGTGTGGAGAGAGATTAGTTATATTTAATTTGGAGAAAGAATATTGATGAGTAAATTGAAATTGCTTTCTTTGAATTCATTAATTGTGATCAAGTTATGTTATTGGAAGTGGAGGCATGGATGCCACCAGCACGGAGACCATACTCGATTCAAGTCACTATTCCAAAGTTTAAATATTTGTCAAAATTTATTTCTTTGTCATTTGTGTGCCCTTTCTTTCTCTCACGTGTTTTGTTGGTTTATTAATTTGGCAGACGAAACAAGAATGCGCAAAAGCAAACATTATAAATTTATAAATGATATGTTGATTCTTTTTTAGGATGTGAAATAAGCGGAAAAAAGAGAGATAGGTAGGTAAAGAAAAAAGAAAAAATAGAAAGAATGTAAAAATGAAAATATAAATGTTATCATAAATACGTTAATTACTTTTCTTGCAAGAATTAATAATGATGACGTATTTTTATCCAAATGCATACGGTTTTTCCCACTAGTCATGTCTATTGGCAAAAGGAAGACATATATTGCATGCAACTTAATTTTTGTGATCTACTTGCATATATAATCGCAAACAACTGCAGCAAATTGCTGAGCTGAATTATATACATTTTTTATTGTATCTTGTAACCAAGCAAAGGAAGGTGGTTTTGAAACGTTAAAGGCATTAAAACATACATTCACTAACAAATGAAGGGTACAATTAGTTTACGACAATGAATCAAAGCTAGATTTGAAGGTTTACGCGTTCAGTACAGATTGGTTTTTCTAATTTTTTGCTATATCTCTTTTACATTCTTCTTGATTTCAAACACACACACACATATATTATATATATAAGGGTTAGCCCTTATAATCAATCCTTTTATAGTGCTTCTTTTGTTGGTTTAGAAAAAAATAATTAAGAGGAAAATAACATATTTTAGTTTGCTTATGATGAATGTCTTCAGAGTACATTCTCTCAATGGTCTCTTAAAAAGAAAACAAGAAACTACGTATAGAGATAACAAACTCACGAAAATAGTTGAAATGCTAACGATTGTAACTATTCATTATACTTGTGTTTTGCAGTAGGCAATTGTGATCTCATAATTACTTATGTATAGAGTAAAAAATTAGATATTATAAAATAAATTAAATTTTACTCGTAAGTTAAAATTAATTTATATTTTCATTTTTTTTACAAGTTTTATCATTTATCTTCTCTAAAATATAACATAATAAATTATTTTAAATTTATAAAAAAATTCATTTTTATATTATTTTTACTCTTAACCTTGCTCATTAAAATTAGACCTTGATATAATATGCTATGCATGCATTGAAGAGGATATTTTATAATATCTTGTATATTCAAAAGTTTATGACCTGTTTGATAGTTAAAATAAGATGATAGAATAAAATAATTTTTTTTATTTGGACTATAAGAGATCCCTCAAAAGTTTAAATATATTAATAATTAATTAATGATTATAAAAAACTATTATTATAAAATGAAATATGAATATCTAATATATTTGGTGAGAAGTGAAGGCTCTAATTTTCCATACTATATAATAGAGCTTTTGTAAACAATGTCTACAACATGTCAATTGTAAATACGAAATAGAACGACCATGCATATGAAGATTTTTTTAGAAAGTAAAATTCCAGATACAATTATTTATCTTTCACCTATTTTTTATCATTTTACATTATCTATTATATTTTAAATTTTTTTCTCTTCGCTTTCTATACCTTTCTAAATATATACACTTATGAAGTGCATCGAATTTGTTTTTCCGAAAAGAAGATACAAATATTAGATGTGAAGCCTTCTGTTTTTTTGTTATAAGGAGTCTATAAATTAGTAAGTACGTTCTATATATTTTACCTAATTTATAGTAATGTTTTATTATCAGTTGTTTTTTCGGTGATGAAAAATAAATTATACTAGAGAAGAAAAAGAAACTCATATTAAGACTTTGAATATTATAATTCTTACATAAACAAATAAAATCGTTATTTTTGTTGACTTAAAAGAAGCTACAGGAGGTCAATAACTTTAGTGAATTTTATTGGCAAATTGCAGTATTAATTTATTGGAATATATATATATATATATATATATATTATTGAATCAAATAATAAAGCTAGCTGGTTAGTTTCGCATAGTTGATGGAAGATACATATTAAATTTTTCTATTAAAAACGTTGTGAACCCCACAAAGTAGATATCGTTTATCCAATCCATGCGTAAATCTGATAAGTGGGTCGCCACTTTCTCTTTTGGCTGTTTCTACATCAAAATTTTTCTATTAAATTTTAGCGATTGTTTTTCAATTTTCTTCAAATAAAAGTGATTTTTAAACAAAAATTAATAGTAAAGAAGAGTAATGCATTATTAGACAAAATGTTGGACTCAAGTCATATTACATATTAGCCAAAAATCAGTGACTCATTATCGATTTATATTCGAAAAAGAAAAGAAGAAAATACAACCGATGGAGATGCGGGGTATCGAACCCCGTACCTCTCGCATGCAAAGCGAGCGCTCTACCGTTTGAGCTACATCCCCATTGATGACAATTCTTTTAATATCAAATAAATATTTACTATAATATAATAATTTAAGACTTATATATGGGACTGAGCGGAAAGAAACAAGTGAAGCGAATGAACTCTTCCCGCCATAGCCATGGGAATGGACAGAGCGCAATGTGCCTATAACGCTTTGGTTCGCTTCTTTCTCTCTCTCTCTCTCTCTCTCGCTCATTGTGTGAGGAAATAGGTTTTGATGTTGATTTGATTTGAGTGAACGCAGGATGAAGCGTTCCAAATTGGAAAAGAAACGTATAGGGGGCAGCAATACAGCCAAATTTACTTCGCTCGCCTTCACTTGATGCGAACTCTCTTGTATTCTCTTATTCCCCATTGGAAACCTAATTTGACTGGTACCCTTCACTCTCCTTTTTCTTATTTCTACTCTCATCAACTTAGGGTTTTCGTTTCTATGTATTTTATTTTTGCTTTGAGGTTTCAGTTCATATTTATTGGCTTTGGGTTCCGTACAGTATGCACGGTGTTGGGGTTGGAAGAGGGCAAGGAGTGTGTCATTGTTGGAACCCTCTATAAACACATGAACCTCAAACCTTCCGTACTTGATGAGTATTCTAAGAAGGTACCTTCTTTTTTTCTGTTGTGCTTTATATGTAAAGTAGGAGCTTGGAAGTATTTTGAATGCTGCATGTTCTAAATATAAGAAAAATAAAAATGATACGATTAAAAGATATTTTAGAGAAGATTAATTTAATTGATAGATGATCATTTTACTGGTAATGAAAATATGAAAAATACTGGCATTTGAGACTTTTAGAGGGAAAGAATATTGATTTGATATAATATGGAAGCTTAAGAATTAAAATACTGTGTCACGTGACTATGAGAGGATGAGAGTGTATATGTAACTTATCCTACTCTCAAGGGTGAGGACTTGAATTTTCCATATGAGGGGGAATGTTATGCTTTCTTCGTATGAAAATTGACAATAATATGCCAAAGGGCTGTATTTCACTGCCAATTTATACAGAGATCGGTGGTTCCACTTGTCAAGCTGCATAACTTTGTGCACCCAGACGATCACCTCGTTTTGGAAGATGAAAGCGGGAGGGTTAAGCTCAGTGGGAATCTCATTTCGCCATCTGAATATGTAACAGGTCTATATGACACACAACTTAATTCAGTAAATTAGATTTTGTGATAGGATGACAATTCTGAAACATGTGCATGTTGATCGCAAAACATTTAAGTTTGGTATTTTTATTTTCTTTACTTTTCTTTTCCTTCCTTCTGTGTTTTTTTTTGGAACTTGGTGTGGCTCCCACAATATTGGGTTGCAATCTTTTCAGCTTTTTTTTATATTTATCTTCTATCTGGAAATAGATCATGCGGCTACTTAATGATATTTGTTCTTTTATAATTACAACTTAGCTTTGATACAAATTCCTGTCATCTGGCATGTGATGATTTTATTCTAACACGTATGACAGGGATTGTGGTTGCTTTACTTGGAAAGGAAACAGGGGCAGGTCACTTTTTGGTTCAGGATGTACTAGAGGCTGGCTTACCTCCACAGATAGAATTTCCCCTTAAATCAAGTATCTCTTCTCTATCTTTTACATCTGCACTATTTATATGTAACCTAGTAAAGCACATGCAAGGTGATGGCATATCTATGGGATTGTTTTCCCAGGTTAAAGCCACACACAGTAGATTATGATTTCCCATTTTAGAATGAAGGAATATGTGGTGAATTAGCATCTCACCTTCCTGCACGAAGTGCTGCTTCTGTTGTATATTTAATATCTCCAATTTTATTATAAATATTGGCTCATAATTTACCCTTATTTGGATTCAACAGGGGAAGACAAATTTGTTGTTCTTGTGTCGGGGTTAAGTGTTGGGAGCAGCAACGCTAATCCTCTTCAGTTTCAGCTTCTCATTGATCATATTACAGGGCATTTAGGAGATGAGAAGGTTTATCCTGTTTTCTCTCAACTTTCTCATGTTGATAATTATGCAACATTCCAAAATTTTGACTCGTCACAAATGACAAATTAAACAGGAGCAAAGTATTGCTTCACAAATTGTTCATGTTGTTATTGCTGGAAATTCTGTTGAGATACCTCATGGGCTTCTCAATGGACAGGTACAAGTGGTGTCCCGTGTTTGTTGTACTGGTGTGTAAAAAATGATTTTTTTATTTTTATTTATAAATATAGTTTTGATATATTTTCTTTTTTAGTTAACAAGTAAAGTGGATTTATGGACATTTTTATCAATATTTGCAGAATTTGGCTTCAAAAGACCTCTCAAGGATGGCTGAGCCGATAAAGGAGCTAGATATTCTGTTGAATCAGGTTCATGTTATTAGTTTGATTCTTACATTATTGTCCTTGATTTTCTAAATAATTTGCTTAACTTTTACTTGCTTTCAGATAGCTGCTGGTTTGCCTTTGGATATCATGCCTGGACCCAATGACCCTGCTAATTTCTCATTACCACAACAGGTTGTTGTGTTGTTCTTTAAGAGCATGTATGGCATATTAACATGTGTTATTTGACTTTATTACTAAAAGTAGTACTTTCAGCCATTGCATAGGTGCCTTTTCCCCGGGTCATCAGCATATAATACTTTTAGATCTTGTACAAATCCTCATTCTTTTGAGCTTGATAATGTCAGGTAAATAGATTACTCTCAGTGCTACTATTGTCTTTTCTTCTGAATCTACTATACATTAAACATGATCTATGCACTGCTTCCAGGTTTCTTGGGACATCAGGTCAAAATGTAGATGATCTTGAGAAGTATTCAGAGGCGAAAGATAAACTTGAATTCATGGAAAGGACATTAAGATGGAGGCATTTAGCACCCACTGCACCTAATACTCTTGGTATATATATATATATGCTTCAATGCTTTTACACTTGCTTGGCTATCAATAATCCATCTCATTTTTCGCCTTGCTTAGAAATTTTTTGTGGGAGATTGAACATTTGTTATATTACCTTCTATTTCTGAAGAAATCTAGACATTTATAATTCAAACTGTCATTGGTTTTTCAAAACCAAAATATGTGTTCTTATTTTTTTTATCTTAACTGTTGTCTTCCAGGATGTTATCCTTATACTGATAAGGATCCATTTTTCATTGAGAGCTGTCCTCATGTTTACTTTGTTGGAAATCAGGATAAATATGAAACTCGTGTGGTAGAGGGTATTTTTCCTCTAAAGTCTACATTGCAGAAATAAATGTTACTTTTCTGATTTGCATTTACTGTAGTGACCCCTTCCCCAACACTCTAATTAACTTTGTACGTTGATTGCAGGAACAGAAGGGCAGTTGGTGAGACTTATATGTGTTCCTAAATTCAATGAAACGGGAATTGCCGTTATGGTGAGATTTAAATTTTTCACACTTAATCTTATCTTAAATATGGCCTTCTTAAATTACTATAAAAACATGTCAATATCATATCTTGTTACAACAAATCTTTTCTTTTTGGCAGCTAAATTTGAGGGACCTTGAATGTCATGCTCTTAGTTTTGGAACTCAGTTCAACTCATAACGGTGCAGAATGAAGTTCTTCCGGTAATTAAATTTGTAACATTGTAAATTTTTAGCAGTTTAAGTATAAGCATAGTGTTTATGGCTTATCTAAAGTGACAAAATGCATAAAGTGTGAAAGTTTCATCCTTGATCTATGGTGGATATGCCTTTACCTTATACATTTTCTTACTTTCAAGAGCGAAATCTGTTTATTAGGCATAACTAAGTAAAAACTCAAGATACAGTGGTTTCTTTACTGTAGTAATTACAGATTAATATATCTAAATTTATATGATTTCTTTACTATAGTAATTACATGAAAATGTCATCCATGTGTATATGTAGATAGGTTATGGAAAGTTTGTTGATTGTGCTGCCACACATGTATCTTTGGAGACAAAGAGAAGAACTGCAAATTGAAGCTTAAAGTTGAAGAAGGCTGTAACTCTCCGTTTCTTTGGTGTAATATACTAATATTATCTTTGTAATATGCTACTATATTAACTTGCATATGTATTTTCGTATTAGTTTTCAATTTAACATAGTATTTACACATGTGCATTTTGTTTGACAGCAGATAGTCTGAACATTTCAATTTTGAAATAATCAAGGTTTTTCCCCTTAAGAATATTGTACTTTTTTCTTTAATAATTGGTTTGCAAGAATTCTGATAATTTGATTTTTGACCAAACTCAATGGTCTTGTTGTTATGATTGTAATTAGTATGCAAGAACAGATTCCTAGATTAGCACAATAAGTAGGAACACATGCGAGAGGGGCAAGCGTGAGCCTCCATTCATCCCTTATGTATCTCTAATCTTGTTATGAATGTGAAATTTTGTTCTCTTTTAACCTTCCTTGCAATATTAGCTAGCTAGACGGACCTTGCAATATGAATAACTATTACGCAAAACACAGTTCAATCTCTATTGAAGGTGGCGTAATATTCCTTACTGATTTACAGCGTTTGAGCTCAATTAATCTTGTTCTTTTAATAGGGAAAGTAATATTGTACCATAAAATTTGCTGTTGTTGGACTATATGTAGATTTGTGTTAAGTATATTCATATAAACCTTGTGTACTAAGATAAATCTCACAGTATAAAATGTATTAACATCAGTCACAAAAATAAAAAAGAAAGCTACTTGTATCGCTTTTTATTTACATGTCTCGTGCTATCATATTTAATTCAGACTGTATTTTTTCATAACTAAAAAGATCTCCCCACGCTTGTTACTAACGTAACCTCTCCTACCTATAAAATAGATAAGAAAAGAATGTGGTTTAGACGCCCCAAAAGGAGGGGGGAAACAGAAGAAGAAAAAAGAAAGCATAATGAGAAATTGCCAATGACCTTTGACCTTGCGATATCATGAGCATCGCCTTGCTTATATCTTTTCCTATAACTTAACATGAGCAATGTCAATAACACATTATTTTACACATTTCTTTTAGGGTTATTTATCATGTCTTTTTCAATATATATTATGGAAACCTTAAATGTATCTTATTATATATTTTAAGTTATGAAAAAATTTTAAATATTCTTTATATGTTTGATATAATTTTATTTTTTCTTATTACAATGAATATGCAATAGTGAAATTTTTATTGAGTAAATTTTATTTAAAGCTTTTAGGTTTTGAGAGAAATGCTTTTAGTATTGGTTAAAAATATTAATATGCTATATTGCTAAACATTTTTAACCTCAAAAAGTAACCGTTAAATAACTTTATACATTTCAATGTACTAATAAATAAAATACTCTTTTTCAATAAAGACTTTCTGCATATATTTTTATAGTGTATGTATGCTTTCAATTTTGGTCGAATTGATTTATACATGCGACGTTAAAAGAATTGACCCTGAAAGAATTAATGTAAAAAAATGTTTTTGGAGATAATATTTTAAATAAAAAAAAAGAATATTGTTTCTATTTGGATAGGTAAACTGAAAACTTTTAACAATAAAATTATTAAAAGAGTTTAAATTTAATATGATATTTTAAACATGTGTTTAAAGATATAAATAACAACATATATATATATATATATATATATATAAGGTTTTATTAAAAATCACAAGATTAAATATTTAATAACATTAAATAATATAATTTTTAATAAAAATATTTATTTTTTATTATGTACCCTCGTACACATGTTTAAAAAAACTTAATTAAAATAGTTAAAATTATATTCATTATATATATATATATATATATATATATATATATATATATATATTTGTTGGCAAACATGATATTGGAGACTTAGAAATGAAAAGCTACTATTTCTCACTTCAACTAAAATGGACGGAGAATTCGAGAATTAATTTTACAAACAAAATAAATACTCTGCAACCGCCTTTTTATTGCCGCTCAGGGATTTTAACGTCTCTCAAACAGGTTTTAATCAATATTTTAAAAGTATTAATTAGCATTTGTTCTCCTTTTTAAAATGAAAATCGTGCGAATTTACTTATAAAAATATTGAATATCAACAATATCAGCTGAGAAATCTCGCTTTAAACTTTTTATACAAAAAGAAAAATATAACATAAGATAATTAAAGTGATAAAAAATAATATTATATAAATAATGCACTGACTCGTATCAGATTACTTCATAGCTGTCACACTCCGGATCCGGATCCAAGTTTTATAAGTCAATTTGACAAATTTATTATAATATTGTAAATTAAAAAATAATTTATTATTTTATAGTAAATCTGAAACAATTTCTTAATCTGAGATTTTTTTGTTACGTGGATCAAATTTTCACCAAATGGTTGGCAAAAGTATTAATTTTTGAATTTTTTAATATCTATTTCGCTACAAAAAATACAAAATATGACTTTTTAGAGCGGTTAAATTAAAACCGCTCTCATAAGTCTATTTTAGAGAGCAGTTCCTTTTGAACCGCTTTCATAACTCAATTTTAGAGAGCGATTCCTTTTGAATCGCTCTCCTAACTTATTTTAGAGAGCGGTTCAACTCAGAAGTGCATATTAAGAGAGCGGTTCTGGAGGAACAACTCTCTTAAATTTAAAATGAACAGCTGGGGAGATTTTGATACACGTGGCAACATCTAAGATGATTCGCGCTGCTATTGGCGAAAGTTTATTTCGCCCTGCAGTTAGCGAAACCGTGTTTGACCGACGTCCTTCTTCCTCCTCCGTGACGGTCCTCCGTCGTTTCTATTTTGCTTTTCTCCGTCTCTACGTATGTAAGTGATTTGGTAATTAAGTGGGAGTGAGTGAAGAATTTGCTGAAAGTTTATTAAAGATTAGTAAAAAAGAATTTAAAATTTAAATATTTTTTTATTTATTTATTTATATATAGGTTAATATGTTTTTAGAAAAAATGAAATGTGATATAGTTAATTAAAATATAAAATTATAATTAATTATTAAGAAGATAGGTTAAATTAAGATTTATAAAATTTATTTACAGGAATTATTATAGATATTTATTAAAATACAGAATAATAAAAATTGAGTTAAATAAAATAATTATATAAAACTAAATATAATAATTTATACTTAGTTTGATTGTAATAAATAATTTTTATACTTATATTGAAGTAAAATTTTAAAATTGTATTTATATAAAATTTATGTAGATTTAAATTAGGAATATAAAAAATAAAAATGTAATTTAATTTTAGGCAGTAAGTAGAGTTTTGTATTTAAATAAAATTTGTATGTAAATAATAATATTTTTTACTTTAAAAAACGTAATAGTATTTATATAATTATAAATTAAATGTAATTTATGTAGATTTAAATTAGAAATATGAAAAAATTAAAATGTAATTTAATTTTATGCTAGTAATTAGAGTTTTGTATTTATATAAAATTTGTATGTAAAATTTATGTAGATTTGTATTTAGAATAATTAAAAATTTATATATCTTTAGTTATAATATGTATAGAATATAGGTTAGTATATTTAAAAAGAATTATACCTAAGAGAGCGGTTTTCGCAGGACCGCTCTCTAATATGTACTTCTAAGAGTGGTTCATAAGGAACCGCTCTCTTAAATGGAGTTATGAGAGCGGTTCCTTTTGAACCGCTCTCTAAAATAGACTTATGAGAGCGGTTTTAATTTAACCGCTCTAAGAAGTCATATTTCGTATTTTTTGTGGCGAAATAGATATTAAAAAATTCAAAAATTAATACTTTGTCCAGCTATTTGGCGAAAATTTGATTCACGTGACAAAAAAATCCCAAATTAAAAAATTGTTTCAAATTTACTATAAAATAATAAATTATTTTTTAATTTACAATATTATAATAAATTTGCCAGTCAATTTAGCATAGATTTATTATTAATTATCGTTGCAAGTAACTATCATTAGGCCTACTAGGATAAACCACTTTATTAGGCAAACACCGAAAAAAGGTATATGTCAGAAAGTAACACTGAAACTGATTGAGAGCGCAATTGTGGGTCTTGTCAATTTTTTAGTATTGTATTGTTCCTCTCAGAAAATTCACATGCCATGCTTACACATACGCTTACAGAATACACAAACAGCCAAAACAAAGACATAAAAATCTTTGGACAATTAATCCCTTCACAAAAATATTTATAACATTGCATCACACCCCCAACGGCTATATTTCATTCCCTCTCTCTTCCATTATTCAATATCCAGTTTTGCTTTTCCATTCCCACAACGGTCCATCACCCATCACCCACTTCATAAAACCACCAAAATCATATTGACATTTTCTTAGGCTACATATTAAATACTATTACATACCATATATATAGCTTACTTAGGCTATTCCATTTTTCACTTGCAATATATTATGGATACTGCTATTGCTATTGATGCTAAGGTTCAACATGTGACTAAGAAATCTTCCGATGAGCTTCTAAGGAAGTTTGCTGAAGTGGGTAGTGAAAAGGGTGGAGAAAAGAGGAGGAGGAAGAAGAGAAGGGAAGACCGATGTGGGTGTGAGAGCCCTTCAAGCGGTGGCGCCGCCGTGGGGGAAAGGAGGTCCCTTTTACCGCCGAAAGTGACACGGCGGTCGGTGTTGCTCCGGCAGCTCAGGACAAGGGATGTGATGAGAAACAAGTCATCACTCTTTGGAACCATTCATAAGGTGAGACTAATTTAATTTGTATTCTTCAAATGAGCCATGTTGTTGTTGTTGTTGTTATTTATCCATGGCCATTGAATCAGAAAAAGGTTTTTTGTTCTTTTTTAATTTGGGATTGTCATAAAACTTTTGTTATACGAGAATTATTAAATGTGCCTGAGTAATCATGTTTCTGAATTTTTTAATGTTATCATAAAATTGAAGCTTCAATACTTACATTACTAACTACTCTTATAGTCCTTTTTATATGAAATTTTTGAATGCTTATTTTAGTCCTTTTTACAAGATTTTCTCTAAATTATTTATTGCTTTAATATTACTAATTAAATTGTTTAGAATTGTTAACTCTTGTAAAGTAGTTAAAGAGATCTTATTTACTAATAAAAGAATATAATGAAGCATAGTTTAATCAGTTCTTGCTATTTTAATTTTATAATCACTTCTTGCTTGCAGACATGGCGTAGAACCGTGGAAGGAGCCTCAAGAGTTTTTATGGAAAAGCATTATCATCGCCATAAGCGTTTGATCAATGATATTGTTTAGGCTCTGTTGAGTAATTGTAATTGAAAATTCTACAATGCTCTGTGTATATTGCCCCATCAATTGGTTTTGTTCAATTACTCGTGCTATATATTTACTTTTCACTGATTCTCTATTCTTTCCTCTTTAAAGTAATAAAATTTATTAGTTCATTCATTTATATCATTTCCCTTTTCATGCCAAAGAAAAAGAGTAATATAAAAATTGTTGCATAATACTCTCTCTCTCTCCCTTAACACCCTAACTAATTAACTAACACACCCTTCAGAGCAATTTTATCCTAGGACCTTCTTTTTCTCTCTTCCATTATCCATTTCTCCTAATAACGAGTTTAAATTTCAAGATGTTTACAAAAATACTTTTCTTAATATATTTTCTATTATTTGCTATTTTTTATTAAAAAGATATAAAATTATATAAGTTTCACTCTTAATTTGATGAGTTTTACTTAGAATTTTATTTTTTAATAAATTTTAATCAATAATAGTGTATAAGAGAAAAATGTTACTGACACTTTTTTAAATATATATTTAAATAATCATAAATTTGTGCGATAATTCATATTTTGTGAAATACAGCATTATTCTATTGTTATACAACAATAAAAATGTTGTACCAGTTGATGCAACAATCAAAATCAATCAAAATGATATCCCTCTTAATAATAAAAAGATTTATGTTATGTCATGAATTTTTTATATGCAACTCTCTAAAAAGTGTTAAAGGTGGTCTAAGGATACAATAATACTTAAGGAACAAGTGATTCAGCTGAGGTTTGTTGAAACATTAAAAGATAATAGAGGGTAACAGGTAGTGGTGCTCCAAGAAGATGAGATTAGGTGGGGTATAAGTGAACTGAATCTGGGGTTCAAAAATGAAATGCGGCTAATGGTAAAGCGATGATCCTCTCCAAATATCTCACATACATTCATTCAATGTGTTTTAAAAGGAAACTAATTTAATCATTGCGATCCTATGTAAGCCACCACAATTCTTTATGCAAATGTAACAGTTATTTGATTGGATTAAGTTAGGTCAGAATGATTTCGAGCCATTTTTTTTATATTCAAAAGTTAACCAATACAAACCAAATGATGAAATGCAATACTAAATCTCATTCCAAAAGTAAATAAATAGATCTAGTATGGCCATATTCATGGAGATTTCTCCTCTTATATTTATTTTTATGAGGGTATCGATATTTGTTAAACAATTACTGATTAACACTGACGTATTTGTACATTTTAATTATAAACAAATTAACTCTTAGATCTGAAACTCTATATATAATAAAGCACATGACATGTTTTTCCTTTTGGTTTTCAGCTTTCCTAAATTTGTTTCCATTTTGTGGTTCTGAAAAACAATTATTGCTCTAAAACCATGCATTCCTTCTATTAAAATCATGTTATGTAATAATATTTTAAAATTATTTGAGATTAAAATAAGAAAAAAGTGTCACATTAAGATTACTGACTATTCATGTGTACTTACAAGAATACCACATTTTGTTGCTGTCATGTAGCGAATATTTCTCACAGACAACTTCATTATACAAGATTTTTTTTTTAAAAAAAAAAGTATAATATTACATGAAATGTGTGAAAGGCAATGTACTAACTTTAATATCTACTTGGATTGCTTTGAGGAAATATTTATCGAAAAATATTTAATTTTTAAAACTGAATTTAAATATTTAAAAATAATAAATTTTTACTGAAAATATTTATCATACTTTCATAACTTTGATATGATAAATATATCTTTTAATAAAAATTATTATATAAAATTAAAAATTAAAAGAATCAATATTTATCATTTGAAGGAGTAAAATAAATATTTATACATGGGTGGTGTAATTTGTAGGTGGGTCCACTCAAATCAGTGGCAATTGTGTAAAAAGTCGTTGTCAGCTTGAGAGGTGCAGTGCCTTTTAAAAATATATATAAGAAAAGTAAAACTTGAGGTCCAAGAGATAGATAACACCACCAAAAAAGGGAAAACTAAAAATGGAATTGGAAAAATGGAAAAAATTAATAAAGAAAAGGAAAATGAAATTAAAAAAAAAAAATAGTCCTAAAACTGATACGCTGCTCTTCGTTTCAAAGTCAACATAAGCTTTCGTCAACTTTCCTCTCTTTGCCACTTCCACACTCACTCAGCATTCTTGCCATCTGCACGTTCTTTGGAAACCACAGCGGTTTCTTGTACTACTATATTGGACTTATTGCTCTCTCTCTCTCTCTCTCTCTCTCTCTCTCTCAATATTCTTCTATATCAACACTAGTCACAAGATCATTCACTCCCACAAGATCTTCACCTTTGTTTTGGAATTCCAATAACAAATTCTCTCTGCTCATAACCCACGTTTCAAACACTCTGATTTGCACTTCCACAACTCTCTTTCTCATTCTTCAAATTGCAACTAATTCATTCTATTCTTTCTCTCTCTTCCGAATTTGAAAGTTAGTTTTTTTTCCCAAGTGTTACCAATTGTTACCTCCAATCTCAAAGTACAATCTTTCCAACAACTTTTCTTGGCTCAGGCAGATACTTATAAAAGAAATCACATTTTTTGCTTGTGGGTATTGTTGTGAAATTCAGAAGATACCAAAGTTTGAGTCTTTACAAATCTTTTTCTTTCTAAGGAGGTGTTTGAGAGGGAAATGTGGGATGTTTTCTTGGCTTGCAAGCTTGGTTTCTTCATGCCTGAGTCCTATGAGGCGCTATGCCCGCATGGGCAATGATGACACTAGTGATGATGGTTCTTCAACTGCTGAGCGGTCTCTTTTCTGGCGTAGAGACCTTGGGAAGCATTCTTGGGGTGAATTTTCCTTCGCTGTGATTCAGGCCAATGAAGTTATTGAGGATCATAGCCAGGTTGAGATAGGCTCTGATGCTATCTTTGTTGGAGTTTATGATGGCCATGGAGGTCCTGAGGCTTCCGTGTTCGTCAGGGATCACCTCTTCCAGCATCTAATGAGTGAGTCTTCTGAGATTCTTTGAGTGTTTCTTGTTTCATTTTGAATGTAAATTTCCATTTTGGTTTTTTTGGTCGCATGTGTGCAACTTATTAATTATTATTTTATGATCATGTAGATTGTGCCTTCTTGTTGTTATTTGTAATTAGCCCTTTGGCTTATATGGTCTTGGCCCCGGGTGGTTTTGGTTTTATTGTTGCTTTGTTTTTATTGCATATGTTTGCGGCTGCAAGAGACTGAATAAATTTCAGTTTTTGGTTTCCTTTCTCTCCCCTCTTTTTCTTTTGATTCTTTGAATTGTGCTCTTTTATTTATTTGGAAAGAGTGGGGGATGGATTGGAAACATGAATCTGAAATTGAAAGGAACCAAATATTGATTGTATACCCACGAAGAGAGAATATGGAAAATGTTTTCTTAGAACAATCTTGTTTATCCAGAAGTTCATCTTACTACAAACGTTCTTGTGTTGTGTGTGTGTGTGTGTGTGTTAGAAATATGGAACAAAAACTTCTCCATTTAAGATGAGATCTAAGACACATGCCACAAATTGATTTTCCTGCCAATTTAGGATTGATATGGTTTATGAAATTCTATTGTTTGTTTTCATTTTCTGAAAGTCTTGTTGTAGCTTTTTGAGCTAATTTAACTGATGTGTACTTGTGTGAATTAACACACATAAAAATATAAATACATAATTGTCTGACTTGCAATATATTTGCATTAGTTTAGCTCTTCATTTTCTTTTCCCCAAATCTTATTCTGTCTTGTGTAGCAATGGTACTGCGTTGTTTTATGCAATTACGGAAGTTTTATGTTGAACCTGGTTACAGGTATTGCTAAGGATAATGGTACTATCTCTGAAGAAACCCTCAGGGGTGCCGTTTCTGCTTCCGAGGATGGGTTTATGACTGTTGTCCGTAGGAGTTTTAGGATTAAAAAAGTGATTGCAACTGTGGGTTCCTGTTGTCTAATTGGTGTTATCTGGAAAGGGACCCTATATATCGCTAATGTTGGAGATTCCCGTGCTGTAATTGGTTCCATAGGTGGATCTAACAGGATCATTGCTGAGCAGTTGAGTAGAGAGCACAATGCCAATATAGAGGAGATTAGAGAAGAACTCAGGGCTTTGCATCCAGATGATCCAGATATTGTAGTCAAGAGCCGTGGAGCATGGCGCGTTAAAGGCATCATCCAGGTTTTGTTTTGCTTTTCACATTTATAAAGAGTTTGTTAGTAGTTTATGTAGCCTTTGTCTCTGTTTTGGCTTCTGCTTAATTTTAGTATTTGTAGGCTTTGAAGACTACACTCGACTTCCAACTATAGTCTCATGCCTTGAACAGAAATGAAATTTGTGTATTATTCCTGTTATTATTTTGCATGATATAGGGTTGTAACTCCGTAACACTACAGGATAGTCATGTGCCAAAGATAACTCACATTGACCGTCGCATAACAGTTTTATGCTCCTTGGATTATTTATGGACCTTTTTTCATATTTTTCTTATTATCTTATCGGTGGTCTCAATCATGTGTGACTAGAAGCTTTTTGTCTCGTTTTTTGAGAGTTCATATTACATATTAAATGTTACATGTATACGTTTGTATATTAACGTTTTCTGTAAGATTTTGTATCAAAAGTAATAGGTTGTGTTGCAACTCTTATATTTTATTGCAAGATTATATTTTGGTTGATTTGAGTGTATGGAAATTATAACTAATTATCCAGTATGTGTACACTGCTGTACTTTATAGGACCTAGTTTTCTAGCAAGGTGTCTCTACTTCAATTACATGCTTAAATTTTTAGGACTTTTATGCAAGCCATATTTAATTTCTGCACTACATTTGTGCCTCTTATTAACTCACGGTTTTCTCTGTTCACTTAACTGCTATCAGGTAACCAGATCCATAGGAGACGCATATTTGAAGCGGCCGCAGTTCGCTTTAGATTCGTCATTCCCACGCTTCCATTTGACTAAAAATATTACCAAAGCTGTGCTGACAGCAGAACCATCTGTAATGTCAAGAAATTTACAACCCCGTGACAGATTCATCATATTTGCATCAGATGGACTTTGGGAACTCTTGACAAATCAGGAAGCAGCTGACATTGTTCATAACAATCCGCGAAATGTATACTTTTTGTACTTGTTCTTCTCTTTTCTTTCTACAATCTTTGCGCTTGTTTATGAAAAGGCTCTTACTTTTTTTCTTATGCTATGCTTCAGGGGATTGCAAGAAGACTTCTTAAGACTGCTCTAAGGAAAGCAGCTAGAAGGGCGAATATGACATATAAACAGCTTCAGAAAGTTGAGAAAGGGAAAAGAAGGGATTATCATGATGATATCACTGTGATTGTTGTGTTCATAGATCATGGGTTGCTTGGGAAGAAACCTAAAGTACCAGAGTTGTCCATAAAAGGGTTCATGGCCTCGGATGGACAATCAAATTTTAAACAAATCCAGGAGCTTATGTGATACACAAGGATTTATTTTTTTTTTCCTTGAACTATAGCAATAAACTTGATTGCCTCTTCCTAATTTTGGGAAGGGAAGTTCACAAAAAGTTCTATAACAATTACACACAATTTTGCAGCATCCAATTGTTCATTTTTATCATTTCTTCACCTATTAAGGTGTTGGAGGTGATAACTTTGCATTGTTGCAACTTGTATATGCTACATTGAAAGAATGGTTTAACGCTAATGACCAAAATTTGTGTTGATTTTTTTAGTCCCTTTTGTTCATGTGGCTTTAAGAAATCTTGGGAACTCTTCTATTTTGCAATTTAGGAATCAAGCATGGTTCACTTCCAATGCTTAGTTTTCAGTACATTTAAAAATAACTAAGGAGTTAATGGTTGTTAGGAAAATAACTAAGAAGTTTTCAGTATCTTAAAGGTTAGTTTAAAAATTTGGTTTTGTAAAGAAAAAAAAAGGTAGAGGATAAATATTTTATTTTAAAATTAAAGTAGTTATACAATATTTATAAAAATACATGAAAATTAAAGATTTTAAACTTTTATATATATATATATATATATATATATATATATATATATATATATATATAAAGTTAGAGAATGTTTATTATAAAAAAAAAATATGTTTTGTAAACTTCAATTCGTAAAGTTGAATTTAAGGTTAAGCACATAAAGTGGTAAGATTTTATTGAAAAAGGATGTTTATTACATTAAAATTATAAGATTGTGATAATTTTTTTTAATATTATTTTTAGGTTCTTAATTTTAGTTCTTAAGTTTTGAGATTAACATTTTATTTTAAAAAACATTGCGCTCTTTTCTTCCAAAATTTAACTTCTCAATGTTATCCTAAAACAGAAGATGTAGAAGTTAATTGTAAAAATAACAATGCACTTCTAAATTTTTTAAAGTATTTTTTTCCAAATCTTTTAGGAAATATAAATTCTTATATTCGTCATCACTTGAACTGATTTGTACAGTAACTGTTCTCTTTTCGCTTTGCATTGTAAATTTTTGCATGTTGTTTGTTTCAACTGTCAATTTTGTGTTTTTTTATTCATTTATTTTTAATTTGTACAGTTAGAAGCCAAGTAAATATGCAATTTAAGGAAAATAATTTTTCTTGGGTTTCCATTTGAAAGATATTTTGAAACTGTCACGGAAATGCATGCAATAACCACCCAGTTTTCAAGTTTCAAGCACACAAAAGCTGGATAAAAGTATAAAGATAAAAATAAGACTTTTAAGTTAAAGGCAAATTAAAGCATCAAAAGAACAGTGAAGAATCAACGAGAAAGTAATACACAATTGGTTCGAATAAGTGGTTTTCCTCCCAAGGTTTGATACCCACTTTGAAATACTCATTCACACTCAGGAAAAAAGGTCTATAATTGCAACAATTGGGAAAAAAAGAATAAGGAAAACGAAAGTGAACATAGTTTTTATAAGAGTTTAGCCAAAATGAGAACCTGCATCTTTCTAAGCTACTAAAGTTAGATTCCCCCAAGAACCCTGTTAAAACAGCATCTCGAGAACAATCGTTGAAGAGGGTGTATTTAAATTTCCCTTAGTATGAATTTTCAAGCATGTAAATTAAAAATAATAATATTCAGCTACTAACAAAGTTACAACACAATTAATATAAGAAAGAGGTGGTATCTACTTTGATAATTTCTCCACCGGACTATTGACCTTAAAATACTCTTGGTATACAAACAAAAAAAAAAATAGCTACTTTGAAACGAATGCACATTAAAACTTTTCTAAATGAAAAACCAAAAATACACTTAGCCATTATTCCAAGAATGAAGGAAAATGCGTAGAAAACAAGCTATGTGGAGAGAGAAGACGATTTTTTAGGCATTTTTTCTTGTTTGATGAACACAAAAGGGGGGAAAATACCTTGCTGTTTCTTTCTAATATTGGAAGAGCACATCAGGGGAAAAAAAGTTTATTAAAATGAGTTGAAAACAATTGATAAAATTTATAAATTATTCATGAGCCTTTTTTTTTTAAATAAGCTTTAAGTAGCATTCGATTAACATGCACATTTTAGTTATTTAATATTATTCTTTTTCTCCCTTGTTTTAGTAAAAGGCCTACTGCTATCTCTACCAGTCTCTCCTTAGATTTAAAAAAAATTAATTTTATATTTCTTCAATATATTTCTTACAACCAAACGAAGCATTAGCTTTCTTAGCGTGTTGGAATATTACAAACTTTATTTTATATTTTTTAAATTAATTTAATTAACAATTGTAAAGTATAAAATCATTCAAGTTTTGATGTATGCGCGCTGAAAAGAATGTTTGAATAATATTATTATGTAAAAGTAGTGTAACTCGTTAGAGAAGTGTCAGGTAAAGATAAATTTCTAGGATTCAATTTCAAAATTTGCAAAATTTTAGTGTGGGCATTATTTTTAATATTTTTTCCGCAAGCTATGAGGATAAAGACCTGCAACTCATATGCTCTATTCTTTGTACTTTTTTAATATTTAATTATTATTTTATCCATAACTTTTTGTTTTTTTAATAGTTTTTTAAAAATTCATTATTGACTATCTTTGACAGTACATACACCAAAAATCACACTTATATTTCCGTAATTTTTCAAAAAGTACTATATTTTTATATATATAATTTCTTATATGAAAAAAATAATCCAAGAGAATGTGCGAAAAAATAAATAAATCCATAAACAAAAATTAAAAATATTTTTCCTTTTATTTATTTATTTATTTATTTATTTCTCTTCTCTTTCTTTTCACTCAAAGCCACATAAATAGATTGGACAGTATCAAATGGTACAACACTGTAGATAACCCAGGACCCTTTTTAAATTTATTTTATGGTCAAATATATTTATAAACTATATTTTAAAAATCATCTAGACAAGATTGAAACAGCACTGCCTGCAGGCGATAGCAGTTCATCTCCTACACCTTTTTCCTGTGTGAATTCAGTGGATTCTAGTTTTTCCTCCAATTTCATATGCTACTGACACTAACAAAACAACACAAGAATTGCAATTTTGACAACGTGCAGTGCAATGGATGTGCCACTTCTTCTATATCTATTTATTGTTGTCTGAGCATTTTATCCTTCTAATATAAATACCAATGATTACATTATTACTTAAAACTTTTTACCACAGGTCACACAAACTAGTAAGATATAAAACCAGTAATTTTATGGTCTTTGCTTTTTTGGTTCCCAATTTCTATTCTTAGTTCCCAGCATCATTTTCATTAAAATGTTCTAATGATTTTTAAAAAAAATGAATTTACCAAAGCTTAGATGTTACTGACACTGCCGTATAAATAATACACCAGCAGTTTTATCATTATCAGGATAAAAGGCATGCCACTTCGTTGATCAGAATACTTGTGAAAAGAATAGTTGATTCAACCAAACCAAAGCATTAACAAATATTACACATCTCTTCTACAGCAAAATGGGGGAAAATTTTGAATCTTACATATCTTTCTAGCCTTATGCTCTTATCCCAACATATCAAGAAAAGAAAACACAAAGAAACATGATAAAAGAAATGGTAAAGAATAGGAAATGAAAGTTCCTCAACCACTTGATCGTATATCTGTAGTACCAAGTATATATAGTAATTTCCCTGGTCCAGCTTTCATTCGCCATGATTAAAACTTAGAAGCATTTCCTGTGTACGATTGATGGCCCAGATTCATCATATTCTGCCTTTGAAATCCACATCTGCACATGGAGAAAAAAAAAACAAAGAAGGAGCACATTGATTAGCTGACCTTCAGCAAACTACATTTGTTATAACATTGCACTCTATCAAGTCCCACAAGCTCAATGAAAAAAGGATATACTTCATATATTAGTTTAATACCTTTGATCTACCTGAGTATAATAATTGATTGTTATTTCGTCCTATAATTTTTATCTTATTAAATTTCTACTTATTGTTGAAATAAAACTTCCTCATTTGATTTGTTTGCTGTTGCAAATGGGATTAACTAATTATAGTGATGCACTTCACCTGTTGGAAGGTGCTGAGAGATGCCAAAATGGAGCCACCAATCCAGACACTGTACTTCCTCTCTGGGGGTGCTACAACCTTAATTTTCATGCTACTTGGTGCCAATGCGGTAATCTCCTTGCTCATCCTATCAGCAATGCCTGGGAACATTGTGGAACCACCACTCAACACAATGTTACCATAGAGATCCTTCCTAATGTCCACATCACACTTCATGATGGAGTTATATGTTGTCTCATGGATACCAGGAGACTCCATCCCGATCATGGATGGCTGGAAAAGAACTTCAGGACAACGGAATCTTTCGGCGCCGATCGTGATCACCTGTCCATCAGGTAACTCATAGCTCTTCTCAACAGCTGAACTGGTCTTGGCAGTTTCCAATTCCTGCTCATAATCAAGAGCAATATAAGCTAGTTTTTCCTTCATGTCTCTCACAATTTCTCGCTCCGCTGAGGTGGTGAAAGAGTACCCTCGTTCGGTCAAGATTTTCATCAGGGCATCGGTGAGATCACGCCCTGCAAGGTCCAAACGAAGGATTGCATGTGGAAGGGCATAGCCTTCATAGATAGGAACCGTGTGGCTCACACCATCTCCGGAGTCCAACACAATACCTACAACAACACAGAAACCACATCAACACCAAGAAATACCCATGTCCCATGAAAACATTCTCATTATTAAGCTTTTAAACATTCCCTAACTCATGATCCGCAAGAAACATAATTGCCGAGAATCAAAAAGTACATTTTTTAATGTTCAAGGATACTCAGAAGAATGAAAAAAAGGATCAAACTCTAGACCACTTAATCTTGAACAACAAAACGAAAATATGAGTATGAAGGAAGAATGATTACCAGTAGTACGGCCACTAGCATAAAGAGAAAGCACGGCCTGGATAGCAACATACATAGCAGGAGTATTGAAGGTCTCAAACATGATCTGAGTCATTTTCTCACGATTAGCTTTGGGGTTAAGTGGTGCTTCAGTAAGAAGAACAGGGTGTTCTTCAGGAGCCACACGAAGCTCGTTGTAGAAAGTGTGATGCCAGATCTTCTCCATGTCATCCCAGTTACTAACAATACCATGCTCAATTGGGTATTTCAGAGTCAAAATACCTCTCTTTGATTGAGCCTCGTCTCCAACATAAGCATCCTTTTGCCCCATCCCAACCATCACCCCTGTGTGACGTGGACGACCCACAATGCTCGGAAACACCGCTCTCGGTGCATCATCTCCGGCAAAACCAGCCTACCACATTTTTATTAATTATTAATACTAATTCACATTGTTTTATTTTTAAGCTTTGTAACTAACAGATCCATTCATACCTTCACCATTCCGGTTCCGTTGTCGCAAACCAACGGTTGAATATCCTCGGCGTCTGCCATTGTCGTTTATGATACTGGTGCCTGCGAAAACGCACCAAGTTAATAGACAAAAAGAGAGAGAGAGAGAGGTTTCTTAGGACATGGGTGTACCTAGGAAACGAAGGAATGTGGGCGTGACGACGTGTGTGTGGGGGAGTGTGTTGTGTCGTTTGATGATGTTGTGTTGTGTGTGTGAGGTACCCGCCCCTGTGGTTTAAAAAAGGAAGGTGTGGGGAAATGAAATTCGGGTGAAATGAAGAGGAAATTGAATGTGGTGTAATCGTGACCGTCTGTTACGAAGATGTGATCCACGGGCCACGTTTGTTGTTGGAAATAGCTGGCACTCTTGCCCTTTTCTTACTTTCCAGTTACACCCCATCACGCATTTCTCCCTAAACTCAAATAACCCACTCTCTCTGTATTATTGAATTTCATTATTCCGCTTTTGTCACCAATTTGCTTTGTAATTTATTCAACTTATTTCTTTTCTCCTCTGCTCAATGCAATGTCTACTGTTCCATATTGGATTATTTTTTGTGAGTAAAGGGAGGGTTTCCTACACTACAGTGATTCGGGCGGTTGGTGGCCCCTTCGAGAGTTGCGGGTCCTTGCCGCTGCATGAGTGGTAGCTCACGCTCAAAACTCCTCCGACACGAGTCCTAGTCGTTGCGCTGCGGTCCGTTTCCCGGCTTCGCTTGCGCGATTTTTTGCACTTATTTGATTATTGGTTTCATCCCCGACCCTAATGAATCGAGTATGTATGAAGGGGTCAGCTAGTATTCACTTATGATTTTGAAGCATGTTTACAAATGACATTAGTTTAAATTCTCAATAGAAAGTTGATATGACGAATTAATTTTATATACAGATTATGACACCACAATAAATTATGATATGATGAGAAGAGGAGGGGCAAATTAGGAAAAGAGAAAGGTCCTACAAGTAAAGTAAACGAGGCTTGTTGTTTAGAAGAAGGAACACAGCTTTTGTTACAATGGGGTGTGTAAGTGTAACTTTTGAGAGGTTGATGGGTGGGAGTAATGATACATGGGACGGTGCAAAAAGTGAGAGAGCAGAACATTGCCAACTCAGCATTCTGATTTGCAACTGTCCAGAGAACATGTCGGGGTGTTTTGCTTCCTGTGGTCGCATCCACCCAAGCTTGTTCTTTCCACCTCACTCCTTTTAACTTTGGTCCCTACAATTGGATCCTTCCTTGACCACTACAGATTCTCTCTAAGATCAACGATCAACGACTATCCTCGCTTCTGGTTCCCATGCACAAAGACGTGCAGCGGATAACTGCCAATCAAACACACAACGTGGTTTCCCATTTCGGACAATCCTCCTTCCCCGTTGACGACCTCTTTTTTTTATTTTTCTAATAAAAAATGTTACCCCGATATATTATTACTCGAAGAAAATTAAAGTTTATTTTATCTAAGTATGTCTATACTGCTTTTTTGGATGAAAATAAAAGAGTGAAAGAAATAAGTACAAACATTTTGTTGTGCTAATTAACTTTTTAATTTTATTTTTTAATTTATTCATTTTTTAATATTTTTTATTTTATTTTTGTTCTTTAATTTTAAAAATTAATTACGTCTGTAATTTTGATGAATATACTTAATGATGTGATATTTATTGATCTTTTTATTTAACAAAAAAATATATTAAATAAAAATATTTTTTATGTGGGAATAAAGAGAATAAATCACAGTCATTAAATTGTGAGATAAATAGTTAATGTTTAAATATAAAAAAATAATATTTATGTATGATTGTATGGTTTAAATCTATTTATTTTATTCACGTAAAATATATTTTTTACTTAAATGATACTTTTATTTAAAGTTGTTTCTATGTAAATAAAGTCTCTTCTTATTCTTTTAAGTAGTACGAGAAATTAATCTATGAAATTACAACTATCAAAAAAACTTAGTCTTTATAAGAAAAATAATTATCAACATTCATAATATTCAGGCAATTTAATCCTTTAATTTGGTAGTACCTATTATTTTGGTCCCTAATATTATTAATTTAGTCAAATTAGCCTTTAAATTTTATAATAACTACTAATTTAATCTCTAAACTCTACAATCATCACCTGATTTGGGCCTTGACTTATTACTGACCAAATTAACCCGTATAAGTATATAACAAAATAAAATAAGATGAACTGAGTAACGTGCATCAAATTTAAGGAGAAAAATGGTTGACAATAGTAAAAAACGGGATCAAATCATCATATTCTTAAAATAACGGGATGAAAATTCCAATAACTGTTAATTTCAATATTTGATTTATTATTTTTATATTTTAGATGATAAAATGTCTGTGTATTTTACGTAATTTTGAAAGTTTATTTGATGGATTGCTCTCTTCTTTAATTTTTTTAATTATTATTTTCATAACTAAAATGACTATAGATTATAATTTTAATCACTAATTTGTCAGTTTAGTTATTCTTCTTCTAAAATGGTGCTTCTATCCACTTCAAAATTGGGCAACATTAACCTGCTGAAAAATTCAAAGATGAAAGTTTTGGTAATTGAGCAAAATAAAGTTGCTTTTGCAAAATAATTTCCCCAATTATTTTGGTGAAATTTGTGGTTTTTATTGGAAAGCTCGTTAGGCAAATAAATGTAAGTGTAAAAAATTTCATCCCATCAGTGTAAATAAATAAAAAGATTTTTGTTAATTTCGATCTTTATGACTGAATTTAAACTAATAATAGTGAAATTTTTTAAATTTTATTATTATATTATATATGTAATAAAAAAAAATCTGTTTTAAATACTTAAATTTTAACTTTAGGAAAAAAATTGTTAGCCACTTGTAAAGTAAAGAAGAAAACCTTTATTTTCATTCCTAGAGATATGATGAAGGTTAAGAGGGAGGATGAAAATGAATAAAAAAAATTATTTATTTATTTACTATTATTATATGAGCATGTGTGTTGCATTTTTATTTCTTCTTATATCTAAATTATTCTCTCTTACCTCTGATAATATATATATATATATATATATATATATATATATATATATATATTAATATTAATATGTAATTTTTACTAATTGCCACTTTAATAACTTCCATATTATTTAGAATGCGCAAAATTACTTTATAAAAAGTAACAAGTGCAAGTGGCTGATTAGTATATTCTACCCCTTCTAACAGAAATATTTTATTGAAATTTTTTTTATCACAATAGTTAATAAAAAATTATTTTTAAAAGGCGTGTAATTAATATTAACTAGTAACTACAATTAAATAAAAAGAATGATAAATAAAATCTTTAAATATACTTTTAGATAAAACTAAACTTTTAAAACACCTACGTTAAGTCTAGGACTTGTATTTAAAAAACAAGTCAACATTATACATTATAAAACTTAACTTAATCGGACAATGATAATGAATAAAAATTAATTATGTATTTTAATAAGTAATTTACACGAATAATCATGTCTTCAATAGTACAAGTTTGTAATTTAATTTTTTATCATTACAAATTCATTTATTAAACCGTTTTTTGAAATTAATCAAAACAAATTTTTCATATAATCTCAAAATAAAGTAAATGGGTCGGCTATATTGGGGAAATTATAGGCCAAAGTGAAAACTTTAACCGATGAACAATCATTTAATATTCTCAGTATTTATTTTTTTGGCAAAAATCACGTGAAATGATAAAGATGACGTATTACATATTTCAATTCTCAAAGTAGTGAGTGTAATGGCAAAGCTGATTTTGAGTGTGAGAACTTTTAACAATGGAGCAAGTTAAGCAAAGTAACAGTAAAATAGTGTTGAAAAATAAGATTATAAGTAAAAAAATCACACAGAAGACAAGAACTACGACTAAAAAAATACAAAAATTTCACCCTTTATCCCCACTTGTGTCAAATCACTATTTGTTCCTTCAAAAACATGATTTCAGTTTATTATGACTAGCTCTTTTTTTGATGGGTTGCTTGAGATGCGTTGCCAAGAGTAGAAGAATATACAGGATAATCAATCGTATTATTCAATTCCTCTTCAATTAATTCATATCCATATTAGCTAAAAATATTGCCTATAACTTGACCGGTTCAAATTGAAGATTTTATCAATTTTATTTTTTAATAAAAAAATAAGTATCAATTATCTTTACATACACAACACATATTTTTTATTATTAAAAAATAAATAAATGCTAGTTCTGTAAATATCAACATAATGTGACAAAAAATATCTCAACAAAATATATTTCATAAATGCTTTATTTTAACAATCTTTTTTTAATTTTACCTTATTAAAAAAAAAACTTAAATAGTCATTCTCGCTCTATCTAGGTCATTAAAATTATTAGAATATTTTTCCTTCTTTTCAAAACATATTATTCAAAAATTAATAAATTTAAATTCATTTTATTGAGTTGAAAGCCTTTTTATTTTAAAACTATGTATAATTAATTTTAATTTTTTGAATATAAACAAAGAAAGTTGAGATAGTTGATAAATTATGTATCATTTAAATATATTATTAGCATTTCAATTTATAATTATATATATTATTGAGTATGTGAGTTAATTTAATAAATTCGTGTTAACTTAACCTTTAAAATCTTTAATTTGTGCATATGAAAAACTCTTCATTAAAATAAATAAAATTCAATTTAGTATATATTTTTTCTCTAATTTATTCTAATTTTTTATGAAGTTTAAACTTGCTTAGTCTATTTAAATATAAATTATGAATTTATGTTAAACTCATACTTCTTTTATAAAATTTGAATATAGTTTTATCTTGAGAAAATCCAAAACTCAATATGTAAAACATATAACAGTCAAAATCTTATTACGAAGACTTGTAAAAGAACACTTAAAACATGCTTATACTGGAAATTTCTTCCATAAATCATATTCAAAAATTAATTATTTTGAATATAAAATTAGCTATTACAAAAAGTTTTAAACTATTTAATTTTTATAAAAATAATTCTAAACAACGATATAAATTGTATTTATTATGTTAAAATCATTATTTATCCAACTTTTCAAGCCTTTTTTTTTATATAATTAATTATATTTCTAATTAATCATCTTTTTTTATACCAAACACACACTTAAAAAAAAGTTAATGTTTTAAAATTACATTAATCTTATAATTTTGACATTTAATTACACTGGTACGATTAAAACTAGTTGGTTCAACAAATGGTTGAAACTTTTTTACTAATAAAAGATCTTAATTTTGTTACTCTAATTTTTCATTTGGTATTAGTTTTTCTACTAATTTAATTAATTAAAAAAACCTGTTAATTGTATATAGATTTTGAAGTATTAATTAAAAAATTTTAAAATGTAGTTTTTATTAAACATATATTAAAAATAGGAAAAGTATTTATTAAAATTTTAAATGAAATAATTTTTTATTTAAAACTTTTTAATGGATACTCTAAGTCACTGGTTAACCTTTGCTTAATTAAATCAGATTATTTTGGGAATACTTTAGCACTAATACGGGAAAATGATGCTATTTTTTGATTTTGTTTAGTTTAATAAATAGGTTTGATCGGAAACAGGGGTGGTTGCGTAGGAGGCGAGGGGCGTGGAATTGCAGAGAAAATGAACAACGCCATCTTCAAAGTCGCAAACACCAATCATCACCATTTCTCTCTTAGGGCTGCACTCTTTCATTCCACTCCTATCTTGCAGCGTAAACGGCGCAACTTTTGGGACTCTGTCAGTTTCTCTCTGCTTTATGATGTCATTTCTATTGATTCACCAACTTCTTTTGATTCCTTATTATTACATTATATTATATTAATAAAATCTAAATTAATTATTCTCTCTTTCTGATTTTGTATCCTTTTATTTAATTAAGAAGTCTTTAATTGCAGAGAGGCAACAACCATTACTCGAGAAGATTTAGAAGGATGCAGGGAAAACAAAAAATATTGCGCAGTGTCAATGATTATGCAGAATTTCTGTTTCAGGTTCATTGTGTGTGTGTGTGTGTGTGTGTGGGCGCGCGCTCGTGTACCGTTTCTTTTATTTTTATTTTGCTTCCTGTTCAATACATTGCTGCTTGAATGAGGTTGTCCTATGATTTTTGTCATGGTTTCTTTCCATTCATTATAGAATGAGACAATTTTCAGATTTCTTTGGTATAATGCTAAGGGCAGTGGTTAAGGATTAAAAGTGTAAAGTTTTTGTCAAAAAATGTTAATGCACCTCCTTCTATGATTTCTAATGCATCTCGACATAGCATTTAGGACCTGCTACCGTCTATCTCGATGAGCCTAATCTTTTTGTAATGTTTTTTTTTTTTTTTTTCAGTGTAATGGTTCTGTACAGAAAATATGTCATGAGTTGTTAGGCTGGATTTATACTTTAAATCTGGTGATACATGATAATGGACCGTGTACTTTGATGTTATTTTGTGTGATAACATCGACCATTTGGCTTCATAAGTTTTCATAAAGTGAGGGAAAAAGGAGATATTAGGAAATGCTTTTAGCTGTCACAATGTCAAATTTGGTTTTTCAGACATTTCCCCTCCCCTGAATGGGTTAAATATGGATTTGTTTTAACATATCTGCTGAAGTAGCAATGGTGGAATTATTTGGAGAATATTGGTCTGTATTGACATGGACAAATCAAACTTTGATTAAGGAGGGCCATATTTGCATAAATCTATTGCAGATGCTTTTAATTTTGTAAGCTTGATTGTGGCCATTTTTTTCTGCTGGAACTAAAGGCAACGCTATCTCTGAGGTCCCAGAAGGGTGAGTCAATCTCAATGCTGATGGGTTCTTGTGGTTGTAACTTGTAATCCCGAGGAAGCTGGCTGTGGGGATTTGCTGAGAGGTGATTCGAGTAATTTGCTAAAGGGTTTTAGATGCAGGTTTGGAATTTCTTCCTCTTTCAAAAGTGGTGGAGTTTGTTTTATGGCTTGAGGAGGGTGTTGTAAATGGGTTTATTAATTATTAGGCTTGAGGTATAGTTTAAGTCCTTGGTGCTATGATATGAATGAGACCTGTAACCTTAATGTTGGCATATGTACTTTTTTCTCACCTCAGGTCCATACTTGCATTGGAATGGGAGCATGGTAATCTTCATATTTACCCAAGAGGCTATTCAATGAGCTGATTTGCTAAGCAAAACCTGGCTATGGAACATTGGTGCCAAAACCAGGCTACAAAATATGCTGTGTTTGAGCCTCCGATAAAGCTATTTCTGTTCTGGTGCTCTTTTACTATCTCAGAGAGTCCTAGCTGCCCCATGGCTGTTGCTTGAGTTTTCTGATACCTTCATTGTCAGTCTTTTAGCGTTTTTTATCTAATGAAACAGAAGTATACATTTAGAGTGCTAAGGTTTCTCCTCAGAGAACTGTGAAGTTTTGACAAAAACTTGGTTTTCCTGAAAAAATGTAAAAAAAAATAAAAATGGCAATATGATGATTGATGTCGGGGAAAGCTTTTTCGTGCTTGTCTCCATAGTATCTCTTTATTATATGCTGCCATGCCTTTGTGGCTGATATAAAAAAGAAAGTAATGATTATTTGTAAAATGGTGTTGCATACTTGCATGTACCAACAAGCCAGTTGAACTGGGAACATAAATATTTTCCATCTTGTGCTTCAACTGGAAAAACAAAATTAAAGTCTAATATTTGCCACTGCTCATTCACAAGATTGGAATTTAAGAATGGGATGAAGTCCTCAAATTAGTGCCATCATTGGGTTTATTTGATGAGAGATGGTTACTTTGTCATTTTGGGGATTGGAGAACTCATCAATGGTTTAAGCAAATATCTTGATGATTTTGAATTCTCTATTTGATGGTTTACTTTTCTAATATTTCAAAAATATTTTCGGCCCTTAATATAATTGTTGCAATCCTAGGGAGAATAGTTATGAACTTATGAAAGATAACTTAAATAAATTATACAAAAACCCAAATTTTCTAGGCAACTTTTTTAGGGTTATTATCCTTGAGGTTTTACTAAATGACTGTTGTAGAGTTAAGAGAGAGAGCACATAGAAAGAGAGAGACAAATTAGTGTGTTGGAATTAGATGCTCTACAATATATAGAGACTCTTATATTTATAAGGATACATATGTAATCCTACTGGGTCAAGTTCGTTATTATAATAGTAACATAAACCCTAATCCTAATACGTCTATTATAGCTATACATAACAACTGTTATGCCTTAAGTACATTAGATGAGCCTAACTCAAAAGACTAGGTCATTAAAGTGGGAAGGCTTAAGTACCACATTAGGTATTATGTTCTATTGAATGTGAGACTCATAACATGTTATCCCTTTAAAAGCCAATGTGTGTGACAATTTTGCTCTATCAACATTGATTTGGTGGCGTCCTTCCCCTTACATTGATGACTTCACTCATGTATTAGTATTTAGTATGTTACACTTTAATTTAGCCTATAGGTAACCCTTTCCATTGTTAAACTTTGAATGAAAGTACTAATTGTTATTACCTAAGCATACAAGGAGAGTCCAAGTTGAAAGATTACTCTATTAAGTGAGAGAGCTTCATGGATTACGTACCACATTAAGACTCTTAATAATAACACAAGTCCCAATTCTTGTGAAACACTTGCGCACTGCCCATTTTAATGATAAAAGTAATGGCTGGTGAGAATATTCTTTCTGAGTTTGAGTTAAAATCTTAAGGACTGCATATTGAAGCCCGACATCATCAAGGGCCTCTTGCCAATCAATACCTCCAGCAATCATTAAGACACTGGTCATTCTTGTTGATGGACTGAGAAAACACTTATCTGACCACTAACAGAGTAGGAAGTTTGAGGCATCAAACCATTTATGCCTCTTTCTCCCTGAAGAAACTTGCTGTAAAATGTGCCAATGTCACTGCTAAAGATTGACATGAGACCCTTTCCTGTTATTACTTCTTGCTTTTTTGGATCCTTTTGTCTTTTCGGACCTACAATAGTTAGAGAATCCCTGGCCTTGGTTGTTCTGCATTTTGTGGCTGCAATGCAAGTGGAAAGCTTTCATATATGTGTGTGCGTGTGCTGCAATGCAAGTGGGAAATTTTCATATATATATATATGCATGTTTGTGTGTGTGTGCGTGCATAAACACATCAAGTGATGGGGCCTTTTTTTTGAGCATGATAGGACCAAAAGTTATGTAATTTAGTGTTCATATAATTTTGACTAGTCTTTAATCTTGACTGTTCATGTATTATTGTATGATCAAGATTTACTTGTCACACACTGATGTAAAAATGGCCCTCTCTCCTTAGGTAACTGATTAACTAAGAAATAAACTCAGTCCCTTGATGGATTACTTTCTTGATTGGAGTTCAATTGCTTAAGGGCGATCGGCATTAATTACAAATATTTCATACATAAAAATTAATGCTTCATTCTGTTCCAAATTGTACTTCTGCAAATTTTTTCATGAGTGAACAAAATTTACTGACTTTGATTCTGTTGATGTGATTGTTTGAGGTTTGGACTACGTAGCTTTTTGTCTGCTTTAAACGGGGTGATGTTCAAAATGCTGTCATATGATTAGTTATCCCTTTGTCATCCATGTTTATTATGGAACTCCTTGTTAAGGTTGGTAGTTTAGTCTTTGGATAACTCAGCATTTAGGATTACTCAGTATCATGGAACTTTTCCAATCAGGACTGAAGTGAAATTTAGGATTACTCAGTAGTCAGTATCATTAATGTTCTTATGTTTTCTCTCAATCAACTCTGTTGGTTAAAAATATAGGCAAGGTCCCCCCTCCCCCCAATTCTTCTATTATTGTGTTTGTCTTAAGATGTTCCAACTTCCAATGTTTACGGTTGCTCTTTTTCTGCATGTTTTAGAAATGGAAGGGAAATATTGATGAGGATGATCCATCATCAAGTCGAGGCACCTCATGGTTTAGCCAACAATATTCTGATAGGGGCTCTGGAAGGTACAGGAATGGCAATCGTGGATCAAGTCACCGCTACAAAAGTAAGTACGCGCGAAATAGTTGTGCTGTAACAGTATAGACGACATCATGTATCTTGTAGTACTAGCTCTCTTGATTGGAGGTTTGTATGGGCTGTTTCTCTAGGAAATCATTGAACTTAATCTCGTCTGGGAACTTCTGTCTACTCAAATAGGATTGAAAGATTTAACATGCGGAGATCATGGATAGGAATTTATTTGACCTTGCATCATAAGCTTTCTTAAATATGTTGCATGTTTGTACATGGTTTTATTATTTACAACAACAAAAAAAAATTCTAGAAACTTGTAAAGTATATTCTGGACTCACGTGTATTAATGGTAACACACTTTATTTCTTTCAGGAGATCCTTTGTTTTGTGAAGATGATTTTGATGTCGAAACCATTTTCCGTTCTGCCTTTGGTGGGAATAGATTTTTCTATTGGTCATTCATCAATGAGGAGAATCCTCAGTGGAGGAGGTCTGAACGCTTTTCTAATTATGGGAAATCTTGGAACTGGAGACATCGGAACGAAAATGATTATGACTCTGCATCTGAGTCTGATAGCTCAGATTCTGATCTAGCTCCTGATAGATTAGCCCTCGGATTGAGTGTTTCTGGTCCTCTAAAACTTGAAGATGTAAAAAATGCGTGAGTTTTTAATTCTTTTTCCACTTCCTCTTTACCAAAATGTTAGGAAGCCAGAGTTGCTGATTTTTCCTTACTATGATTTTTAACTTTCTTGTATCATCAGGTACCGGGCGTGTGCCCTAAAGTGGCATCCAGATCGTCATCAAGGCTCTTCCAAGGTGTTGCCATACTCTAACTACTGATAATATTCCTCCTCCTTTCTTGTTCTGGAGTTTCTATCATTAGCTACAGAGTTTCCTAATTCTTTGTATATTTTATTCTGTACGTTGATACTTGATATGATAGGCTATGGCAGAAGAGAAGTTCAAGCATTGCAGTGCTGCTTATCAATCTTTATGTGATAAGCTGGCCTTGGATTAAGCTGGCCTTGGATTAAGGCCCTTCAGACATATGCTAATCCTTTTCTAGGAGTCTTCAGCCAGCTCATACCAGATGATTGATTAACCATGCTAAATTATTTAACACATCGATTTTGCTTTCATTGTATTTTGTAATTTTGAGTAATTTTATTAGATAATAATAGAAATAATGTGTATACTATTTTACAATTACAAATGTACCATTTATTGTCTCTAAACGTCTTTAGTTTCAATTTTGCTGAGCATGGCCAGTGTATTTTCAATAAAAAGTATTATTGTTTTTTAACTATTGTATTGTGGATAAAGTTAGCCAAATCATCTTTTAAAAATGTAAATTAGATAACAAAATGCCCCAATCTCATAATAAGTAGCAGTATATGTCGGACTTGACTAATTTCGATTTTCTTCAATCCTGAGTACAGTTTTTTAATACTGTGTAGTAGTATTTTATTTATATATATTATTTTTAATTTTCGTTTTTAAAAGTAAAACTTTGTGATTAAGTTTTTCATGTTATGTTTTATAGCGACAATTACGCCGACTTTCTCTCGGGTTAGTGATAAACTACAGTTATCTCCTTTACGTGTTCTTCATTATTTTCAAGAGTGCTACGTGTGGTGGTTTATACATAAAAATAAGACACGTAATTTTTTTTAAAGAAAATATTAAATCCAGCCTTCAAGTTGAATTTAATAAATACATTTATTTAATTTTTATAATTTTAATATAGTAAATATGTCTTTCTAACTAACAAATTACTATTTTGGTATTTATTTAGCTTTTATAGCAAGTTATATTTTAAAATAAATACTCAATTTAGTCTTTAAAAATTATCACTTGACCCAATTTAATCCTTTTAAAAGAATAAAGTCATTAATATATATATATATATATATATATATATATATATATAGAGAGAGAGAGAGAGAGAGAGAGAGAGAGAGAGAGAACAAACTAATTAGCTAATCATTATAAGAAAAGTTATTCAATAAGCATCCTTCATAAAAATGGAGACAAGTTGGGGAGGAGGATAAGAATACAAAAATAAGAAAAGAAACCTGAGGAGCTTAAGTGGCCACAAAATTAAAGTAAACCGTTGATTTTAGACATAATGAGTTTTAGCCTATGATAATTATCTGCGTCAGATCTGATAAATGGATTGTCAATTTAGAATTTATATCTATTAAAATTCCCTCAAATTTCATGTCTTTCCCTGGACGAATGGCCGAAAGAAGAGTCCAAAGTTCAGTCATTATAGATTAAAAAAGCCCAAACATTTGAATAAAATCAGCCCGAAAATTGCCTTGCTCATCCTCAGCCAGTCTGACCTTTATGTCTACAAACTAACCCATCCACGTTATGTTTCAGTCTCTCAAATGGAGGAGGATCACATCAAATAGTCTTCTAAAATTATAATTGTAAAACTTTTTAATATTTTTATTTATTAAATATAAAGAATAAAGTTTTTTTATTTTATTTTAAAGAAGTAAAATACTTATTTTTTATAACGATAGAAATTAAAACATAACAAAATACTTGAACGATAATTAAAAACTTATCGTGTACTGTACTAATGCGGCGAGAATGATTCGTTCACATCGATGGAACAATACAAAAGCGTGCGGGTGAATTTGGGAGGTTTCAAAAAGTGAATCATCATCGAAATTAATTGCTTAAAATAAATATTAGTAGAATTAAGAGGAAATGATTTTTAAAGCAAGGTTGACTCTTAAACAAGTAAACTCTTCATCGTTGGAAGATGTGGATTAATTGCGATTTGAATTAGAGGTGGTGTGGCTGGCACAGTAAAAAGGGTTTGGTTCTGCATTCCAAATTCCAATCGCAGAAGAAGAAGAAGAACAAAAACGATGGTGAAAGCTATCCAACTTCAGATATATGGATTAGTTAGTCAGCGATGGAATTTCAAACCTCGCACATCCATTTCACTCTCCTCATTCTCCTCAATATCATACCCTAACCCTTTTTCCAAACTGCTTCCCACCAATACCCTCTCTCGCAGGGTTCGATTCGCACCGTTTCATGCTTCCTCATCACCGCTGCATTCTGCTGTGAGTTCTCTTCGCCTATTCCTAATGCTAATTTCGTAATTTCGTTATAGGTATGTGTTGTTGTTGTTGATACGACGCCGTAATCTTACGATTGTAGATCTGAATCGTTCGTTCAAATGCTATTGATCATGACAATGTAGGGGAACGTTCGCAACATCAAGTTCTGTCAGTGGTGTGGTGGTTCAACCAAGCATGATATTCCCCATGGAGAAGAAAAGTTGAGAGCTATATGTACTGTTTGTGGGAAGATTGCTTATCAGAATCCGAAAATGGTAACTCTCTTCGAATTTCTCTGTATTGCTTCTGATTGTGAAGTAATAACTGTTCAGAAGTAACTTGTTTCAAGGCGTGTGGATTGATTTATGAAATGATGTTACTGTTTTTAATTGGAGTGTCTGATGCGTATTCTTAAAATTTGGATTTGGACCTCAATGTTTCATAATCATTAATCAGTATGAAGTTTACTCTGTGCATTAGAAATTATTCTTACTTTCTCTTTTCCAATATATTTTCTTCATTTATGACAAAAACAAAATTGTTTGTTGTTAAAGCTTCTGAAGAGGTCGTGGCTTCAGCTGTATCTAACAGGAGAATAGTATAGTTCTGTGGATAACCTAAACATCAATCCAAGATACGAAATATTTTTATGGTTGGTTTATTGTGTACAATTCAGTGCACATGCGGTATAACTTTACATTTTGCTTCTTGCTATATTAGAGGTTATAACTTTTGCGCAAGTTTCAAGATGCATTTTGGGCAGACATTGAGTAAAAGGAAGTGTGGTCTTGATTTTTTTTACCTGGCATTCATTGATCTGAGGAAACAGATTAATTGTTTCAACTTTAGGATTAAGATTTCTTTTTGCACTTGGCATGTGACGTATGCATTTGATACTGTAATGGATTAAGAAGTCAACGTCTCTGCATTATAACTTGCTTTAAAATGGTATGCCTATAACTCCCATTTTTTGAAGTGATTTTTCTTTCCATAAAACAGTTAATGAAAATGCAAAACAAATAAGGATTTGGAGGAGTATCATATGTTTCTAGATGTGTTTTTTAAAAATAAGCATGGACACTATAATAGTAGCTGTACTTGGGTTGGATACGTATTCACATTGTACACTTCAGATACTCCTACTGCATTTTTATAATTTTTTTATTTTTGTATTTCGAAATATTAGATAAATGATAGTAGTTCATGGTGCCTAGAATGATTCATGGTAACTATGTTAACTTTTAAACGTCAATTCTCTCATTTGATATAAGATTTGTGTTTTTATATTAATTTATGTGTTGTATTCGGGTTTGTTTCCTATAATTTTTAACATTTGCAAATCTCTCTGTCTTGTGTCATATCCATGTTTATGAGATTCTCTAATTTTTGTCAGGACAAGAATTGTATAATGATTTTATGCTGTTTGTCACAGCACTTATTTCACTTCACTTCTTCAGTTTATATTTGACTAATTACTTTCTTTTGAACATGACATGATTTTGGCTGGCAAAGTAGGTAGTTGGCTGCCTCATTGAACATGATAACAAGGTCCTTCTTTGCAAGAGGAGTATTCAACCGTCTCATGGCCTTTGGTAGGAATGGAGGTTTTATTGAAATACTTTTGTTTTTGGTTGTGTACATGTTACATTCCTATAGCAATGAGCTGTGGTAATTTCATACTTTGGTGTCAATAAGGACCCTTCCTGCTGGTTATTTGGAAATTGGAGAGTCAGCTGTGGAAGGTGCCATCAGGGAAACAAGGGAAGAAGCAAATGCAGATGTAGAAGTAATTTCTCCCTTTGCCCAATTGGATATTCCTTTAATTGGCCAAGTGAGAATGATTTATTTCTTCATTATTCTTTTTCTTTTTGGTTGATCCTCTTGGCTAGGTAGAGAATTTTGATCATGATTGTGGCATGTGTGAGGCAGACTTATCTGATATTCTTAGCAAAGCTGAAGAAGCCCCATTTTTCACCTGGTCCGGAATCATTAGAATGTCAACTTTTTCCACTTGATGATATACCTTTTAATTCTCTATCCTTTTCATCAATGGTGGTTACCTTGAGTTTGGTACGATTCAGATACTTGAACATTCTGGCTTTGGGTTTTATTATGTTGCTTGCTCATACTTATTGTATATCTCATGGTCACAGTATGTTGAGGATATTAAGGCTGGAAAGCTCAAATTCCATTATGGAACCATTAACAAAAGGTATTTTGTTCTTGAGTACAGGATATTTTCCCTAAATCTAATGCATTGCTTGGTTCGAGGGAAGGAAATAATTTTGTATGTAAAAGTATTATTTCTTTCGCTATGGACAGAAATCTGTTAACTGGGAATACAACATACATCTCAACTGGTTGGTTTGGTTTGGGTTGGCTAATGGGTATAAGGTTCATCACTGTCAGGTCCAGCCCGACTTCGGATAAATGTTGGCAAAATGCATAATATATAAATTAATTAGGACAAAAAAAAAAGGTTACTCTATATGCGAGTTTGAACTTGTAGTTGCTTTTGTCCAAATGCAAACTGATCAAATCAATGAATTTTCTTGTGAACATGATCCTGTATGCTTAAAGCTATTTGACTCCTGCTCTCGTTTTTTTTACTCTCTGTACAAGGCTTGTTTAAGTTGTTTTGTTGTTTTTGATACTTAACTTCCTCTATCTTTACTCTTGCTCATGCTGTGTAATTTTATCTTGTTGTTTTATTCTTAGGCCGGGTACAAGTCCTTCGGATATTCGTGCCTATACATTGGATCATCATATGCACTGTTGAATCGTGATAAGCAGGTGAGTCCCTTATGGCACATCTTTAGGTAAGAAAAGAACAGGAAGAACTTCATATCATCATATGTAGCTAGTGCATTTGGATGCGTATAAGATATTTTAATTGTCGATTATTACCCGATAGAGACGAAACCAAACACCCTGACATTGCGTCAAAACAAATCCTAAATCATCCTACAAACAGTGCAACTTCCTTCTAATAATCTCCTCAATCACTCTTTTATTTTTCGTTTTAAGAGAAATATTAAGCGGAAGTTGGATATAGTAGAACACATGGGATCATTCTTATTGATTTTCCAGCATGCTTTACTATAATATACATCTATGACTACTATTTTCTCAACATTTTACTGGTTGCAGTGGAGTATGAAGATTGTAAGTAAAAGAATTTATCGTCGGCCAGCCAGATCATTGCTTTATCTTCTGCGAGAACTTTCAAGCACTATTGGCTTAAATTCACCGTTGTCACAAGTTAGATTAACAGTGTTGCGATTCGAGAAGGACATGTTAGATAACCATAATGATCACTGAATTTCTCAATTGCTCGTGTGGACGTTTAACACAGCACATTGGTAGGTTAGTTGCTGTCCTGGGTTGAAGATTGAGACTTGTTTAGCGACCTCCATTGAAATTGTAAACATACACATTAATTCATATAAATGAAATTCATTTTGATAAAATTTCATTTTCAAAGCCAGGCAGGCACTCTTGAAGCCGGTTTCGTAACCTGTTTGATGCACAGTATGTATGGTAACAAAGACGATCGACGAAATCTTGAGTAGATTTTGGGAGGAAGATGCCGCGCGGAAGCAATGAAATTCATAATTGGAGCTAATTTCAAAATAATTTTGCACTAACTAGTGGAATATAAGGATTAAACCATCAGAAACATTGGATCATTACATCGCAGTAATCCTCAGACGACCGTCGTGAGATAATGTAGAATCCATGTTCATCATATGGCTTTTAACCTAAACAAGCAAGTGGAAGGCCTACTAAAGAGCATTTGATCGTGTGCAGTGCTTCTGCTTTTATAGGAAGAGAAGGCCGGAATCCCTTCTATTTATAACGATGTGGGACTGACCAACGACCGTGTTTATATATATATATATATATACATATATAATGAAAGTATTTTGAAAAATATTATCATCTTTATTATATCACGATTATTTATGTTTAGTATTTAATTAATACTTTAAAATTTAATATATTATATATAATTAAAAATATTTTCAAATAAATTGAAATTTAATATTATTTAATTAATTTAAATTTAAATTTTATCACATTATATTAAGACAAATATTCTTAAATAAAATTTTAAATTCTAGTTTTTTATGTTAAAATATTTATTTATTTAATTTATAAAAAATGTTATATTTAAAATAATTATATAAAACTTTTTTATTTTGAAAAATTATTTAAATTAGCAATATTCATGACAATATACTAGAAAATCACTAATTAATATTTAAAATAAAGTATTACATAATTATAGGTATTCTTGTTAGCTAAACAAATATTTGTAAAAAATAAGGGTTACTCAAGTATTAAAAGAAGAAAATAATTAATAAATCTAAAATAATACAAAAGCAACCTCATATTTTTATTGAAAAATTTCAAATAAATATTTTTATTGTAATTTTAATTAAATTTATTATTTTATTTTGATAAATATCACAATAAAAATATTTTGAAAATAATATCTAAATATCTAGAATTAGATTTTATTTTATTTTTTATAAATTTAAAATGATAATATGATAAAATGCTACTGATGTAATTTTTACATTTGTTGATTAAAAATTATGCTAAAAAAAATGTCGCTTACAAAGTGATAGATAGATAGATGTATAAATTACTGATTATAAACCATAGCTTAAAGTAGTAAATGTTTTTTTAATAAAAAAGGGAGAAATTTCTGAGTTTACTTTGACTTGGTGGGGTGTGGCTTTCGTCAATTCGCAGTTCAATCGCGGCACTTCCTCGAACAAGGGAAGGGAGGTTTCAATTTGAGTGACAGATAAAAAACTCAATTCATTCCCTTCACAACCATATCTCACAATCTTTCATTTCTAAATCCAAACCTCAAAACCCTAATTCAAATGGAAGCCAGAGAGACTTTGAGTTCCATCAACGGTGATTTCGAGTTCGGTAGCAGCGATCGAAGATTCGCGTTTTCGCGCCAATCTTCGTTTCAGCAGCAACAACCTCACACGCCAATTTCCATCGGTTCGGGACCATTCCTTTCCCGAACTGATTCCAGCATCGACATCCCCCCGCGTGGCCACCACAACTACTGGTCCGCGCGTGACCAAAAACCCTCTCCCTCGCCGCGGAGATCGTCTTTTCCTTCCTTCGTTTTCTCCGTTTTTCGAAACATTAGGTCTGGCCATAGGTATATGAAGAGATTGTTTTTTATGATCTCCCTCAACGTAGCCTACTCCACCGCCGAATTGCTCACTGGCCTCTTCACTGGCCGTGTTGGTATGATTCAGTGTTCAATTTTTGTTATAAGGTTGAAAACCTCTATTGTATTTGTAGGCATATAAAAACTCTGTTTAATTGTCGATGTACATGTGGTGAAAGTAATTTTAGTTTTACAAATTGTTTGGTTAGAATGATTATTATCATTTTTTAAAAGATGCTGCTTTGGTTTGTTAACTTATACTTGTGCCTTTTCAGGTTTGGTGTCTGATGCAGTTCACTTGACTTTTGGATGTGGTCTACTCACGTTTTCGTTGTTTGTTATGGCTGCATCTAGAAAGAAAGCCGATCGAGAGTATACTTATGGGTGAGATTTGCTTTTGTATTGTGGATGCTTTTATCAATGCTGCATTTGTAGGTTCCTACTTAATTACGTGACGCAGGTTCATTTTGTTACCGAAATTATGGGAGAGTTGGTTGCTTGGATGCTTTTTCTGGAAATAACTCTATAATTGTTAACATCAATATGATTAATTTTATGAAAATTTTCTGTACAGTTATACCGTATATCAAATTGTAGATTTCATAAGATATGTGTGAATATGCATGACAAAGTGGTACATTCTTGAGAAAACATGACTGTTTTTCCCACTTGCTAAAGGGCATGCGTTAGTTCTTTACTACCCATGCATGACAAAGTTTGTGTGTCCCTTTTGTAACTTCTGTGCTTGAAGTGATTCTCCTAAGGTTTATACCGAGAGTTAGTTCTCAATTCTTATATAGGATTAAGGGATGGAGGTATGAAGTTTCTGTTTCATTAGACAAGATGAATTTATTGAACAAGCTTGTTGCAAAACTGACGTCTGTATAAGTTTTTCTGTGACTGAGTTGCTTCACTATTGTTATACTTGTATTTTAGCTTGAACCTACCTCATATATCCAGGGTTCTTCTGTACCTGCTTGCATCTCATGTACTATAAGATAGTTTTTTTCTTTTTTTTTTGTCTATAGACTATATGTCATTGGTTGCGTTTGTATTCTAGAATACGAGTTTGTCCAACAATAATGCAAGATGCAAACATGACTGAACTTGTACTGTGTATGTAAATATGTCTGTGAAGTTATTTTTCAAACAACTCTTTACTTTTTGATTAATTGTTTCAACCCATTTTCTGGTTTTAACTAATGTTCTTTAATTTCAGGTATAAAAGGCTGGAAGTGTTGTCTGCGTTTACAAATGCCGTAAGTATTCCATATTTCCTTACCACTGTTGTTGTCACCTTGTTTAGTAGTGAATTGGTTGCCATATAAGTCAGTATCCTTATACCTTCTTAAATGGCACCAGCATCACATGCTGTGGAGATTATTGTATTGATCTATAGTTAGTTCTTCTTATTCTTTGGAGGTTTAATAGTTTTGACAAGTTGATATGTATTCTTATCCTCCTTATGAATATGTTCAATTTATTTTTTTATTTTTATCTTGCAAGTTGCTTAAAATGCAGAATGGTAATAAAGTTGCAGAATTGACATGTGTTACTGAATTTAGCTGCTGAAAGCTATTTTCTTACTTAATGCAGTTTGTTAAAGAAGGGATAATGAATGACATCCTTGTTTTAATTCTAAAACTGTAGTTTTGTCTTTAAATGATCACTTGAATGGGATTAAAAGAATTCACATGACAGTGTTTTAAGTTAACCGTGGCAAACTTATTTCATTCTTTCTCTCTTGTTCAGTACATTACATCATATGCTCTAACGTTAAATTTTCTTTTTCTGCTGCTTGTGTAGACAGCTGTTTCTTTTGTTTATGTCATTCTCCCTAGCAGTTGAAGCACTACATGCATTCATACAAGATGAATCAGAGCACAAGTAAGTTATTATCTGTGTTTTATTACTTCCAATTAAGTACTTTACATATTCAGCAACAAAAAAAAATGTTCTTTTTTTTTTTTTTCAATAAGAATTGAAGTTCTTGTATGTGTTATTTATGTGGTTGGGTTGAGTTCCATTTCATGTATGCAAGGTGATTGCTATAGGCATGTTTAGTGATATTTTACTGTCTATGTCAAGCATGAATCATTATAGCACTATTTGAGCCTTCTGATATTTGATCAAGATCTTAAAATATAATTGTCATTTTGTTTGTAAAATTGTGTGTGGAGCAAGTCGGCTATGGTTTACCTGTTTTCCTTGTTTCCATTATATGTTTTGGATATCATTATTGATGTGATCTTTTGTCCCATTCTTTTCTCTGTATTCTTGTTTAAAATAGAAGATGGTTTGTGAGGATTTACTGTGGTTGACATTGGAACTTATCTTTTTTACTAGCACCCGATTGTTTGTTAATCCATGTGTATTATTTCTGACCTCTTTGAGTTAGTGTTTATATGGTTCAAAGTAAATGATATTATTGATATGAAGGGTATAAAAATTCCATCTACATTAGGCCAGTAATGGGATGTTTTTGCTTCTTAATAGTCTATTTATAACTAAGTTGATACAGGATAGCACATTAAACATATCAAAATTAGGGTTTTCTTTAGAGAACCAAGGTTATAATTTAAGGAACTAATGACCCGTAGGATTTGTGGGGATGTGGCTGGTTTGCTTGTGGCTGTTATCAGGCCATAAGCAGTCCCCGTGAGTCAGAAGATGAAATATAAGGAGCAACATAACATAAGCATACGATAAGGTATCTTGGCAGTTGGCATCATTCCCAAGAGAAAGAGATGCATTACTGACTCACAACTAGAGTCAGGTTCTTGAAAATATTCTCTTCAATCAAACTCTTCTTTGGTGGCTTATCTTGTCACTGATGTAGGACTAATTAAGCTTGACCAGATACAATAAAATATCAAGCTTAAATAACATTAATAATTTCTGGAAAGCCTACAAATACAATAACTAATGCTCATTAAAGACACAACAGACTATTTTTCTTTAGGACATCTATTGTAAATGGCTAAAATTTACAAATAGTGACTTCTAGGTCCTGTGGATTTTTGAAATGATGGCTTCTTGATTTTGCAGCTGCCATCATCACATATGTGCAAACTTTGTTTCTTTCAGTATGGGTAGGGTGTTGTTTGTCTAAATTGAGTGGTTTTCATAATTTCATTCCAACATTTTGGTTCTTGATTTGTTTTTATTGCTAGCTTTTATTTCTGCTTAGTGCTGATTGTGTTCTTTCTTGTAGGCATTACTTGATTGTTTCTGCAGTGACCAATTTATTTGTAAATCTCATTGGTGTATGGTTCTTCAGAAACTATGCTCGGATAAATCTTGGTTAGTTTTTATTTTAGAGGTTTATAGATTCACTTGATTTAACATTTGCAACATTTTGAATTGATGCTCATACATTGATAGTTCCTTTTGAGCCTTGACCTGTGATAATCATGATATAAATGTTTCTTCTGGAATTTATGTTGCAGCTTACAGAAATGCGGAAGATATGAATCACCACTCTGTTTTCCTGCATGTTCTTGCTGATTCCATTCGCAGGTAGATAGGCTTGGATTTATATGTCATTGTGTGTGTCATGTGTAATACATTTCATTTACTGTGTGCAAATTAATATCAAGCTTATATACTTCAATGGTTTCTCAGTGCAGGTCTGATATTGGCATCCTGGTTATTGTCAATTGGGTAAATACTGTTTCAAATTCTGTCTATATAATCTTGGGAGAGATGGAAAGTAAAAAACACGAGACTGTTTCCTAGCCTGATTTCTTCAGACATTGTGATTTGACTTGTTTCTTTTTCCTTATTTAATAGGGTTCAGAATGCAGAAGTCTTGTGTTTGGGACTTGTTTCTGCTGCAGTTTTCATACTTGTTCTGCCTCTCTTTAGGGCCACTGGTGGTATCTTGCTCCAAATGTCTCCTCCCAGCATCCCAACTACTGCTTTTAACAAATGCTTGAGACAGGTACTACTTTTTCTTGGGTAAAATGTGCTTTTACCCAAGTAGCTTGTAAATAATAGTGCCTAGTTTGAAATTTGTTTGGAAGTCTGACACTTAATGCGGAGGGATATATTATGCAGTGGGTTATAAGCAAGTAAAAACACTTTTTCCTTTCAATTTTTGTTTGTCACAAATTGGCTAAAACATAACTGAATTTGGCAAATTCCTAGATAATGTGGATGTTCTACAAACATTGACATTGAAGCTGTTGTAAAATTGTTGACAAAACTACATTATGCTCTTACTAGTGACCACTTGCACGCTTTTGTGTATGTTATTTAATTTGACATACCTGTTGATGCGTCAATGCTTCACTTTTTTAAGTATTGTATATTTTATTCAGATTTCTGCTCGGGAAGATGTAATGGAAGTCTCCCAGGCTCGCTTTTGGGAATTGGTGCCTGGTCATGTTGTGGGTTCACTATCAATACAGGTAATTTTATTTGTTCTCCTTTTCTTTGTCACTGCATGTGTTACTAATGGGAACAAAAGCTGAAACATGTCATCTTAAGACACAAAATATGTCTACTCTGTAGACATCCTTCACAGAAAAATTTATGGATGGATACATCCCTCACACTTGTAGTCTCGCACAAGTGAGCAATCAAGTGAAACGTTGTTTATCTATTATATTGAGAGAACTGAATTCAATTTCAAAATTTGGTTATATTAGTATGGCTTGTTTCTTTTTTCTCTCTCTCTCTCTCTCTATATATATAGGGTAGCCAGTTAGCTACAGTATAGATTTGATGTTGACTGTTGTTGGATCATGCTGGCAGGTAAAGAAGGGGATGAACGATCGCCCAATACTAGAATTTGTGCATGGTCTATACCATGATCTGGGTGTGCAGGACCTCACGGTGCAGATTGATGATCCGTGAGATTATCTTAACAGTTTGTGCTAGTAGTTATTCCAAAGGATTGTATACACATTAATGTCATTGTTCATTACAGGTGAAAGGATAGCAAGATTTCTTATTTAACAGGGATTCTTGGTTTTTGACCGGCATGTTTTTTCCTGCCAAAAATTAATGAATTTGGTTATTAGTCACCATGTAATTGTTTATGTCTACAGTGAAGTAGCGTGTCTAATGGATTAGAAATGGATGCATATGAAAACCTATTAAAAATTTCGTGGACGTAGAGACAATTTTGAGCAATATTTCAAACTTGTTTAGCAATTGTCTGTATTAAATTTTGATTGTAAGTAATTAGTAACAGAGAAGTGCTGACTAACATCTAGAATTGTGATAGGATAAAACATATATTGGGAAACATGAGAGGTAAAAAAATTGAGTGCACGGTTTAAATTAAATGGTGACATTCTATTATGGATATTGATGGATTATACGAAATATAAATGATTTTCATTACGGAGTATATACACATTATACTTCCGTTATACTTCCGTTGCATATATATTCAGAAGTCAGATAAGTGATAGATATCTAATTGCATCTGCTAAAAATACACAATGTCGCATTAATGGTAGATCAACGTACTTTTTGAGAGTCAGAAATAGAGATTGGTTTTAGATATACTTTCTATTGTATTCCCTAATGTTCTTAGTTTTTTTTATAACACATCACTTATTTCATATAATATATATATTTTTTCTTTTCTGTTCTTTATCTCTCTGAACTGCATAAATAGTTATAAGAAAAGTTGTAAGAATAAAATTTCTCAACGAAATAAAGATTAGGAATGCCTTCACTACAAAAGCACAGGTAGCGCCTTTAATTGCTTAACTTGTGTACGAGAAGAAGAAAATCTTACATATGAATAAGGAATATATTATATATAGAGATGAAATTCACAAACATTACTTCACATTTACATGCAATTTAATTACATTAAATAACATAAGAGAGGGATAATAAGCCAGTGATTTTCTATTCACTTCGTGGTTACATTGGGCGTGGAAGCCAATACGTTTGCTGCGTACCTCTGCCTCGCCATTCCTGATAATGCCAAATACTTTGCGCTCTTCTTAAATTGTTCCCAGAAACACTGTCCTTCTCTGTGGAAGTAGCATTTGCATTCCCCACACTCAAGGGTCCACCCGTTGCACAATTCACCACATGCTTCGCATGTCTTGTTCTGCTCAGTTCCTTCAACCAAAGCAAGAGGGTGTGAATGAACATCATATTGGAAACTACCTCCGAACTTAACACGCTTAGACTTGCCAAGAACACAATACGGATGAGAAGCGAAGTCACAGTCATCACAGAAATAAAACCATTGCTTCGAAGACACTTTCTCATTGCAAATGCCACATTCATATTCCCTCAAATCCCCTTCAACAAAATAGGTTAGACTAAGAGGATGCTTATCATTCACGTGCCACGCCTTACACGGCAGAGAAACACACCCACAATCAATAGCAAAATCCTCACAAACATCACAGACATACACATGACTAGACCAAATATGACAACCTTTGCATTGCCTAGCTATGCTTGTCTTCTTAAGGAAAAGGGGGTGCTTGTGACTTTGGTGTTCAACTCTCTCTTCAAGAAAACCACAACAAACATCAAGGTCGAATTGACACTCACCACAACGATACACAAAGCCATTGTTCAATGATCTGCATGCATCACACCTAAAAATGCCATCATAAGGAGCCTTTGAGAGAAGAGTTAAAGAGTGCACATGAAAAGGGTGTTGCCTCGTTCTTGGTAAATCAGCACAACTTTGGTGCAACTTGAAACCACATTTTTCTTCTTCACAAGAAAAGAAAGTTGGCGTGATAGGTTGAACACACCCATCACAGAGTTCATCAGCATATTGCTGAGTACTCTTATCCTCTATGAACTTCAACAAATGTTCATGACTGAAGACACTAAAACCAACAATATCCTGGGAGTGCTTACTTTCCGAGTCTATGAATGATTCCTCTTCCTCATCTTCTGTTGCGGTCTCGCACTCTTCTCTTGAATATTGTTGTGGACACTTCAAATGCACGGGGAATTTGCAAGATGAACAAAAATAACCCGCAAAAGCTGAACTCATATATCCATCACAAGCACCACAAGTTAAGACACCCCAAAAACCATAAACATGATGAAGGGAATAAGTGAGCTTCAAACGGTGTGGGTGGCCATCTAATCTAATAGCAAGAGGCAATGCAGCGCAGCTAGAATGAACCCAAATCTGACAAATGGTGCATAAGCATGCACTGGTCTCGTTTATTTCCATGCCACAAGCATAACAAATAAACGATTGTGAATTTGTCAAGACCAAGAAGGCATGCTTATGGCCATCATCTGGCTGCCACCGAGAGGCACACGTAGTGTCAAGATCATATTGACAATGATAACAATGATATACGAAGTTGTTGAAGATGCCAAAACAAGCATCACATATACAGTTTCCCTTGTAAGGATTGGTAGAAAGGAGAATAAGAGGGTGTTGAGGGTGATATGGGTGCTTCATGTAGCGTGGAAGTTCTGCGCATGTTTTGTGAAGGACATAGTTGCATATGTCGCAGCAGAAGACAGGACCTGAAATTGTTTTTTCACAACCTGAGCAAAGGGCTTGTTGGTATTTATTTTTCTGTTCTTCCTTTAACAGTAGAGGGTGGATATGGCTGAAGTGTTCAATCTTCTCCATATTATGCACTCTTCTACAAATCTGGAATTATGGTTGGTTTATTTTGTTTGTTTGAACATGTGAATATGGTTTTTGAGTATTTTGGATAATGTGTTGATTAGGGATGAAGTCTTATGGAAGCATGGGTGCATGGGTAAAGACATCCAAGAAGATGTAAATGGATATGCTTATTCTTGTTTAACCAAGGAAAAAAAGGAATTTCCAACTCAAGGAAGGAAAGACTTCTCGTTTGACCACAGAACTAGAATACTACATTTCATGCATAAGATATGCTTTATATGTTTTATTTTTCACCTACTTTTTTTTATATGCATATATTTTAAAAATACACTTCAGAATGATTTATAATTGTCTTATTTTGTTGTCTAGAAAACATTCTCTTATGCTTATTCTTATAAGCATATATGTGATGACTCTGATGGGTTGGAAGGGACCACATGCCCATGCCAAAATGTGCAACTCAAGCAATGAGAGATGTTCTAAACTTGTAAGCCTATGGAGTATTCAATACTCACGCAAAATTGGAGCAGTGTGATTAATGAAGGTAGAATAACTTTAAGTTGATTCTCAAGTTGGAAAAGAAAAGAACTTTGTGTTGTCTTCAAGATATGTTAATTAAATTCCATAGCATATATAGACGCGGGAGGAAGTTTGTGAGAGAAACAAAATGATATATTTGCGTAGTTTGAATGTTAATTGGAAAGAAAAAGCGTTTGCTATTAAACAACACATATAAAATTGTGAATAATGTGAAAAAAAAAAACATTTTGAATGAATAACTGTTTTAGGTAAAAAATTATTATTAGGCTTATTTTCAGTTTAAAAATAAATACTTTTAATACTAGATATATAGGAGAATGAAAATATAGTTTTAATTTTTACTGTTATTTTATAAAATTAATAAATAATAAATTTTTTATAATTTTACTCTTAGTAATTAATTTGTTCAATAGAAAATAATGAATAAGTAAAATATTAATTAGTATAGTAAACTAGAGATATAATACAAAATAATAAGTATTTATAATATTTTAAATATTAATTATTTTCTTAATTTTTATAAAAAATCTTAAACGTCAAATAAAAAATAGAGAGTAATATCATAAAAAGTTTTCTGAATAAACAATAACAATTGACTTGGCATAACAACAAAGCACATGGATTCAAGTATCAAGGACACAACTTCAAATTACGAAGATATAATTTTCATATTTTTGGTATAATGAAAAGTTTGAAATAAGTCCATCTAGTCTAGTTTTCTTAATTACAATGAAGACGAGAAACTAAGATAGATTCATGTATCCAATGATGGTGACGATGATCGTGAGGTTCAACTCATTTCAACTTTCAAGTAACCTCTCCAACTTTAATTTCATGTTTTCGGTGTACTAACGACTAATGTTTTCTTTTTCCTTTGTGTTTTGAGTGTATAAAATCCATTAATTTGAAACCAGAAATTGAAGGTCATATACATACCCCCTTTTTTCAGTTTCATATGAATGTAATACAAATGCCTTATCACGAACACAACATAATAATTCAAAAAAACTATGATACCAAAATATGTTTTATTATAGTTGCATCATATTTGTCAAAGATTAATTTGTTAAATGGTGAGTGTATTTTCGCTTCATTGAGGATTTTAAATCATTTTAATTTATGATAAATTATCTTATTATTAAAAAAAACTGAAATTTATAATTAAGAAAAACTGAATTTTCACTTGATGTGAAAGAAATACACTACGCTAGTGGCCAATCAAATTTCCAATAACGCAAAATTAAGACGAAATATAAAGAAAGACAAAACACAACAGACATCAATTTGAAAGCAAGAACTAATCATATATACCAATATCATGAAGAAGAACAAGAAACTATAAATAATACTTGTTTTGACAAAAGATTTCAACACACATAATAACCTCACAAGAATCCAACAGTATAGTAAGTAAATTAAAAGAAGTAATAAACTAACGAATTAGTAAATATGAAAACAAGAGAGGGCAGGGATTGATGAGGTACTTAGCTTATGCAGCTCTTCATGAATGAATGAATAATGTTGTATTAAAGGTTTGGGCAACTCTGGTCTAGGTGAGAGCGACCCGTATCGATCGTGCACGTTGGCTTCAAACCATAGCCACTCCAAATTGCTAGAACAACTGGTGTGTGGTGGCAATCGAGTGAACCATAGCCCTCAACCCCATCGATACGCGTTTCTCTCACCCAGATCAATGATGCCCAGAGACACAGCCAAAGGAGGTGGTTTTTCTCTGTGTAGCGTTTTGCAGGCACATTTGAGGGCTTTTATAATAATAAAATTATAAATATTAATATGGTACGAATACATAGCCGACAGGTTTGAATTCCGACACAGCCATTAGTTAATATAGTTTATTTTTATGTTACTATATGTATATTACTATTGTTCATGTGGAATTATAGTACCTATAGAGTACTGTTCTTGCACTATTGTTAATATATGAATCTCAGCGAATAAATGACGTGTGAATAACACGTGAAAATCGTAAGTGAATATAATAACTGATTAACCCTTTTATTTATCATATAATAATATAATATACACTTGCTTTTTGTTTTGTGTGTGTGAACAAATACTGTATTGCTGTGTCTTTTGTGGATATACAGCTCATTATATAGACTATGATGACATCGTATTTTTTTAGCTTTATTGCACTTGTAGATCAGCACTGTGACGTAGTTACTTAAAAAAAAAAAAACACATATCAAATGTCAATATATTAATAAACTTAAAAATATCAAACATTTAATAAATGATTTTATTATTCAATCATAAAAAAATGACATTTAACATAATATATACTTATCTTTGTTTTTAGCTTTATATAAACGGATCTAAAAATTGCTCAATAACAATAAAAGAAATGCTTCTTTATACAAAGAAATAATTTTTTTATCGTTTCATTCTGATGTTAAGAGAATATTTCCTTGAATAAATATTTAACAACTTATCCATGATTCAATATCATAGTAATTCCAGCAATCTTTCCTTCTAGAAGTTCAAAAATGTCTAAGCTCTAATCACTATTTGCCACGTACCTTTATTTATTTATTAATGTATTCCATTCTCAATTACTGAATTTATTTTTCAGATAACCTAAACCCCGGGCATTCAAAGCTTAGATGGAACCTCACCCAGTATGATTGAGCTCATTAATCGTCTTGTGATCGTCTTGTGAGATTCTTGAGTAAATTGATTATTATTTGTGATAGAATTTATAGCCACATGTTAAGAAGTATTGTGCTTAACTTATGTCTGGTGGGCCACAAAACGTGCCTCTTGGATCTTGGTGGTGGAGGGATTTATGTAGTATCAAGAGAGGCAGGAATATTATCCTTGATTTATTCCAAAAAGGGGTGAAAAAGATATTAACCCGTGATAAAAAAAAATTCAAATTGAGATATACCTTTCCTAGATAATATCAAATCTCTGAGGATAAGAATGCAAACTTGGAAGATTTGGGAGTTTAGTTAAATGATAATTTAATTATAATTAGAGAATAGAGAGGTTTGTTTGTGAGGCAGAACTTTTTGAAGAGTTGAAGAAGTTACTTTGGTTGGATCACCTTAAGCAAAGGAATGGAGGACAGTTTCCTGTGGCACTTTGATAAATCTTGAGTATAGGCTTTTAGTTTTTCTACTATAAGGAGCACAAAGACTTGGGGAGCAAAAGTTTCATCCACATAATTGTATTAATTCATGACATCCATATGTTTAGAGCCATTAATTTGACCAACACTTAGGGGAACTTTTACCTAATATGCATACTTCAATTGTCACATAATCTTTCATCTATCAAATCACCAAAATATTGGCATATTTGACTGGTTTCTTGCTTACCATCAAGATCTAACTCAATTAAGTATAACTTTAGATAGCCTCCATCTTGTAGCAATTCATCCACGATCCTGTCAGTTTCACTCAAGTTTCTTTCAATAACATGGGCTAAGTCAACTTATTCATTTATGTTCAAAAACTTGAAAAAAAAAAAAAGAGAGTTTAAGTTTGAATATGAGACTTGTCCATCATGTAGACTTGTCCATTCTAGCTATTAGAATTTTGAATATGAGTTCAATCTGTTGAGAGAATATAAACTAATTGATTTATTTATTTAAAATATCTTAAATAATTTATCCTTATAACTATTCTTATTTATATATTTTATAATTAGTTGTAAATCCACTAACGTACGTAGGACTTTAATTATCTAACAATAATTATGAAAGACCAATACTGTTTAAGTTAAGAAAACTTATGTCAACCCAAATTGGGACATCAACATCCTCTCTTCTTATCTTTATCGAATTAGATTTAATTACTAGAATAGAGCCTCTGGTGAGTCATAGATTGACTATGGTTAATTGGCACTAGTCTTATAAATATAAGGATTTATCATAAGTTTTCTCACTGCATTATATAATTCTTTAATTGTACTAAAGATTTGATTAATTGGGTTAGAAGTGAGTTTGTAATTGTATCTGTACAAAAATTATAAAGTAAAAAAATTCTATTAAAAATTTGTAAATACAGGTAAAATGTGTTGACAATTTTAAATATGTGTATTGGTTTTTCTATTTTTGTTTCTTATGAGTGCTTTAAAAAATAAACAATACAAATAATTCTTTTTTCAGAAAACAATACTAATTATCATTCTATACAAAGATACACATTTCTTTCATAGTATAGTTTAGAAAGTTCTCCTATACATCTTTTCCAGCAAGCTATCTTATTTTTCAAGTCATCTCTCCTAAAATCCATAAAGCAACCATTAAAGCACGGGGAGCTTAAACCATAAAAGTGAATTTTGTTAATTTAGTCTTTTATATAAGACAATTTTTAAAAGTAGTAACTTTTTATTATAAAACACTTTATATTTTTATGAAGTATTAATTATTAATTTTTCTACTTATCCTTAATAAATTTTGTTAGTAAGAACTTACATTAAAATTAACAAGAGTAAATTTTGACTATGGATTAAGATTAATGCATTAAATGAGAGTAAAATTGTGATATAATAATATTTTTAAAAAAGTTAACTAGTTTTTATTTTATTAATTTCTGTAATTATATATATATATATAATTACTTCCTGATGACCATCTATTTCAGTAGGTCTAACAATATATCCATGAAGGAAGAAACATTGAATCTTTCACGCATTTGTATGTTTCGTTTATCCAATTGTTTGGAAAATGGAAAAATAAGAGTGTGCAAGTTAGGTGCCATCTAATGCCATTGGTTTACTACATAAATTTAAAAGAGAATAAATGAATCCTTTTATAAATTGGAAAAGAAAGACATTGACATTGTTAGAAAATAAGGGTGGCAAAGATGACTGCCTTGCTTTATTAAAATATTGCTGAAAAGTGATTTTGGTTATTCTATTTTTTAAAGTGAACTAAAATTTTTAATTCGATTCATTTAGAGATTGCCTTAGACTAAATAGGCTAACCTCTCAACGATTAAAATAACATTAAATTAATGTTTTTAAATTTAGAAATTAATTTATGAATATATATATATTATTTGACCATCTCTATTAGAAGAGATTTGACCTAGGAATGTTGGGGTTTGTGCATGTTATAGTAATGTGCTCATATAAACGACAGAACCATCCATGGAACGTTTCCATTTCACTGAGAGTTGCTCAGCGAGCACAAGGGCAACGGGCTACCGGTCTTGGATTCCTCATATCATAGAAAAAAAAAAACACAAAAGCAAAAGTGAAAGTGAAACCATAGACATTCAATCACTTAAACTTCAACTTTTTGCCTCAGTCATAATGAATACCCATTAAAGCTACAATATTAGTTTAACTTGTTTTTCTGTCTTGGAATTTAAGACCCGATATGGTAAGTAACTTGGTGATTACATATTATAATTTTAATATATCACATAAAACGTAGATTAACTTAATTTAATGAGTATTTTTTAGTTCAAATCTCAAAAACAAGTTTATTATCTCTGCCAATACCTACTGTGATCTTTACCAAAAATTTGAATTAGCTCTACAAAAGAAAAGAAATGCATTTACAAAGTAGGTGGACTTTTCCGCTGTGATCTTTTCCAGTATCAATATAACATTTTCAATAAAATATCTTTCAAGGTATCAATCTGATGCATGTACATATTATTTATATTTTGTTGCTCTCCCGTGGACGAGGTTGTAATTTTATTTTATTTTATTTTTATCTAAATTACATGTGTACACTAATTAGTAGAAATAGTTTTATTTAAGTCAAATAAAATGATAAAAAAATATTTTTTAAATTTAAAAACACATATTAAATCAAAATATTTTTTATTAATTAATTTATGTGCTTAATAGTTGATAATATTATAATTTGATGGTAAAATCATATAATATTTTTAAAAATATATATTCATGATTTAAATAGATTTTATTTTTATACCATCTAAAATAGTATTTGTTGTTAAACTCATATTTATAAATAGAAATTTCAATATTCATCTTGTGTTTTGTGAGTATCAATTATTTTACTAATGTCTGAACACATATATCAACTAATAAAAATTTGTTCTAACTTAATTTATAATTTTAAGTTTAAATTTTAATAAATTTGATTATGTTAAATATTTTTAAAAAATTATTACTTAATTTTACCATAGAATTGCTTTGTGTTTATAATTATAAGATTTTTATTAAAAAAGAAAATATTAAGACATCAATTAGTAATATGTCTCAATTCATAATTTAAAAAAAAATCATCGCAATAACGTTGGCAGACCCACCAAAATAAAGAAGTAATTGTCACGCTATTCATTACATCTATTACTTTTTTCTTCCTATTTGATAATATATATATATATATATATATATATATATATATATTTAAATATATTTATTTAATTTACCCCTTTTGGATTATTCATATAAAAGATGATTAATAAATAATTTAATTTTTATATGTTGTCAATGATATTTTTTTTATATTATTAACTAATTAAAATATATAATGAATATAATTTTACATCAATTATTATAAATATTAAAAATTGTTTTTAATAAGATAACTTATGATTAAGTAACATAAATTTTTTATATTGTAAATATATTTAAATTAAATTTATTAATAAAATAATAATTAATATTATTTTATATTTTTATATGAATAAATAAATATAAGTAATTTTCTAGATTGATAAATAAGAATAACATAATTATAAAATTACTTTTCTATAATATTTTTAGAGCATCCAAATAATTAAGATAAGTATAATATTTTGACTCCAAATCATTCTCCTCTAATTTGCTTTATTCGAAATACACCAAACTAAACACCGCATTAATGTTGAGCGACAATAGAAGTCGTATAAAAATATTTTATCTCTATTTTTTGTATTTAAGGATCCATTTAAAATTTAATGTTAAATATATAAAAAATATTAAACCTTTTAATATACTTTTTTTAATAATGAAACATTTGAGATTGTATAGGTTCGAAATAATGTGGTACATAAGACTTGAACTGACAGCAACCTACCCAGAATCCAATATGTGTCAGATTAAGACCTCAATGGATGAGGAACAATTGGAGGCAGAAAAACAAAACCACAACTGAATAATAATGAAAATAATCAAAATATTTCGTTGAATCATTCATAATTTTTGTAAAACATATTATCAGTAACCATTGAATATTAAATTATTTTTTGCCAGTATCTTATTTTTTAATAGATTAAGCTGTTAGTATAAATATCAATGGCTTATACTAATTACATAATATATTATACTAATATATAATTTTTAATATAAAATATTAATATATATTATTGCTACATCAAATATTGATATAATATACTAGACAAAGATTATATTAGTGAAGATAATTTTATAATACGTGATAATTGTATCTATTAACAAATTATATTTTTATAGCACTTTAAACAAAACAAAACAAATAGAAACAAAAAGGAAAAAGTAAGAGACGTAATGATTAATGTGATGAAAAAAGAGATAAGAAAAAATAACAGAAAATAAATGTTAGAGAAAGTAAGTATAAAAATATAAAAATTATTATTTTATATGTTTATTTTTTTTATTTGAATCTTTTGGTGTTAAGAGATTTTAATGACAAAGGAAGCCTGCAAATTAGTGAAATACTTTGTTCACATAACATTAAAGTATTACTTATTTAGTTCTTTTCATTCATATAAGATTCCTTCATCTGATAGCAAGTTAATCTCTAGAGCATGTAGTAATCAATATAAAAAACTATAGTAATTTTTCAAATATATTCATATAGTTACCATTTAATGGCGTCATACTTTATAAAATTTAAACAGTATTTAGTTTCAAATTATGATCAGCAACAGACGTCTTGCCTATAATTAAGGTTCCAGTTGTAGCATCACAATATAGATTAGTTTGCCGTAGCTAGTTAACATGCATTTGACACTCCTTTTCAGCTTGCCTCTTTAGGATTCACGTACACAACTCAGTGCATACGTGCGTGAGTATTTGCAATAAAAATATAATTTATATATGAATTGCCCTTTCAATTATTCAAATTTATCACATGTTAGGCTTTCAGTGTTCTTAACTTCTTAAAATTTGACAAAATTACACACCCATATATCGTATTCTAGCCTGTCTGGTTCTCCGTTATGCAAACAAAAATACCAAAATTAATAACTAAAATGGTAGCAAATACGAAATATGTTTTACCATTGTAATTTTTTTTCCTTTTTATCAGAATCAATTTCATAAACTGCATAAACGAACTCTTTTAGTATTGTTTGGTCACATGCTAGCTAGCACACGACATGACATCGCAGGTGATTATTTTTAAGAATAACAAGGTGAATAGATAATAAAAAAAAATGTTATTTTAATATACAATCAACTTCATGTCATTCAGCAAAATACAGCAAAGTAATTAACGTAGTCAACAAAAATTTACTACAGGCGTAGTTGTGTTTCGATGGTAACCTCGTCGTGTGAGAACAAAAAATATCAGTTTCTCACATAATTGTCATATGAAGTGTGGAAACGGAGTTCACCTTTGGTAATATTAATAACAAGGATTATTTAAAATAAAAAATTAAAATGAAAACCATAAAGAATATTTTTAGTCATGTTTCAAACTGTGAATAGAGAAGGCCCTACCAGCAGAATTCTTGTTCTGATACAGCTCGATTCATACGATCGTAACTAATCTTCAGGTTTTCATTGTCATAAATTATAGAAAGGGAAAGAAAGGGAATATATATACATATATAAGTTTTTCTTTGACGAAGGTCTTAAAAAGTGCAGCAACCATACGACGGTATGAGCGAAAATACATAATTTAGTTAAGTATTTAATTAATAATGTTTGTATGATAATTTATATCATAAATTTAATTATAAAATTCATTGAGACGGATGAAAATAACTTATATTCATGAGTTATACTTAAAAATGTATTAAAAGAAGTTTTAAAAAACACAGAATTATAAACTATTTCAAGAGTATTCACAAACTCATCGATATTGGCCTGTAACTCCTTGGTGTGTATATACAAGAAGAGGATCTGCCAGCTAAAATGTCGGAATCTTTGTTTGTAAAGAACTAAATATAAATGGCTCTTTCTTTGGTCACTACGCCATCCAATCCTTAACTTATCCAAAACCTTTTACCTCGGTGCGACTAATAAACTTACCAATACATTCTTCGTTCCGGAAATCCCAAGAATCACCCACGTGCTCCCCAACATAACACACATTAGAATTTTAGACAACTCCGAAAAGCATTTTGAGACAAGAAGACTAACAACAGCTAGCTTTCAATTATTCCAATAAAGAAAGTGAAAAAGGAAACAGTTGGAAAGGGAAATCAATTCACCAGTCACAACACACACAGCACCCATATACACACCCACACAAAAGCGATAGACAAATTCAATTGTTCAAGTGCTTTCGCAAAAAGAGAAATGGGATCAGTACACAAGGACCTAAATGTTTTCCACTTCAGCCATCCACATCCTTTGGAATGTACCACCTCACCCTCCACAGGAAATGTAAGCTGCTTTGGATGCAAGTTGAAAGTTAAGTTTGGTGAGGACTATTACAAGTGTAAAACCTGTGCCTTCTATCTTCACTGTGTGTGCTACAAGACCCCCTTAATCACAAACCACCCTTCACATCCAAGGCACGATCTTGTCCTCGTTGTTATACCTTCATCACCTGCCACAAAAACCACCTTCAATTGCATGGCATGTGGACACCATGTAATGGGCTTCTGCTACCACTGTGCTGAATGCAGCATCTTCTTTCACTCATTGTGTCTTGCACTACCCCTTTCCCTTTCAATCACCAACCACCCCCATAAAATCAAGCTTGAATTTTCACCACCATATGATTTCTTCTGTGATTTGTGCAACAAACCCAGTTTCAATGGGTGGCTCTACAGGTGCAACATATGTGAATTCGACACGCATATAGCTTGTGCCGTTGAAAACTTAGAACAAAATCCATCTTTCCCTCAATCAAGCCCTTTGTTAAGGCAACTCACTAGTCACCAAGTGGATCACAAAAGGATTAGTGGAAGTATAGGTGATAGTAGCACAAAATATGAGTATGAGATCATGCGTTTGGCGGCACAACAAATTGGCGGGCGAATCGACAAGAACACAAGCCAAGAAGATTTTGATAGTGCAATAGCTGGATGGGATAAGAGAATATATAGTCCAAGAAAAAAGAATAACAGAAGCAGTACTGGGAGTGGAAAAATGAAGATTATTGAACTTGAATTGCAAGAAACAGAACTAAGCCCTGCTAATATTTTAGCAAATTTGGAAGAAAGAACACCACTTCGGGATAAATTGACTCCACTTTCTGATCATTCGAGCCCAACATTAAGTATCCAATATAGTGAATCATGTTTTTCAATAGATTTGACACAGTCATATTCAACCCATGGACGCAGAAACCAGGTACGAGGAGAAGGTAATAGTGACCACATAACAACTGGAGCTGTTATGCCAGATGGAATTCTAAGCAATTCTAGACAAATTAAAGAACAATTCGGTGTAGTTAATTGGCCAACCAATACTAACGATGCATACAGTGTGGCACAACATAATAAGCTGAATGCAGCATTTTTCAAAACTAGTGATTTTGGGGAATCAAGCCAGAAAGTCATGATGAAAATTCCAAATGAAAGCTTGGCTAAGGAGACTATTAAAGATCAGAAAATCACCAAATCAGAGTCAGTAAGTTAAATTAAACCAGTGGCTTTTCTTTCTTCAGCCTCCACCCCATATATACTTATTCAATCAAGTTTCTGGCTAGGGCTATAAATAATCACCATTTCAATTCTTTTTCTTTTTCCTGCCAAAAGACAAAAAAAATCATCCCACAGACTTTCTCAGCTGTGCAAAGTCGGATATTTATATATATAGCATTTATATTCTCACATCCTTTCTTTAATGATAATAAGAGAGAGAGAGAGAGAAGGCGTGTGTATGAGTATATTTTTCTTTTTAACTTTTTAATGTTTATCATAAAAAAGTCAGTATTGAGAGAGTAGTATGAAAAAAAGGCGAAAAAACACTTTTCTTATATATTATATTTGGTCACAACAACTATATATGCTGTCTCATGATCTGTCTCATGAGAATTGCCGACAGGTAAAAACACCAAGCTAAAATAAGGGGCCCTTTTAATTAAATTTCCTCATGACTATACATAATTAATTTTAGGTACACAAAAGAACTAATAAGTATGCCATATTTTTAATCCTTGTAGGAAAGAGACAACAGTTCAGGCTGGAGGAAGTTCCTACCTTGCTGCCTTTAGCACTGGCACGTGGAAGGTACAAGATTTTTTAAGCACAGAATATGAAAAGTGAATAAAATTGTATGCAAATTTCACGAGAACATTAAGATATGGCAAAAAGCACACGTTTTGCAACTTCACGCCAGGTTTACTTCGTCAAACTAATTAATGTAAGTACTATAATGTTATGTGGTGAACAAAATAAAGAGACCCTCCTTTGTGTTAGTTACGTATCATTAAGTAAAAATGGTTTAAGAAGTTTGTTTTACACAGGTCACTGTTGATATGATCATCTTTCTTCTGAATTTTACCAAACATATATGAATTGGGAGTTTGCAAATTTAATTTACTACTATTGATACAAGTATATAGATTTGTGAATCACATCCCCAATTTGCGTTCGGTGCTCACTCCAGGGCGCTTATACATATATAAATACTAAAAATTTCTAATAACATTTTTTACAAAAAATTCTCATATTTTATAATTTAAAATATTTTATATAATTTTTAAAAAAATATTAATAGAAATTTTTAGTATTTTAAATTCTTTTTATAATTTTCAATCGTTTAATCTCTCACATGTATATTAATAATCGTTATTGGCGACTTTTTAAACTTGGTATATGCAAAATTAACTCAAAAACTTCATAATTCTGTATATTATTTTATTAAAGTTTTGGATAGCTAAATACGGGTAGCCTTATGCCAAGGCGAAAAATCAAGTTCTTATCTCTGGTTTTGTAATCAAGTGTAAACTTTCAACATTTTACGCACACTTCATGCTCTCTTTTTTTTTTTTTTTATCACATTACTCATGATATTTATTATTTTCTCTTTTTTTAAAATGATTTTTTCTTCCTTCAAAAGTATAAATACTTGTTGGGGGGGGGGGGAATATCTTTTTATTTTACAAAATAACCAAATTCTAAAGTTTTGTACGTCTTCATAAGAGAAAAGAAAAAAATTGAATAGTAAAAATGGTGGGCAGTGGAAGGGAGAATGAAAGGAAGCCATTTTAGGCACAAGCAAGTCTGTTGATGTTAATTAAGAGGATACGAAGTACAAACAAATGGCAACATGACAGCTGCGTCAGGCACCAGCATGACTATTGGCTGGACTTTATTGGGACATAACATCAACAAGAAATTCTACCATAAAAAAATATAGTTGGTCATATTCATTAGTTTCGACGAAAAAATGCTTGTCATTAGAAAAAAGTAGTTTCGTTAAATAAGCCATTCATAGCATTTCTTGCCGCCCCACAATTTTTTTAATCTGGAAATTGAGTTTTAAAGAAGAAAAGAAGAGAAGATAACTTTTTATTAAAAAAAATATATTTTATCTTATTATTTTTTAAAAGAAAAACCTAACTCTCAAATATATTTTAAGAGAGCCATCGACTTGGCGAGGTTTATCGAAGTAATTTGTGTTCGGGAAGCAATGCTTTGTTTTTAAGACTCTCTAAAAAATAATATGAAGAGAATCTTAAAAAAAAAATAGTGTGCATTATAATTTATGCGTAAGTGTTTACATTCCTTTTTTCTAAGACATTTTAATTTGACTGTTAGCTTTTTCTGGAGAAATTAAGCGCGCCAGTGGAAATATTTCTCACGTCTCCTCTAGTAACTAGCGTAGAATTAGGTTACGTTTCGTTGGAAAGTTACGGCCTAATTTATATTGAATATAAAATAAATCTATTTCTTAAATAAATTAAATTAAAAATATTTAAAAATTATCTAATTTTAAATTTTCATTCAAAAACATTTTATCTCTATTTAACTGGATGTCAAAAAAGAATCATAGAATGACTTATGGAAATTATTATAAATTATATAATGATAATACTATAGCAATTATCATTTCATTATTTTTATTATAATATGTTAAATTTTTTATTAGTTTTTTTAAAGGCTTAAATATATTAATTTACATATATGTCTAATTCATCTTCCTATTAACAAATGTACAATAAATGTGGATTTAAGAGAATAATATCTTGTTTATTGTATATTTTTAAAAAGATTTTTAAATAAAAAAAATTATTTGTTAACATAAGTTTTATTTTCATTTTTTGAAAAATCATTTTGAATTATAATTTTTAAAATATAATTTTTTTAAAATTAAAAATTAAAACAGAAACATACAAACCCTAACGCTTCGGTAGAGTCTATCATTTTTAATTCATTCCATCTTTCTTGGTTGGAAAGAGAAAAAATAGAAGAAAAGAGAGAAAGTTTTTAGTCGATCATATATGATACTATATTTTTTCATTTATTTATATCTGTTTTTATTCTTTTCTTTATAAATCAAACAAAGGAAGGATTAATAATACATCAAATAAGAAAAGTGATGACTCTTTATTTTGATTGTACTTTTTTTTTTCTTTACTTTCTGTTCGATGAAGCCAAACAAAGCTGGCAGGTACAGTAGATAAGCAAAATGGCAAAGTACGTGATTGAATTTTAAAGGATTATGGATACTTAGCCAAGCTCACAAGCACGACAAAGGAAGCTTTATATGTTAAACCACTTTCAACCGCAATAGAAGACTCATTATTTTTTTTCCGGCCTTTCCAGTAAAATAACGAAGCTTTATATACACACACTCATTAAGGAAGAGAGTTGATCAAATACGAAGGAAAAAAAAAAGTGATAGACGTAATTACCTGGTAAAAAGAAGAAGAAAGATTGAGAGAAGTTTAAGATGAGCATGTATGAAAAATTAAGGTCCCATCTCCTTATACGTACTTTGTTTTCAAAACTTCCAATGACATGTATAGATATGCGACAATCTGAGCACATATAATAGCAATTGCTAATTATATCAGTCATCAAATACTCGATTATTATTATTCTTCGTAACTTTTCACATAAGTTTCTTAAGATAAATTTAATACAGTGCAACAAGGTAGATGAAATGCATTTCATAACAAAAAATTCATATGCAATAGCAAGGGTCTTGATAGAGCAACCCAATTAATAACTAATTTATCACCCTACAACACCTGATATCAATACTACATTCACAAATTGTTTGCTTGTCCACAAAAAACTAGAAAAGAATAGTAATTATAGCGTACTTTCTGCAACCCCAGCTATGTGATATGATGATCACAAACATTGGTATCATTGCAGAATCAGAGATACCCATGCCAGACCTAGCTACCCACAATTTCTCAATTCACATTCCCCCATTTGAACCACATAGTGCTCAGACAACCAGATATCACTGTTTAAATAAACATGGAAATCGTAAAGGGATCCATCAATTAATTCTTTTATGCAGTACACCCTTTTTTGGGACTGAAACGGGGCCTGCGGGTCCACTCGTGGCTGAATTTGAATCAATTATCGAATGATTGTGATTTCCATGATTAACTCGCTAGAATTCAATCCTCACCCTAATGCCCTTGGCTTTGTGCTATACCCACCAGCTAGGCCTTGATCAGGTAAACACAGATTATCTACTATTTGTTAACTACTTGCCATGGTCGATTGTCTTTGCCTTTAATGGAATTACATAATTCTTGTACTAGACTTATGACGAATTCGAGGAACCAAAGATGCTTATGTTTTAGCATTAAGCATCCCAAATTCACTTTGCCAACTGTCAACATGCATTTAACCGTATAAAAATGTTGTAAAAAGACCTTAATTTTATTTTAATAATATTTTTTACAAAAAAAAAACTTTTAATTTTTTAACCAACGTCCTTGAGATACTGAATTAGCATTTACCTTAATTAAAATTTTCAACTTCATTTTAATTATTTTGAAACAAAATATTTTAATAATATGTAGGACATATTTATAGAGAAGAGAAATTTAAGAGTTAAAAGTGAAAAAGAAAAAAAAAACGTGCATAATTATATTAAAAATTATAACCAGCTTGCATATATATATATATATATATATATATATATTTATTTTTATTTTTATTTTTAAAAAAAAAAAGCGAATAGTTAAGGAGGAAGAGACCGGAGCCTACCCTTACCACTTCTAGATCCGCACATATATATTTTTGTTAAAAACTTTCTATTTTTCAAGTTAGATATTCTTATCTTCTATTAAAAAATAAAAAATGATTTCAGATTAAGATCCTTTACTAATAACTAAAAAATTCAACTCTTTAGTTAACTTACCTTAAAATAAATAATAATATTGAGTCCATATAAATAGTTTGGTTCGATGTCGCAATGGTGGGCCGTGTGGCCACATGACATTGAATACGTTATCTGACTGGGGTAAGTGAAAGGATGCTATTGCCTATTGCCAAGACTTGCTTTGCTGTTTGGGCCCCTCTCATCTCATCAAGCTTGAGGCATATTCGCCCTCTTCGCCCTTTCTCTATTGACAAGTGCCCTTCATATACCCAAAAAAAGTTACCTTTAACCACTTCGACCAATGACAAACGAGTAAATGCATGTGAATTGCGATGATCCATCAATACCCATAATTTAAGACCTAAAGCAACACGCAATATACATGATCCAAAGAAGCCGTATTTTAACAAATGGGAAGTCTACATATTTGTCAAAGCGCCAATCCTATGTTCCTCTCTTTCTTTCCATGTAAACAATTGCTTTACACACTCAAGGGTAACTTTTTCTTTTCTAAATTTTTATTCTGTATTTAGTAATGAGGTGTAGCTTTTAGGCACTTCAGTTCATCATATGTTACATATAATAGACTTTTACTGGTTGAAGCATATAGTACCTTACTCGTATCATGTGTCTAATTACATTATTACATTACATGCATACATTACATAAGTGTATTTGTTTTAGTCAATAACTTTTGCTGAGGTTCTATGCAGAACATGACTTAACTGGCTTGTTTAGGAACTGTGACACCAGCAATCAAGACAGAACCTTGTCCTTAGATATTAATTGCTCTCAAGTTTTCCTCACTTTTTCATTATTTAATCTAAATAGGTTAAGACTCCCCAAGCAATTGGGTGGAGGGCATGACTCTTGTGGGTTGTGGAGAAGTGCTGGTATCGGGTCTCCATCTCAACCGTCTCCATCCAAAAGAATCTCTCTGTCATATTTAATGGCAAAGACACTGATGAAAACCAATATTATTGTACTTTTCTCGCAATAAACAATTGAATGATAATTTACATAACGTTTTCTCCAACCAAAAAGATATATATACTCTCATCCTTTTTATAAAAATAACTTTTTTTAGTAAATATCAACTCTTAGCTAGAACTTATTTTAAGTAATTAAAGTTTTTTTATATTAAAAACCTTTATTTTATTAAAATCATATATATCTTTTCCCTTTTTTATATAAAATAATTCTAGTTTTTACTGCTTAAAATTAATTTTAAATACTAGTATTACCTAAACTATGAAAAAAGTGGTCAAAGAGGGTAACTGTGCAATTGAAAATAACATTACATGCAAGTTATTTTGGCCCGTAGAAAATATCATGCTATTTATCATCAGAGGAAAGGGTCATATTTGAATCCTAAACTTAGCTTTAAAGACGTGTATCAAATACGGTGCAACACTTCAAAACGCACATAACACACAAAATCTGTGTCACCGTGTTCATGTCCATAGCGTGTCTCATGTGTCTGTATCTTTTTCAATGCTTCTGGCTTTTAGCAGACATTTGCTTCCATTTTATTCTTAAACTTAATCAAAGATACAGAAAGTAATTATAATTCATCTATAACACACCCTTACCACAAAGCCTCTTGTTACATATTCTGTCCTTGCACTTGATTTATTTATCAGCTTCCTTTTAGCAAGAACAGTGACCCACATCAACATGTAATGCACGCATGCTTCAGCTTGGTCCAAAATACTGACAACCCTTCACACAAAGCTCTAGTGTATATTAGTTATCACGCAAACAAAACCATAACAAGCTAAGTATATACACACATGCCTTTTAGCCCTACCTCGCTGCGAGTCAACGGAATACATGAGTACTCATTCTAACCTAGCAACTCAAAAAGATAACAATTAATCTTTCATTAGCTGACATCTAAAATCGTACCCTATCAAGTCACTACCGGTAGCATGCAAAATAAAAGTTTCGCTCCAGACAATTGAAAGAAAGAGAAGTAGCTAGTACCAAATGTTTTAATAAATCAGACTTTTCTCAGACATGAAAAACATGAGATATATTTCTGCAGTTGAGTAGTTTTGAACCTTTTCTAGGAAGTGGCTTGGAAATTAAAGAGAAGATAAAAAAATGCTAGCCTTAGAATGAATATTATAATATTAATTTAAGTGGACACCGCCAAACTAACGCGACGATTGTCATGAAAAGCATTGACCAATCAAAAAGTTTAAGAATTTGTCGTCAATACGCTGGAATTGACCCATGTCAAACCATTGAGTCCTCACCTTTGTTTCTTAGAAATTACAGCAAAAGAATGTACTACACCAAATAATTCGAAATAAAGAGTACGTATTGAACTAAATTTTGTCTAAATATGTGGTGTGTGACTTTCTGGACTTAATTATGCACATGATTATTTGTTAATGGACATCGTCTATGCATGTCATGGGGTCTACATTCTCATGCTTTTCAATAATGGCTTAAGGCAAGGAAAACTTTACCTTTATTGACAGGATCCTTACTTGTACATTGTCAAATTTTTCATCTGTAAAATAACTGTACAAAATAAAAGGTTATATAGAGTTTTATCTGACAAATCCCACATTTTAGTTTACGACACAAATTAGACAACATCAAACGATTGTGTAGAATGTATACCCCGAACTTGAGGAAAAGATCGATAAATATAAAGCAGTCTAACAAGAAAAACGAGTTTAATTATTTAAACATAAAAAAAATTGAGATACGACAAAGGAGGCAACAAAATACTGTCTCATTTTGATGTTCAACAAAATAAGTCAGTATGATGGTTTTTTGTTCTTTTCTGTTGACTACAACAGTTCGTTTGCCTGCGTTTCTAAGCTTTAATAACACAGTCGGGTTTTCGGAACATTTTAGAGGTGATTTGAGGAATAGCACTCTCATTTTTGTGAGTTTTTTTGGTCTTCGAGGAATACCCTCTTATGATAAAGCAAATAAATTTTCGGGTACTTGACCTGCCGTATGTAGGCCATGCCATCGGGAAAAAGAGAATTGGGGTCCATTCATCTGAATCGAAAGCTGCAGTTTCCTATGTAAAGCTCTCAAAACCCAAAATAAATTGCATTCCTTCTCATAGCCAGTAAAGACAAATTATAATATCAGAAAGTACAGAAACAAAAAGCCTAGCCAGATACACTGCGAATATTGTAAATGGTAGTTCTATTCAAAACTGTTTCCAATTGATTTTTACACGTTTCTCAAATTTTTGTTGCTCTTTGAATGAAAAAGAGAAGCAAGCAAAATCATGTGATTTTTTTTTCAATTTCTTTTACTAAGATTATATTATTGCCCACACATATGTATTTGGGTCCGATATATCAACCTCAGCCGCAGATGACTCCCATAATTGCGGAATATATATTCGACAATAAATTCCACCTATTTGCATGTAGATTTCCGTGAAACAGTAACACAAATATAGTACTTACACTACACGATTGAAGATTAAAACTGCAGGATTTGTGTCTTTACAAATTCTCAAACTCCACCACAATATCAAAGACAAACAATTTGCGTTACTTAACAATGTTGTACGTAAATTCTCTTCGTTTTACATAGCTATAGGGTGCAGTTGTCTAACTTGAGACCATGCATGCATGGATGACATGATCAACAATAATAGATAATCATCCATGATTACATCTAAATTTATTATCGGGTTAATTAATTTACTTTCTCCGTGAATAAGAAATTTTCGCACGATAGAGTTGAAGCTGTTTCCTTGGTCAAAGGAAATACAGTAAAGACGATCAAATCCACTGCTAAGCCAAAATATCCGTTGGATAATATACCATTCCAGTGCAAAATCAGACCGTGCCCCAAGTGAAATTAATGAAAACACGCTACAACAAAATCATTGCAAAATAAAAAGGAAATCATAAAAATAATTACGATAAGTTGAACAAGATGCAGTGGCACCAAGTGTAAATAAAACAAACTCAAGTATTGAAATTTGTTTCAACCCGAAGTAGATGAAATAATAAGCGTTTTCTGCACTGGTATTATTGGCCTTACTTGTTATTCTCATCATGAGCTACACCAATATTATTCTGGGAGGTAGTTTGTCCTAGTAAGCTGCTTATGGAACGCGCTTTCACCATTCCAAGCTTCATCCTCTTCTTGGTGATTATCACTGGCTTCTTCTCATCTTCCTCCAAGGGATCAGCAACACACGTGGTTTGCTTCTCAAGAGAAGAAGAAGATGATGATAAAGAAGGGTCGAGCATGTCATGCATCATCACTTTCTTTGGTGCAGTAGAGGCAACAGAACGGCTTCTAACACTTGTCATGCTTCTGAGCCTTCCTTTTCCTAAGTGATGTTCACACAGAGAGTAACCAACCAGTGTTTGTTGACAGCACCTCCATCCCCTCCCATTCACACGACTGCACCTAGAACCTTCCATGAGTGCACTACCCCTTGCCCTCTTCTTACTTACACTCACATCCACTTTTGTTTCTTCTCCCTTCTCTTCTTCTTCATCTTCCTCTTCCTCTTCCATGTTATTCATGGAACACTTTTTGTTCATCTTAGTCTTCATCCTTGCTTTCATCTTCTTAGCATTATTCTCCTCAAAGCTCCCTCTCCTTTTCTTGAGTGGAATAGCTTTCTCTCCCTCGCACCATCTCCCATCTGCAACCCCTCAGCTAGTGAGTAGTGGTTACATACTTACATAAACATGCATGATGCATGTGATTCAATCTATGTTATTACCTTGAGTGAAAGAAGGGCTTGATGGTGGCAATACCTCAGAACCAAAGATGCGTTCTTTCCTACAAAAAAAGAAGACCCAGAAAGACCCACAACCAGATACATGTATATAGATACATAAAATTTACGGGCTAAGGGTGAGAAGTGAAGATAAATAGAGGGAGTGTAATTATATTTCGAAAGAAGAAACGCAGTGTAGCTGGGGACCAGCATTTGGGTGCTAGCTACTTGTGCACCTCAAGTGCAAACGGTAGTTGGCCAATTTTGAGAAAAGAAACAAGGGCTTTGGTTAGATGTGGGAGGGTATGCTGGCTACACAAAGCTCTTATTTAAAACACCTTCAACAGTATTTTCCACTGCTATATATATGTTTTTTTAATAAATATTAATAATAATAATTTCTTTTTGGGTGCTGGTTAAAACTTGAAATCTAGTCATGGGTTTTTTCACCTTTTTTTACCAGGAGATTTCATGAAAGAATAAGAGAGGAAAAAACCATTTCTCTTTTTCATTCTTACCTGATATGATTACCCTTCTCTCCTGAATCTCCTCCACTCTCTTCTCCTCTTACCTCCTCGTCCTGCAAAATCAACCACGGGCAAAACATACATAGGATCTTGTCTCAAGTGTGCCCCTTTCTGTGTGAAATAATTTTATTTATTTTTCCAGAAAAGAAAAAAGAATTTGACACCAACGGGCAACCACTTGCCAGAGATTGGACAAAAGTGCACTTGTAAAAGCCCACATCATGAAATTTCGTAAAAACAAAATGGAAATAGTAAAAATAATTTTATAAAAATAAAATAAAACAATTTGTGTGTGTTTTGCTTACCAAAGGGTCTTGCTTGTTGTGCTGCCCACTGTGACCGATGGAGGAGGGATGATCAGAGCCGTTGGTCGGTGACTGATCAAACGGGTGAGAAGGATCGATGGTGGATGGTGGTGCTGAAGCAGCATGTTGAGTGGAAGAAGATTTGGGTGCGGTGGAAGTAGCGTCGCTTAGTTGCACCACCACCACCGGTGACCGGTTGATCAGGTGGGGATCTGAGAGAGACAACGAAGAGAAAAGCACCTGCCTTTTCCGGATCCTCATCGGTGCACTGCCACCACCACCACCACTCACAAGATTCACTCACACCCACTACCGATTTCAAACAAAACAAGATATAAAACCCATCCCCTACTACAAAGACCAAGAAAAATTTATGCTTTTATCATCTCTCTCTCTCATCCTTCATACACACTCTCTCTTTCTCTCTCTATATATCCATCTCTATCTCTATATCCCTCCATATATATTGCTTATTCTCTCTCTAACTTTTATTTGTTGCACCACAGAAAGGAAGGGAGTTGTATGGGTTAGCCACGGCACGTGTGACGGAGTTTTGGGAGGAGGAAGCACGTGTGAGAATGCCCACCGGCCACCACGGTAGCCGGTCAAGGAAAGAGAAAGAGAAAGGGACAGAGTACGACGAGGAGGAAAGGAGGGTGGAAGAATGCGTTACAATACTAAATTACACAAATTCATTTATTTATTTATTTTAAAAAGAAAATTGATAAGAGAAGGAAGTGGGTGGCGTTATCGTTTATACTTTTAAGATGTGAGACGGTGGGGCCCACAACCACGACCATCTTTAACCGTAACATTAACCTTCACCTGTCCATGCTCATTGCTCATTGTATTGTATTGTGTTCTATTCTATCCTTATTCTTCCAATTGCTCGTTGCCATAAACTATAATATTTAAGTGTTTGTTTACGTGAAATTTTTTGTGGAAATGATGAATATGTTCTTGTTTGTTTAGCTTAAATATGCTGATTATAAAGTGCAAAGAATATTGGCTTTACGTCTCATGCTAAGATCATATTTAGAACTTTTTTGTATCACTCCCCACTCCATCCACTCTTTCAAATATACCGTGAGAACTATAAACACTCCCAAAAACTATCACAGAATGTGTTTGCGTGTGGGTTCATTTTAGAAAATTTTCATTTTATTCCCAAAAATTTATCACCAAGTTAATTAAAACAAGTAATTGTTTTTAAAAATTAATTCAACCAAACACGTTTTACAGACTTTAGAATATGTTCTTTTGGGTTAATTAAGTGATATGCTCATTTTAGTTCATTAATTCAAACATTTTAAGTCCATATTAAATATTTGTGGAGATTAATATGTTTAATGTTTGGAATGAATATTATAACAAAATTGTTACACATTGTTGATTTGTGCTGAATTAGCTTGTTAGGTAATATTATTTGACAGTAATTAAATGTTAGTTACTTAGTTTATACTCATAATGATGTATTTTATTGATATTATGTTTTTGGACATTAAATATTAACACAATTATGTAGATTCATAATGTTTATATTAATAAATCATTTTTCATCAGACAATAGTTATATTAGCATAAGCGTTCTTCACAACTTTTTATCTGTTTAATAAATGTCATTTTTTTAATGGAAAATTAATTCAAATTTAAATTGTATAAAAACCACAAAAGAATTGAAAGAAAATACACTAACAAAAAAATGAAAAGAATATAAAACTATGAACTAATATGCAAATAAGTGTTCAGTTTATCTAAGAAAATTAAGCGTCATAGATACAGCTGCGAAACGCAGGCATGTAAATTAGCATAAAGGAGACTTTTGAAGATTCGAGCAAATTACTATTAGTTAGAGTCTATCATCTTTGTGTTATCACTGGTTATTATTAAAAGAGGTTTTCTTTCTTTTCACTGATATATTATCCATTGTGGACATTTTTTTAGAGTTTAGGTTTAATTATTTTTCAGTTTTTATATTTTTAAGTTACATTATTTTCTCAAAGTTTATTCAATAATTAACAAAATTATAACAAATATGTAATATTATTTATATATATAAATTTAAAAATAAAAACATTAAACTAATGAAAAAATAAATTTTTATTATATTTTATACATTTAGTTGGTGTTTTTATTTAAATATTTATTATTTTATATAAATCCATATAATATCATACTTTTATTATATTTTTATTAATTGTTAAATAAAATTAAAAAAATTATTTAAACAATTAAAAATAATAAAAGTGAGCAATCAAAAATAAAAGAACTAAAATCAAATTAAAGTATAAAAACTAAAAAACAATTAAGTTTAATGTATATTGTTGTTTTTGAATTTGTTTTTATAACGTAGGTAGTCAGGGGACTGTGATTGATCTCATGTCTTAAAATTTTAATGATTTTTTTAAAACTCTTTTTAGTTTTCCAATTTCTTTCTTATACCGATGTAAATTTAAAACTCTTACATTTAATCTTAACTATTCATCTAGTTTACCTCTACAGTTTACATTTTATGATACTATTTAACTTATACTTAATTTTTCTCTTTTACTAATATTATTTAATGTGTTATAATTTATTATTTTATTATTTTCACTTTTTATTTCTCTTTTTTGATATTCTGTATTTTTCTATTACCGTATTCTGCTTCAAACAACACAAGCTAATATCTTTGTAATAAACTTACACAATAATACGACTTATTAATTCATTGGTATTTTATTTTATAAAAAATATACAAATAATTTAATAATCAAAAAATAAAATTTTATATTTTATAAATAATTATATATGATCAAATTATTTTAAATAATAATTTAATATAATTTTATAATTACAAATAGTATGTTTAAAATTATAAATATTTAATAAAATTAAATAAATTTAAAATATAAGTTATTTAAAATAATTTTATTATTTAGTGTAAAAAATATTTAATATATATTTTTATAAATATTTATTTTATATTATAAAAAATATTTTATTTTATTTTAAATTAGAAATATTAATGAAATTACTCTTCTACAGTTTGTGCATGTTAAAATTAACTAACATGAACTACATTATTTTTTATTGTTGTAATTTTATTTTTTATTATATATATTTTAATTTTTTAAAATAAAATATTATTAGATATAAGTTAGATAAATGGTTAAAATTGAGTGTAAGAGTTTTAAATTTACATTAGTATAAAAAGATTTTATTATATATATATATATATATATATATATATTAAATACTAACCATACCCTAGCTAGTTAGCAAACATATAGCATATGTTGATTTTGGAGTTTAAGTATGACTATAATCACATATCTTAAATTAGTTATTTATTTAATAAAATTAATTAGTTTCTTATATTTTTCTTTTGTTGTTCTTTTTTTTAATCATTTAAAGTAATGATTTAGGGGGGGAAATTGTTAGTATCACATGATCCACGGTATTAATACATCCACAATAAATTATTACAAATAAAAAAATCCTAAATTTCTTTAATTGTGATGGCATAAGTGAAGTGCAACATTCTATTTTTTTTATATTGAATTGTTAGTTGTGATTTGTCTATTCTGTTGGAATCTTTATTATTCTTATTTCTTTAACTCATATTTCATCGTTTAACTCACATTACTGCTTGACAGAAATACTCGTCTAAATACATACCACAAATAAATATTAATTAAATATTAATCTTATTATTGATATGCAAATTACATATGAATTATGTCAAAGAAAAATCTTAATATTGTTATTTGTCCTTTTTAATTATACAAATACTTTTTTTTACAAAAAAATTAGGATATGGGAATGATATTTTGGTTTAATAAAGTACCTAATACACACACATTCCTTAAGTTTTAAATTAACATGCGATAACTAATTCCAGCTTAAATGTTTGTTTTGCCCATTACTATCAAATCTTTATTTTGATAAATTTTCAATTGCAAGTAAAATATGTATATGTTGACATGAAACTCAATCGTTTAATTAATCACATACCATGTTGAGGTTAAAACATAATCAGGAAATAAGTGTAATTTTAGAAAATATGACTATTGAGAGAATTTATGGTCATGACAACATTCAAAACCTAAATAAAGTCAATAATGTTCTACTATGATTTTCCAACAATCCAAAAAAATGTTTTAAGTAAAATCTTATTATTTAAAGTTATTTAAAATTTATTTAAAGGTTAATATAACACATCAAAATTAAAAACACCCCTACATGTATCCCAAAGCATATGCATTGTCAACCAATTAATAAACAGTGGAATCCATGTTTAAATATTGAACTTATTTTTTTTAAAAAAAGTTATTTATTTATTTTATTTTATAAAAGAAGAGTACACAATAATTTCATTAAAATAATCTCATTCAAATTAACACACAGAGACTGATCCCTACCATATGAGTTTGAACAAAGTGGTTGCATGTTTTGAAAAATAACATAAAATATTCCTTCAATTTTGGTTAACAAAATGAAGACACACCAAACCTTCATCACTGACTTTTATCTGCACAGTTGTTGAACTCTTTTTTATATATAATTTTATTGTTCAATTCGTTAGCGTACCCTACTGTAAATGTCACGTTCATTTTCTGTAGTTGTCCGTCTGACCCTTCAACGTGCCTGCATTCTTATTCGCCTCTCTTTTTTTCTCGTGATCATTAAGATTATTATTATATTATTATTTTTTAAATATGTGTATTTATATGTTAAAAAATATATTAAATATATCATATTAAAACTTTAAATTAATATAAAAAGTATATATTCAACATCTTTAATTTATTTATTTTAAATAAAATATTTATTTTTTTAATACGTATATAAAAGTTTTGATATTATTAATATTATCACCTTACTTTTAATCACTTTTGGTGGCATATTCTGAAATTCAGATTGAATTTTTTTATCCCGTAAAAGGTCAATCCAAAATTAGAGCAGTAATTATTTTTTCATGAAATTGAAGCAGTTCAAACATTGGGCATTAGAGTTCTGGACTAAACTTTTTTTGGTGAACATGTTTTGGACTAAACCATAGGAGGTGTTATGTATAATGGACCTATGTGTAGCTCTAAATCTAACAAATCAATAAGGTATGGGCTAGAGCTAAAGTCTGAAACAAAAGAAATTTTCCGATGCAAAACAAAAAATATCCGAGTCCATGAACAAAGGCTAGCTCCATCTATAACTAAACTTTTATTTCAATTCAAATTAAAGAATAAGTTAAGTAAAACTTGCATTAATTTTATATTAAAAAATGTTTTATTCACCTTAAACATAAAAAAAATGTTTCCAGTATCTATCTTGCCATTACGTGAGTGTATGATAAGTGTCCTAATTAAGTAATTTTTTATGATATTTGTGACACTTTTTATGCTTAAGTATTTAAATCTTTAATTTAAAACTCCTTAAATTTGGAAAGTGACACAGCATATGTTTTTTTTAGCTAAATTCAAAGTGCTTGTCAAGTTTAAAGAAAATGAAAAAAATCAAAAAGCATCATCCCTGTGACATGATAAGTATTAGCTTCAGAGGCACAGAAATTTGTTCAGAAAAAGGAAAGTATTTTTGTTTCATAA